TGGTGCGCGCGGAGATCAACGTGAAGCAGGCGCGGCTGCGTGTGGACCACCGGCCCTGGGTGGTGCGGCCCATGCCCCCGCAGACCTACCTCTGGCTGGAGTATGACCAGCCCCTCTACGTGGGTGAGCGTCGGGGGCCGGCCTGCTTCCCCCTCCCTCTGGCTAGTGGGGGACCCAGCCCGATGGCCCCCTATGCTTCTCCTCTCTGCCAGGCTCAGCAGAGCTGAAGCGGCGCCCCTTTGTGGGCTGCCTGAGGGCCATGCGGCTGAACGGGGTGACGCTGAACCTGGAGGGCCGGGCCAACGCCTCCGAGGGGACGTCTCCCAACTGCACGGGCCGCTGTGCCCACCCACGCTTTCCCTGCTCCCATGGCGGCCGCTGCGTGGAGCGCTACAGCTATTATACGTGCGACTGCGACCTCACGGCCTTTGATGGGCCCTACTGCAACCACGGTCAGCACTGCCGGTTGGGGTGGGGTGGCAGGTAGCCTGTCGGTGCACGCCCATCATCCCAGCACTCTGGGAGGTCTAGGCAGGAGCCTCTGAAGGGCCCAGCCTGGGGAACCCAGTGACTTGGCACAACACTGACTCAAAATTGAAATAAAGGGCCAGGGATTTTGCTCAGCAGCTCAAGCACTTGCCTGATACATGCGAGGTTGTGAATTCGATCCCTGGTACAAAAAAAAAAAAAAAAAAAAAAAAAACCAGAAAAAAACAAAATAAATAGAAATAAAAAAGGACAGAGCTGTAGCTCCTTAGGAAAGTCCTGAGCTCAATCCTCAGTATTGTAGAAAAAGCTCAACTATGGGAAGCAGCCACTCAGCCCCCACTGTCATCAGGGGGACACAGGCTACACCCCTCTGCCCCTTCTGGCCTCAAGCGCCCTGCTATGCTGTTTCCTGGGTAACAGTAGCCAAGAGCCTGAGACGTGCCCACAGCCTGGCTCCAGGGCTCAGGCCTTGGCAGTGAACACAGCCTGCTTCAGCCAGCTTCTGTACTGACACCAGACCATGCTTGCCCCTGGGTACCTGGGGATGTGATCCACAGGGTGGGTTCCTTGGCCCGGCAACATGGGAACCTGGGCACCCAGAGAGGACTGGGACTCTCATTCTGATCTTGGCTTTCATTCACTGTGGGTCTTTGGGCCAATCATGACCCATCCCGTGCCTCAGTCTTCCCACTCGTCAACGCAGGAGTCAGGTGACAGTTTTCTCATCATTCTCCTGGCTGTAAGACTCCATTCTGTAACAGAGGTCCTCACTGGGGTGGCACTGCTGGCAGCAACAGGGTGAGTCCCAGAGCTGAGGGGATGGCATCTAACCCTGTGACCTCTGCTAGGGCAGTGACTGTAATTAGCACTGAGGGAAGCTGAGGCAGGAGGATCCCAAGCTCGAGAGGAAGTTCAGTGGGGCCCTGGCTCTGATCCCAAAGCCAGGTTGGGGATGTGGCTTAGTGGTGGAGCACCCTCGGGATCGAGCCTTCGAACCCCACAAACTAAACAAACCGAGGTCCTGCAGTGCAAGGGCAGGTAGGGCCAGGCCTGACCCCAACCTTTCTGCCCGCAGACATTGGTGGCTTCTTCGAGCCCGGCACCTGGATGCGCTACAACCTGCAGTCGGCCCTGCGCTCGGCAGCCCGCGAGTTCTCCCACATGCTCAGCCGGCCGGTACCCGGCTACGAGCCTGGCTATGTCCCTGGCTATGACACCCCCGGCTACGTGCCTGGCTACCACGGCCCCGGCTACCGCCTGCCAGACTACCCACGGCCCGGGCGGCCCGTGCCTGGGTACCGGGGCCCAGTGTACAACGTCACAGGGGAGGAGGTCTCCTTCAGCTTCAGCACCAGCTCGGCGCCTGCTGTGCTGCTCTACGTCAGCTCCTTTGTGCGTGACTACATGGCAGTGCTCATCAAGGAGGATGGTGAGTGCCCTCGCTGGCGCCCTGGCTGCACCCGCAGGCCCACAAGACCCCAACACGGGTTTCCCTCCCCTGCCACACAGGGACCCTGCAGCTGCGTTACCAGCTGGGCACCAGCCCCTATGTGTACCCACTGACTACCCGGCCAGTGACGGATGGCCAGCCCCACAGTGTCAACATCACCCGGGTCTACCGCAACCTCTTCATCCAGGTACCTGGGCTGCACGGGCTCTGTGCATGGCCTCCACTCAGTGGCACCAAAGGAATGTCCCTGCACATTTCCCTTGGGACCCAGCCCTGGGTGGGAGCCTGGGATGCCTTCGGTTCTGTTTCACAAGTGAGCAGCAGCTCACGATGTCCTTTCTCCACAGTCAAACCAGTCAGCTAGGAACACAGGGCACAAAACCAGGTGTTTTAATTTCTCCCCACTACTAAGGGCTGAACCCACCACCTCCATGCTGAGCTCCATCCCCAGCCCTCATTTTATTTGCTTCTAAATTCTGAGACAGGTATTAAGTTAGTTAAATTGCCCAGGCTGGGCTCAAAATTGCAGCCCTCCTGCCTCAGCCTCCCCGAGTGCTGGGGTGATGGTCAAGTTTTTAAGCGTCTTTCCCAAACTACTGTCTGGGCCTGGGAGCCATGACCTGCCCAGCCAGCAGCTTCACCAGCTCCCCTCCCTGACCCTCGTGCAGGTGGACTACTTCCCGCTGACAGAGCAGAAGTTCTCGCTGCTGGTGGACAGCCAGCTGGACTCGCCTAAAGCCTTATACCTGGGGCGCGTGATGGGTGAGCCACGGCCTGGGCCGCCAGGCTCAGCAGGTAGGGGGGTGGAGGAACAGCAGGCCGCGGCGCCCTTGGGTCCCAGCCATTCCTCCGGGCCTGCTGTCCCTCAGAGACCGGCGTCATTGACCCTGAAATCCAGCGCTACAACAGCCCGGGCTTCTCGGGCTGCCTCTCTGGCGTCCGCTTCAACAACGTGGCCCCGCTCAAGACCCACTTCCGCAGCCCTCGGCCCATGACTGCCGAGCTGGCCGAGGCGCTCCGCGTCCAGGGGGAGCTGGCCGAGTCCAACTGTGGCGCCATGCCCCGCCTGGTGGCTGAGGTGCCCCCCGAACTGGACCCCTGGTACCTGCCCCCAGGTAGGGTGCTAGGCTGGCACAGCCTGGGAGGGAGAGATGCATGGAGGGAGGGGCTGCAGCGTCCTTCTGGAGGTGGCTACTAACTAAGCTGTCCCCTCCAGACTTCCTCTACTACCACGACGATGGATGGGTCGCCATCCTCCTAGGCTGTGAGTAGCTCAGGCCCCTAACCTGACCTCCTAGTCCCTGTGATGCTGAGGGTTGGCTGTGGGGCTTGGTGTCGCTGGTACTGCAGGATGGGGAGGCTGTGCTGATTGGCTGGAGTCTTTCATCACTCCGCTTCCCCTGCTCCACCATGTACCCCAGGCTGGCCTCAACTCTCAGTGATCCTCTTGCCTCAGCCTCTGGGAGTGCTTGGACTATAAATGAGCCCAGCTAGATGCTATGCATCTTTGTTTTTTTTGAGACAGAGTTGCACTATGTTGCTCAGGCTGGCCTTAAATTTGCAATCCTCCTGCCTCAGCCTCCCAAGTGCTAGGACTAGAGTCATGTACACTGTGCCTGGCTTATGCTGTATTTTTAATTGTAAGCTAAACAATGAGACGTGGGTACAGCAGTACCTAGGGAGATGAGAACTAGGGTAACTCCCGGAAGTACAAAGAGAACATGACAAATAAGTTGGCTAGGGCATAAACCAGGGCTTCAGATGGGCAGATCTGGGTGTGGGCATGAGGCCGGTGCAGCCTTGTGCACACTGTGGGCCCAGATCTCCTTGTGTGCGGGTACGTGAAGCCCCGAATGGCCTTAAGCACCCTGTCCTCTGCAGTTCTGGTGGCCTTCCTGCTGCTGGGGCTGGTGGGCATGCTGGTGCTCTTCTACTTGCAACACCATCGCTACAAGGGCTCCTACCACACCAACGAACCCAAGGCCACGCATGACTACCAACCCAGGAGCAAAACGCCCCTGCCAGCCTCGGGCCCAACCCAGGCCCCACCCTCAGCGCCAGCCCCAGCCCTGGCCCCAACCCAAGCCCCAGCCCCCCAGGACCAGAACTTGCCCCAGATCTTGGAGGAGTCCAGGTCAGAATGACCAGGGGGTCTCAGGAACCAAGCCCGCCTCCTCCAACCCCCATGCCTGCCTCTCCCACCCTGCCGACCCAGGGGGTCGCCAGCTGCGGCCTGGTGGGCAGAGCTCCAGATGGGACCAACCGAGGAGGCTGAGCCTCACTGCCAAGACCAGTGCCCTGCACTCCGTGCTGGGCCCACGGAGAAGCCGCAGGGTGGTGCTGGGCCCTTCCTGCCAGCCGTGTGCACCCCAGTTCACCGTGTGCACCCCAGTTCACCGTGAGCAAGGCTCGTGCACGGGGCTGAGCCAGAGAGGCGCCGCTGTCCTCCAGGGCCCCCTCCCCCGAGGCCTCTTCTACCTGGGGCTTCTCCGCCCTCCCAGCCCCTTTTCGTTTTTTAAGGAGACCGTGAGGCCTCAGCTTAGCACCTTAGCACCTCTGCTGCTTACGCCTGCGCCAAAGCCATAAGCACCCGCTGCCTGTCTGCTCAGCCACCTGGACCCAGCCCATGAGGCGCCCTTCCTGCTGGACCCACTGCTGCTGCTACTCTGCCTGCCGGAGGACCCGGCTCAGTGTCTTATTTTTTGTTGCCAAGTCTCTAGAGAAGCCCTATAAAACTCTAATTTTTTAAACTTATGTTTATATATAAGAGCAGCTCCGGCTGCCCCACATAAGTCTGCCGCGAGCTCATCTCGGCTGGCCACCAGGGTCCTGCCGACCACTCAGCCTCCAATAAAACAGGTGGCAGAGCCATGTGTGGTGGCAGTGCCTGGGTCATGTGTGACGTGGGTGGCTATGAAGGACACGCTGGGAGCACAGGAATTGCAGGCTGCTGACTGTGTTCTGTGCCAGCATAGCATGGCCAGGGCCAGTGAGGTCACTTGTACTGCCTGCTCCACAGCCCAACTCCGAACCCCAAAACACATGGCATGTGCTACCCAGCTGGTGCCAACACTTTATTAAGGAAGAAGTTCCCGCCATAGGATTGTGAAGTGCCATGGCCGCTCATACCCCGGCCTCGCTGAGATGGAAGAACATAGGGGAGGGAACACCAAGGACCAGATAGGGAGCAGTGGGATGGCCTGGGGGCAGAGTCGCCCAGCCTCAGATGGAAAATCCTGCCAACCCTCCAGGGAACCTCCTCTGTGCCCTGAGACTGATGTCACTCAGCTGGGAGTGCGAGAGGATATCCCCAGCTCACACTGCAGCAAGCCTGGGTGCGGACCCCTTCCAGTGGGCCCTAGGCACATCTCTACACCCCCAAAAGGCAGCTCAGCTGGGAGGACCTCACCTCTCCCCTGGGATACCCAAGGGGTGAGAGAAAAAAGGGAGCCTGGGCCCCTGCCCGCCTCCATGGGGGAGGGGACTGGAGAGCCGGGGCTACCTCCTCCTCCCAGACAAGGAGCTGGGGCCTTGGAGACCTCCAAACCCCTCAAGGAATAAAGTGCTTCAATCTGCAGGAGTCCCCGAGACTGTGGCCCACTCACATTCCCCATGGGTGGCTCAGGCCAGCCCTTCCTGGGGGTCAGCTTTGGGGCCCCTATTCCCCTGAGCCCAAGGATGGCCTCCCAGCCTCCTCAGTATCAGCACTGGCCCACACGCACAGGGAGACCGCTGTCCCCAGGGAGGGCTAAGTCCCTGCCAGGAGTAGCCACAGGAAGGCGATGCCTGTCCCTCTGCACGGCTGCTGCCTGCCAGGATTGGGGCTGGGCCCCTCAGACACTGTGTCCCATCGGTGACTGCTGCCAGAGGGCTGGAGGCCACTGGGAGCCCAGTGACCCCAGAAGCCTGAGCCAAGGCGCCACCTTGGAACTACTCGCTGCGTCCCAAGAATGGCAGGGTCCCCCAGGAAGCAGCCAGGGCCCCACACAGGGGAGGCACTCTCAGCCTGGAAGATAGTATGAGACCCAGCAGCAGAGGGGTGTGAGAGCCAGACTGCGTCGCGGGTGGCAGGGTTGCTAGAGGACGTCAGTCTCCCGCTCGATGCCCACATACTTGAGGGCGTCAGCCTGGCTGTACCTGGCAGGAGAGGGGGTGCAGGTCACACTCTGGCCAGTTGGTGTGGCACACAGTGCCCCTGTGCAGAGGCTGCTCATCCCTCGCTGGGCCGGCCACCCCAGGGCCTCTCACCTGTAGTCAAAGAAGAGCTCCTCACCGGCCTGGATGGCCCTCTTGGCGAAGATGCCGATGCGGTGGTCTCCGTTCACCATGACCACTGCCCAGGAAAGAGGCCAGGCGGCCTGGTCAGCATGGGGACAGGGAGGGCCCCACTCCAGGGCCCGGGAACGGGGAAGACAGCTGAGGCGGCAGCGGTGTTGCTAGGGACACGTGTAGTGTTTCTGTAGCGCTAGGCACTGACACAGGCCCCAGCCACCGCCCTGCCGAGCTGCCAGACTCCTCTGCAACCCGCGCCTGCGGGAAGCCAGACCGGCACAGCCGGTATTGTTACACATCACAGAGCCAAGTCGAAAGCAGACTGTGAAACTAAGAGGCCTCAGCGACACCAGGTGTTGGTGGGATATCTCTGGACAGAAGTCTTAGGGACAAACAAGCTGAACAACAGGGGACCATGGAAGGCGAAACCACTCTACTGGGGGCCCCAAGGGCTTGCCTTTAGCGTAGCAGTTGGGGTTCACCGAATGGTTTGCAAATCGGATTTTATTTCCTTTCCGAGTAGCATCTACCACGAAATCTGCAGAAGAGACAGAAGACAGCTGTGAGCGTCCCCAGAAGTGTGCATGCCTGTCACACCAGCACATAGGAGGCTGAGGCAGGAGGATCATCGTGACTCCGAGGCTGACCTGGGCTACGCAGTGAGACCCTGCCTCAAAACAAAGCAAACAAGCAAAAGGCAGACAGCAATGGAGCAACTAGCCCCCCAGGCAGCAAGCCCAGTGACTCAAGAGGACACGGCAGCCTGTGTTTGCCCTCTTGCCAGGATGCCCATTGCCCGACTGCTGGGCTGAGTGCCTGCCCTGCTGCCCACCCCCGAGGCGCACCGTTGTTGAGGTTGAAGAGGAAGCTGGACATGTATTTGTCGTAGACCTTCCCTCGCCGGTCAGCCTCGTCCTGGGAGATGAGCTGCGGCAGAGCGGGGACAGGTGAGGGGCAGCCGGCAGGGCAGCGTTGCAGGACACAGCCGGCCCAGACCAGCACCCTGTGAGTGCTCACCTCACCACAGTACTCAGAGATGAATTCGTTCTTCTGCACAGACTCCTTGATGAAGGTGCCCCAGCCGGCCACGTCCGAGGGGGCCAGCAGCAGGTGCTGGGGGACAGGGCAGAGCTGAGCAGGGCGGGGTGTGAACCCTCCTCCCAGGGCCGGGGGCAGGGAGCACCACACACCTTCTTGAGGCCACGCTGGATGCTGCAGTTCTTACAGGACACCACCTTGGAGTCCCAGTGGTCCGAAGCCCCGCAGGTGAGGCACAGGTCGGGGTCGCACTCCCGCACCGCCAGGTAGCAGGGACACTGCTTGGTGTTGCACTGGGTCTTACAGCGGCAGCCGGGGAAGCGGTTCTGACCTGGCCGGGGAGACACAGGAACTCGGAGTGCAGCACATTGAGGGGCCCGACCCTCAAGCACAGGGAATTTTCCCTCACATGCAACCGTGCAAAAATGCAAAAGCAGGTGTGGCCAGCCAGTGAGACAAAGAGATACCCCAGCAGAGCGCCGCTGTATGGGCGGAAGTGGCCAGGAGGTGGCAGGGCCGCCACAGACGAAAGGAAATCAGCGCCCCTCACTGCCAAGGCCCCACCATCAAAACAAGAGTCTCCCTGAGAGGCCGTGCATCCGCTCCTGCAGCCACCACCGCCCACGGCCTCCCCAGCACGGGCAGCTGCGGTTAGATCCTATCTGCCCGGAGGCGTGGCACCCTCGGACCCCCCCACCAGCGTGTAGATTGAGGCTGCTGCCCCCCACCCTGTTCCACCCCACCCCTGGACCAGGGGAGGGAAACCACCCTGGCCTCTGCTGACGCCAGGCCCTCATCTCCTACAGTCATTAACACTCCAGTATTCAAAAAAAAAAAAAAAAGACCTAAGCAGAACTATGACTGCAAGTCTTACATTAAAAAAAAGAATTACATTCACTGGGCCAGTCTCGAGTCTAAGGCTCGAGTGATCCTCCTGCCTCAGCCTGCTGAGTGCCCAGACTTCAGGTGTGGCATCAGACCTGGCCAAAGGAAGCTAAAACGATTTCCTGGAAGGGGAACGGGACTGGGCTCTGAGGGAGATGTCTGGCTCTTGGGCTTTTACAGGGAGGAGCGCAGGGAGGCATGGTTCCCATCCTGTTCCAGGCAGAGCCAGCAGCCTACAGGCTATCTGAGCTTCAGTCTCAGCTCTTGGGGGCCGCCACAGGACACTGCCACCCCAGGAACTCGGGCCCGCCTGCACAATGCAGTGAGATGCATCTCTGTGTTAAAAGTTAAAAACAAATGCTTTGGTTTTTTGAGACAGGGTCTGGCTATATAGCCCAGGCCGGCATCAAACTCGAGGTTCTCATTCTGCCTCAGCCTCCCACGTGCTGGGATTACAGGCGTACACCATCACACCTGGCTCTGTGTCTCTCAGAAAGCAAAAAGCAGACCAACAGCCCCCACAAAACCTCAAACGCTTCAGCTCTGCGGCACTGGCTCCTGAGCCGCGCTCGCCATAGCTGCTGCATGCGCCAGGGGCAGCTGGGCTTACAGTCGGGGTTGCACTGGCAGAACTTCTCGCAGAAGTTCTGGGTCATGATGCACGGGCAGGTGCCGTCGCAGGGCCGGTCGGGGTGGTCGCAGGGCTGGTAGTTGTATACTTGCGTGGCGTTATTGTCTAGGAGGCAGAGGAGGAACAGCTGCCCAGACGCTCGTCCCAGGCCAGCTTCCCACGCCCGAGCCGCCTTCCTGGCTCCGGCCCTGCTCGGGTCTGGAGCTGACAGGAAGCGGAGACCACAGGCCCCAGGCTGCCTTCCCGCTCACCCTGGCCAGTGAGCTCAGCCCTCCTGCCCAGACACAGGGGCCAGAGCCTATAGGGACAGCTGCAGGGCAGGCGTGGCGCAGGCTGGCCTCATCTGAGCCAACCGGAGTGCGCCAGAGCCCACCTTTGTGCTTTTTACTGCTGGGGTGGGGTCGGGCCTCACTGAACTAAGCACAGCCTGACCTCGGACCCCAGTGGCCTGGCCTTACCTTTCTTCAGCTGGATTTTCCTGCAGTGCGCAGCCCATAGCCTGAGAGAGAGAAGAGAAGGCTCGGCCCGGCCCATGGGGCATGTGGATGCCATTCGGTGACACAGCCTTCCCGAGCTGACCCCATGTGCACCAGAGCCCTGCAGTCCAGCGGCCTATGCTAAACCCTGAGCCTCACCCGAGCACATGCATGGAAGGGCAAAGGCACAAAGCCAAGGCCAAGGCTGTGTGAGTTTTTAGGGTGCCAGGGATTGAACCTAGGGCCTTGGCACTGAATAAAACCCTTGTACTTTATTCTCTATGTTGAGACAGGGTCTCACTATATCACTAAGCTGCTCAGGCTGGGCTACAGAGGGGCGCTTCTGCCTGCCCTTCCTAGAGTGTGGGGATCACAGACACAGCCGCCACGCCTGGCGACCAGGGTGCCTAACTGCTAATGCTTCTCTGTCTCCGTTTTTCAGCAGAGGAGATCTGGGAGAGGCGCAGATCAAAGGCTTCCCCCACCGGGGCATTTGCACTGGGGAAGCGGGTGGCCAGTGGGCTATACTATAACTCAGTGCCCAGTGCAGCATGCATGCTTGGGGGAAATAAGCCAGCACAGCCGGGGCAGTGGGGGCAGAGCAGACAGCGCTGGGCCTGGGCCAGGATGCTGGGTGCCACTCTCAGCCCCAAAGCACTTACCTATGCTTCCTCTTCTTCTTCTGCGAGGGGTTCATGAGCTCGTCGGTGGGTAGCTTCAAGATGAGTGACTCTTTAACTGCGAACTGGAAGACCTAGCAGGAGGCCAGTGGGGCGGTCAGCTGCATGGCCAGCGCTCCAGAACAAATCGGGGAAGGGGTCTCCTCCAGTTCCCTGGCCACAGAAGGGACACTGGGGCACAGGTCTCTTCTAGACTGGGAGGCTGAAGCCCTGGCTGAACACCAGCTCCCCCTGCTGGAGCACCAGCAAACCCTCTGCCTGGGGCCTGGACAGTGGTGGCCCCTGGCTATTTTCATTCTCAGACCAGCTAAGATGTCCAGCTGGCCTTGAACTTGCAAGCCTCCTGCCTCGGCCTCCCCAACAGCTTGGACTACAGGCACGTGCCAGGAAAAGCCACATGGAGATCACAGGCAGAGCCCAGGCACTCATGTCCTCGTTGTCCTAAGCTGCGAAGGCGCGTCCCAAACACAGGCACATCTTTGGGTGCCGGGACAGCTGCCATGAGGGTCCACGGGGGCAGCTCCAAAGTCGGGGCCCAGCAAGCAGGCTCAGTCCCGAAACTCCCCAGGGTCCCTTCCTGGTACGGGTGTGGGTTTAGAAAGGAAGTCAGAGGCCAGAGAGCAGCCACAGTGGCACAGCTCAGCTGGGATGCTGAGGCAAAGACGGGAACAGGTGAGGGACAGGGTCACACAGGGCCCAGGCCCATCCTGGGATGGAGCCTGACAAGGCCGAGAGAGGACGGACAGCGGGGCCAAGGGACTGGGTGGGCAGCACCTGCTTGCACGTCTTTGTGCCCAGCAGCCTGGCGATGGAGCAGAAGTTGTTGAAGTAGGTGCCATGGAAGACGCGGAACAGAGACTCCTCGGCCCCCGTCCATTCCACAGGCTCGGACGGGGCCTCGACGACACAGAGCTGGGCCGGCGCAGGGCTGGCCTTCTGCTTTGTGGGCGTCTGGCAACGGGAGTTGGCCTCTGAGCAAGGATGGGCAGAAAAAAAAAGTGGACAGCTGCAGCAGGTGACAGGTCAGGAGCACTTGCCCCCAACCTGGAGAGGCGGCAGCTTAAGCATGGAAAGATTCCCGTCTCTACTGCCTACCGGGGCGCTTGGGAAGAGAACTCATGATTCTGCTTTTTGGAGGCAGGGTGTCATGTTGTTCAGGCCACCCTGAGCTGTGTAGCCTAGGCTGGCCTTGAAACTCTTGGAGATCCTCCTGCCTCTGCCTCCTGAGTGCTGGTATGACAGGTGACCACCCCACCCCCCCACCCGCCCATCAGTGAACTGGCTTTTGAACAGGTATAGCTATTCAGAACCAGTGGTCCCAGCCTCCCAAGTCCTTTTGCGGAAAGACCAGAGCCAGGCGACAGCAGGCCGTACCCGAGGAGCTTGAGGCCCAGTCATTGCCTGTGTCCCTGTCACTATCTCCTTCTTTTGTCTCGGCCACTGTGGAGGTGGATGTGTTGGGACAGGAAGCGCTGACCACGTGGTGCCGTCGCCGCCGGCGTCCAGAGCACTTGGAACGTGGGTTGTGCAGCATGGCGTACTCCTTGGCACCCTCCTGGAATGAGGCGCCACCCTGAGCTATGCGGGCTGGGACCGGAGCCATGGGACCAGCCTGTGCCCAGAGCGCACAGCCTGCCCTCACCACCACGTTCAAGCATGGCCCCAGGTCCAAGACAGTGTGACGTTAACTTATAGATGCACAATGTGCCTTTGAGAGCTGCCCTGCAGCCCTGAGACACCGCAGCTCTGTGCCCCCGAGCTGGACCCACTTCTGCAGGCCCTAGCTCTCACCAACCTGTGTGTGGGGCAGGCCCTCCTGCGAGGCCCAGGGTCCATATCCAGCTGCATCTCCACTACTTTACAACAAATTTTTAGCCAGGTGTGGAGGCACATGCTTGTTATCCTAGCACTGAGGAGACTGAGGAAGAAGGATTCCTGTGAGTTCAAAGCCAGCCTGAACTACAGAGTGAGACCCTGTCTTGAAAATAAGCCTCTGCCCCAAATGTGGATTATAAACCAGCTTGGAATTATCAAATAGAAGAAAACAGCGGTAGAATTGAGATCAAACATCTGGGTGCAGTGGTGCACACCCGTGAGGTAGGAAGAGCACAAGTTCGCACCCAGCCAAGGAAACTTCAGGACTTAGTGACCTTAGACCCTGAGCCAAAAGAAAGAGAAAAAAGAAAAAAAAAAGAGAAGGAAAAGAGAACAGGGTTGGCCGCAGCCGTGGAGCACAGTGCCAAAGCACCGTCCACCCTCAGTCCTGAAAGATGGCAACAGAGCTCTCCTAGGCAGGGGCCCTGGTCTCTCCTAGACTTCTGCAGAAAGGGACAAGGCTGAGCTTGCAGCCCATACCCTAGGCCTGGCTCTAGCAACGCTGTCACAGGCACGCCCACCTGCCACTGTGTGCCACTGTCACTCATTGCTGCCTGCAGTCTAATACGGCACAGGCAGACCCTGGAGCTGGCGCAGCTGCCCTGGATGCTGCTCCATCACAGCCTCTGGCTGCGCTGGGAGACAGGGTCTCACTGTTGCCCAGCTGGGCTTGAACTCGCGCTCTTCCTGCTTCAGGCTTCTAGTGCTGCGGTGTGCCCCAGCACTCACGTACCATAGACTCAGTCACAGCAGGGACGTGCACCTAACTTCCACAGACTCGGATTCTACCTTGTGGTGTCCCCACAGGGTGCAGTGAGATGGTGTGTGCTAAGGGCCCCAACTCCTGGCCAGGAGTCCAAGTGTGTCAGGGAAAGGAAGCCAGCCCTGTCACTTCACTGTGCATGTTCCCCCGACTGCTGTGCAGCCCGCGTTCAGGAGTGCAGCAGACTGCATACACCACCACCGCTCCTTCCACTGCCACACTCAAGTCCAGCCCACAGCACCAAGCTGCGCACCTGCCTTCCACAGCAGACTCCTCACCCAGGGCTTCCTTCCAAGCTCAGTCTATGGTGCTGGAAGCCCAGTGCGGGTCCATGTGGATAATCACACCATGAGGCCAGCGCCTCTGTCCTGCTGCCACGTGACACATGTGTAAAGGAGCTGGGGGGACACGGGGTGCACATGCCAACACCTGGCACTGTCTCCTTTACCCTTTTGGCAGAGCTGGGACTTGAACCTGGGTCCTTGGTTGTGCTGGGCAGGTACCCTCCCACTGACCCACAGCCCGGTCTCTCAGCTCAGAGCCCAGGGATCAGCTTCAGGCTCGAAACATCTCGGCTGACGATGGAATCTCACACCTGACGCCGAGCTCGGGTGCAGCGGGAGCCCTGGTGCTGTGTCCAGGTCTCCTGGTCTATGGTTCCCAGCGCCAGAGAGCTCCAGGGCTGTTTGCGTGTCTGGCTCAGTTCCAAGCCACTACCAGTGCTGGACAGTGGAGGAACTCACCAGCAGCAGGAAGCATTCAGAGCCACAGGGCTCCGGCTCGATCTTGATCTCCTTGTTCTTCCGTTTATACACGTTCGGGGTGGCGTGGAAAGCTGCACAGAAAAATGGCCATGTGTCCAGGGCTCAGCCGTCCCCTCGCCCAAGGTAGTACCCAGGCCCTCTGGGAGCAGGGTCAGCCCAGCAGCGGGGCCAGGGGAGATGCAGCACTCACGGTGCAGGAAGCAGTCATACTTGAAGCAGCGGCGACAGAAGAGCGTGTGGAAGGAGTGCAGGGACTGCTCGCGCTGCACCGACCTGGCGTCGGGGCCGTCGATGTTGGGCGTGCACTGCGGAGGAAGTGCATTGGGGTCGGACATCTCCGTCAGCTCCCGGTACCTGCGGGCAGGGGCAGCAACCCATCAGGGGCCGTTACCACCATCAACCCAGATCAGCCTGGACCGGCACCATCTGCCACAGCACAGGTGTTGGGGCTGCCGCCGAGTGGACTGGACACTGTCACAGGTCCTGGTACAGGACTGAGGATCTCGGGAAGGGAGGGGCCGCAGGGTGTCACTGGCGGGCAAGCAGTCTCCACTCTGCAAACAGGGTCCTTACTCCTGCAGGCACCAGGGAGCAGGCACCAGGCACCAGGGAACACGCACCTCTCCTTCATGTCATCCGGCACGCCGCTCTCAGGGAACATGGAGGCGATGGCACTGAAGATCATATCATTGGGGAACTGCTTCTTGGAACTCTTCTTGCTGCCTGGACCAGAAATGATTAAAAACAAAACAAAAAAATCCTGAGCGCTATGATCAGGGCTGAAAACAAAGCTACTTCACCTTTTTCCTCTGTCATAGCAATTTGTGTTTTTTCCTGGCACTGGGGACAGACACCAGGGCTTTCACATTGAGCTCCATCCACAGCCCTTTGTACAATTTTTATTCACTGAGTTACCCAGGCTGGACCTGGACTTGCAATCCTCCTGCCTCAGCCTCCCGAGGTCAGAATGACAGGTGTGCCTGTCACAGCATTTTAATAAGCTGCTCTGCCAATCGGACGCCTGCCAAGCAAACCCTCAGGCCCTCCTCCAACCTAGAGAAGAATCCTGTCGCCACGCTGACACTGAAGGACAACACAGACACCAGGACAGTTAAGAGAGACACTACCTCTAGACGTGCAGCACTACGGGTGACACACACACCATCAGGCAGTTCAGTGTTGGTGATGAGGGCAAGGTGAAGGAGCCCAGACCAAAGTGCACAGGCTGGCCTGCTGCGCAGTACAGCTGCTGCCTGTGCGTTCCTAAATCTAGAGGGTTGTTTTCCAAGCATGCTGGCTACGGAATTGGAAACAAGGGACTGGGAACACAGCTTAGCAGCACAGCACCTGCCTGTCACATGGGGCTGTGAGTTCAATCCATGGTACCAGGAAAAAAAAAAGGAGCAATGGGCACTTCTGCACTCTGCAGTCACAGCCCCCTGCCACATGCAGCCCTGGTCACTGCGCACGCAGCCTGTGGAGCCCAACCCTCCCTCCCTCCCTGCGCTGCCCCTTCACACCAGAACACAGAAGACCGGCACGGCAGTGAGCACGAAGAAGCCTATACACAGGAGGCTGAGGCAGGAGGGCTGTGAGTTTGAGGTCTGCCTGAGCTACACCGAGAGATGCTGCCTCAAACTGAGAACAAAGGGGCCCAGGGACAGGGCCGCGCACCCTCCACAGCATGGCGCTTCCTCTTCCGCGTGACTGGCAGGTCCTCCTGGCCGTCACCCTGCTTTCCATCCACACTGTCGTTGTGCCCCTCCTCCTCCTCATCTGAGTGCTGATTCAGGGCGTCCACCAGCTCCAGGAAGACAGCATCGCTGATGAGGACAGAGCCAGGGATCATGTCTGAAACCAAGGAGGGGGAGGTGGTGAGCAGGGTTAGGGTTAGGGTGTCTTCCTGTGGCCCTCAGGGTCACCATCTCACCTGACAGGTCAGCTGGCTGGGCAGAAAACCACCGCCCACCTTATTCTTACTGGGCTGCTTACTGATCCACCCTGGGTTCAGGCACTGACTCCCAAAAAGGTAATGAAAACTGAATTTTACTTGGCTTTGCTACTGAGGGACTAACAGTGACTTCTCTAATTAAAAAAACAGCTTTGGTTTGTGTTTGTTTTTGAGACAGGGTCCCACTGTGCAGCCCAGGCTGGCCTTGAACTTGTGATGACCCTCCTGCCTCAGCCTCCCAAATGCTGGGATGACAGGCATGTGCCACCACACCTGGAGAAACAAGACTGTCCCTAAAATCATGCTCCACCAGGCTGTGCAGAGCTTGGGGAGTCTGGACACTAGAGGTCGCCGTGGGGAAAGATTGCGTCTGTGCAGCAGCCTAGGGTGGTTGCAGATGGGGATCTCCCAGCCCCACCCTCTCTCCTAGACCTCGGCAGCCCCACAGGAGACAGAGGCTGCTGTGGCCACTCCCTCCTGGACAGGGGCTCATGGCCAGCTCCATCCAGCATCATTTCGATGCCGATCACAGGCTGGCCGCCAGGGTTCCCCACCAAGGCTCCCGGTGCTTACCTTCCTCACCGTGGACTTTGCCATCGTAGTTGTTGATCAGCTCCTCGATGAAGGTCTCGTCTTCCTCCTTCACCTCATCCCCCATGTAAGGGATATTGCACAGAACTGTCTCATCTTCTACCTGAAGCCGGGCACCCTGGGTTGTCACCTGAGCCTGGCCTGGCTCTCCCTAGCCCAAGGCCCCCGAGTGCCCTGCAGTATGTGCAGGCTTCCCTGCGCTCTAAAACTCCAGAAGGGGTGAGTCATTGCTGCCCGTGACTGTTACATAGCCTAACACCCATGGACATCACCTGCATCTCACCGCGCCCCCTCCTCCACTGGGACCTTTGCAGGCCCAGCCAAGGAGATAGGGCCGAGAAACTCTGTCCACAAAGCCAGGCCGTCTCTACAGCACCGCTGCTGCCCTGTGACACGTGTGGCAGGTGCCTCCTCCCCTTCCCTTCCTTCTCTTCCCAGCTGAGGGGCTCCCAGCCACGTGCAGACAGGAGATGCTTTTACAGGGCCAGATCTATTGCAGTCAGCCACTTGCACCAGGCAGGCAGACAGGCCACAGCAGGACATCTGGGGAGGACATGGATGGCCCTATTCCTTCCATAGGGAGGCGACAGCCTGCCAGGCCAGGACCTGCACCTGATGCTGCCACCTGGGGGTGGCGCACAGGGTAAACCGAGTCTCGCCCGTCTCATTTATCGGAGGCAGAGAGCGCCGGATCAGACCTGTCACACTGCCTGCAAGTGGCAGTTGTGAGGGTAGCCTGGGGCTCTTGTCCCTCAGCTGACTCTGCCCAGCAGCCCCCACCGGGTATGCATGCCCAGCCCGCGCAGTGTACGCACCATGAAGTTCTGCTGCAGTGGAGACCAGGAGTACATGATGGGGACCAGCGCTACTGTGTTGAGGGACCGCATCAAGAGGTGCTGGCTGGCGAAGCCCGGGAAGAGGCTCTCCACGGTGCACTGTGGGCCAGGGGATGGGGCACAGTGACACACACCCGCCCCATGACCCGGACCCCTCCCGTCGGCTCTGTCATGCTAACCCTAACCCTAATGCCCATCAGTGTCCTCTTTGGAGCCCAGCCTGGGGCCAGGAGGCTCGGAGACTTCCCTGAGTACCCGCCTGCAGGCAGTGCAGGGGAGCACCGTGGTAAAAAAGCCACGGCCTGCTGTGAGGAAGACAGTTGCTCTCATACTCTTTGCTTTTAATTTTAAAAAACGATCTCTTGCCCAGGATGTAGCTCAGTGGCATAGCACCTGCCTGGCAAACACAAAGTCCTGAGTTTGATTCCCTGTAGCAAAAAAAATATCTAAGAAATTGGAATTCTCTTTTCAAATTTATACTTGAAGCTAAGTATGGTGGCACATGCCTGTAATCTCAGCATTCCAGGAGGCTAAGACAGGAGGATACAAAGTTTAAGCCCAGCCTGAACAACCTAGCAACTCAGCAGGACTGTCTCAAAAATGGCGATGACAACAAAAAACAGCCAGGCTTAGTGGCACACACCTGTAATCCTAACTCTTGGGAAGCTGAGGCAGGAGGAGCACTCCATCCAGTACTACACAGTGAGTTCAAGGCCAGCCTAAACTACATGGTAAGACCCTGTCTCTAAAAACCAAAACTAAATATATAAATGAGGGCTGGGGACATAGTTTAATGTGAAGGTCTTGGGCATAGTCCCCAACAATGCAAGGAAAAATATAGTTCAGTTCAATAAATAAATATACAATAAGGAAGGCCTCTCTGGCCAAACACTCACTCCTATTTCCCAGGTGGTCCCTTTCTATACTAAAGTACTCAAAGAGCTGGCCACAGTGGAGCACACCTGCCATCCCAGAACTCAGGAGGCTAAGGCAGGAGGATTACTGTGAGTTCCAGACCAGCTTAGGCTACAAAGTGAGCTTAAGGCCGGCCTGGATGACACAGAGACACTCTGACTCAAAAAGACTGAAAAAAAAAAAAAAAAAAAAAAAGAGTCAAACAAGTGCCAGAAAAATGTGTTTTGGGGCTTAAGACACAAAGCCCAGGGAGGCACATGGTAAACGCCATGTTTTCTATGAGAGTCGCAATTATACTCCTGGACGGAGGAAAGACAAGGGGAAAAGCTTGTCCCGCTGTCCCCTAGCTGGGACGGTGCAGCCCCAGCCGGAAGTACCTTTTTGAGAAAAGGGTGCCCGCTCACAGGTCTCATGGATTGCACGGGCTGCACCCTACGTTTCTTCCACTCTTCGTTAAGGATTTGGGTTTTTTCTTGAACCTTTGCAAAATTTGCCACGTACAGAGCCTGGCGGAGCCAAGGAGAATGTTGTTCAGATTTCAAAAGAAGAAAACAGAACCCAGGGCAGCCTCACGTGGGACAGCCACCCCGCCTGGCCGCCGGGCCTTGCCTTGGCTCCCATGTTAGCCTGCAGGCGCCGCAGCTGCCGCAGCCGCATATACTCAGACTTGACCTTCCTCTTCCAATATGTGATGCACTTGGAGGAGGGCGGGCTCGCGATGTCCATCCCGCTGGCCTGGGGACACAGGGACCCAGTCAGTCTCCTGCCCGCTTCCCTTAGGCTGTGCCCAGGACCACTAAGTGTCCTCCGCCATCTGTCAGTGTAACGAGGCCGCCACTGAAGGGAGGCTTCGCAGCTGCAGTCCCCAGCCCTCATCCTCCATGGGGACGCGTTCTAAGCTTGGGGCCCAGTGCCCTGCTTAGCGTGTCCATAGTTTAGGGACTCGCATTTCTTGGATACAAGGAAGATGACTCAAAGAAATGTCTCCCCAGAATGAGTTCATATGCAATAGCCACTCAGGAGCAGCTGCCACAGGACACACTGTCCCCACCAAACCGCCTCATCTCTGAGCGGGTGACCAAGCAGGGCACCATGACAGTACACACCAATCTCCAGTCCTCATTAAGATACACTAAGTCACTTTTTGCTCTTTTGTCTCTTTGTTTTGTGAGCCAGGGGTTTGCTATGTACCCCAGGCTGGTCCTGAACTCACGGTGACCTTCCTGTCTCAGCCTAAGGGCTGGAAATGACAGGCATGTGCCACCATGGCCACGTCTTTTTTTTTTCATGGACAGGTCTTTTGAATTAAGGTTCAAATTTCACGGGAATGCACCATGAGATACTTACCTCCCTTGTAGAACGCAAAGTGGGTGCCAGACTTCGGGGTGGGCCTCTGTTCTTCAGGGGAATAGCAACGGGCAACAAACATCCAGTTTGCAAGAAAAGAGACAACACCTTCACCCAATCGGAGCAGCAGATTTAGATCCTGCCCCAAGCACTTCAGGACTCCCCATGCAGAAGACTTCCCAATCTCAGTGGCAGGACTGGGCCCACACCTCACTCATGCCAGGCAAGGTCGAGCACTAGGATACAGCCTCGGCCTGGCCTCAAGTTTGTGATCCTCCTGCCTCAGCCTCTGGAGTGGGTGGGATTACAGACAGGTGCCCTGCACCTGACTTCTACTACCATGATGTTCACATGTAAATCAGGCCCCCGAAATACTCGATGCCATTTCAGAAGAGGCTTTTATTTTATTAAGCTCTGCCCTTCTGCTCACATGTGCAAATATATCCACACAATTACCACGCTGGCTTTGCCCACAGCCCCAACTAATAAAGACAACAGGTAGAAACTCACTAAAATCCACACGACAGCACTTTTACTCCACAGGAACTAGTCAGGCTTCTTAGAAAACGCTTTCTTTTCACTTCATCTAGCCTCCAAAAATATTACTGTGGAAGGCAAAAATAACTGAAACTTCAGTTTCAGACTGTTTTTAAAATTCTTCTAAGACCTTTTTTTTTTTGAGACAGGATCTTATTATATAGTTCAGGTGAGCACTGAATTTGTTATGCAGCCAAGGCTGACCACAGTTTATGGAGACTCTCCTGCCTCAGCCTCATCAGTGCTGGAGTTACAGTTGTGCATTATCATGCATTGCCAGGCTGGCCTCAATCTCATCGGCTCAAGCACCCTGCCATGCCTAGCTTCTAAATTTAGAGGATAAGCAGCAAAGAAGCAGAGAGATACACTGTTGGTTGTTAACCCAAACCCAGTGAGTTGAGCCTGTAGTTAATAACAGACCTTCTCTGAGTTAAACATTATCTGTTCAAGAAAAGAATAAAATAACAACAAAATCCAAGAACGTGAATCCCAGCCAGGTGTAGCGGTGCATGGCTGTCATCCCAATGACTCCGGAGGTTAAGGCAGGAGGACTACTTGAATCCAGGAGTTCAAGTCAGCTTGGGCAACAAAGCTCCCCATCTTTTAAGCGGGGAGTAGGGTGACTTTCAAACTGGGTTAAACAAAATTAAGACTTGAATTTCATTCCTTCAAACTGCATGATCTCCATTCCCTCTGCATCTTTTAAACATTTCTCACATTCCCACAGGGAATGGGACCAAAACACAGCCTCTTTCTTTTCTTTGGTACTGGGGGTCGCACTCTCTACCTCACTCTTGCCAGACAGGCGCCTACGCCGTGAGCCATACCCCAGCAATGCGGCCTATTTCTGTGACAGACTATGAGCAACACTCACTGTGGGCCTGCTGATCACTCAGCGACTGTCTGTGTTGTTATTTCTGTCCTCAGTAAACTTAGCGATGGTTTGGTTCAGAAAGGAGAAATGGTTCTGATCTAGGACAAAACTGACTCAGAACCCTCAGGCTGCGTCCGCCTGAGACCTGGATGCTCGGTGAGCCATCACAGCCTCCCTCATAGCCTAGCTTTGCACTGTGCCCTCCTCGGACACACTGCCCTCCCGGAAACACGCACCTGGAGCAGGCTGTGCCTCCTGGGAGCTTTTACAAGCGGAGACTGAACAACGGATGTGCACACAAGCTCTGCTCTTGCTAGGATGTGCAGATTGCTCAGAGGATGAGGTCACAGAAAGATAGCAACAATTTTATTTTTTGTTTTTTTGAGACAGGGTCTCCTATGTAGCTCGGGCTGGCTGTTGAACCCTTGGTGATCCTCTTGCCTCTGCTTGCCTGGGGCTGGGGTTACAGATGTGTGCCACCACACATGGCCTGCAACATTTCCATTGAGATGGACACAGTGGTCACACCTTGAGACCCAGCACTCTGGGAAGCTGAGGCAGGAGGATCACAGGTTCCAGGCCAGCCTGGGACAACTCAGCAAGACCCTGTTTCAAGACACAAATGAGTATACGGGCTGGGATACGGCACAGGGGCACAGTGACTGCCTGACAAGCACAAGGTCCTGAGTTTGATTCCTGGCACCAAAAACAGAAGGGGTGGGGGTATGCCTCAGTCTGAAGGCCTTAGGATCAATCACTTGTACCAAAATAAAGCATTGAGGGGCTGGGGATTTAGCTCAGCCGCATAAGTGCCTGCCTTGCAAGCGCGTGGTCATGAGTTCGAACCTCGGTACCCATAAAAAATAAATAAAAAAATAAAGCATCAAATTTGAATTCTGATATGTGACCTCGCACAGTCAAGGGACTACACTAAACACATCACAGTAAGCCATAGAGAACAGAACCACCTAATCGCTCTCAGGTGTTCTGTGGGCCAACAGAGTCATGCACACAGGTGACACACCATGGAGCTGAAGCCAGGCAGTGTGAGGAAGCCACGCCCCTCCTTTTGCAAAGCACTACGTGAATCTGTTTGTCCCGGAGCTAATGGGTACTTTGGTTGCTTGGTAAGGGATTCTCAACGTTCCTCCCCATTTACTTGGCAGCTGATTGTTACTGCGGAACAGGAGGAAGAGACACAGGTTGTGGAAAGAAACACGGGAGGCCCATTGTGCAATATCACAGCAGCCATGCCCTGACCAAGGGCTGAGACCAGATGAACACACACTCGGGCTCGAGCGCAGGTATGCACGTGCACGCACACACAGTAGAAGGAAAGCCTGCTGGACCCGCTTGGGGTCTGGGCACAGTGACAGCACACACTTCCTCTCCCCTCAGTTACTTCCGCCAGCAGAGGAGCACCCGCACTCCCGCTAGGGACTCGAGCACCCTGCTTTACGACCATTTGTGCACTGCAAACAAACTCCAAGTGTGCGCTGCTTTGGGCACAGCCTTTATTGGTAACTCCGGTGACCCCTAAGGTAAGCCGCCCAATACGGTAGCGGGCAAAATGTTACCCAGATGCTTCTCTAACGGGCACTGCCTGGCCGGGCCCATGGCTCCCTGCCTGAGCGCTCACCTGGCTCATGGAGGCCCTGGGTTCGAGCTGCAGCAACCAAAAGGGGACAGAAAAGAAACACCAAAACAGCAAAGAGGTACGCGAAAAAGTGGTGACAGCACCAGTCACCAGGACCACTTGCATCAGAACCCTAACGAGGTGCCACTTGTGCCCACCAGCACAGCTGCTGGGCACGACAGACACAGGAGAGTGGGGCCCTGCACTCCACCACAGGGATGCGGCACAGCTGGGCCGCTCCACTCTAGAATGCCATTCAGCTCAGCAGTTCTCTTTGGTTTTGTAGTTTCAGGGGTTTGTTTGTCTCCCCACATTCTTAAAACCACAGCCCATGGGTTACGCAGACACATGGATTTCATGTAACATACTGTGGTCACCTTCTGTCCCACCTCATGTATCTTGGGGGAGTCAGCGTGTGATGTGTTATGATCACACTCATTTTTTGTTTTGAGACAGTCTTGCTCTATCTACAGTCCCCGCTGGCCTTGAACCCACTAGGGAGCCCAAAAATCTTGAATTTGAGATCTTCCTGCAATAGTAGCCCCTGTGCTGGGGCTACAGGAGCAGGACCCCTGGCCAGCATCTTTACTTATAGCAGCCAAAGAGGACAGAGATGGATGGGTTATGCTCAGTGAAAAAAACAGACATTCAGAAACCACCCTGCATCAGGCTCCACACATAACATTCTATTAGGATGATCCCCAGAAGTGCAAAACTAGTCACAAAAAGCAGATCAGTGGCTGCCAGGGGCTGGTGTGGGCTTAGGGACTGAAGGAAAGGGACAAAAGAAAACTGGCTCGGGTCTGATGTGTCCCACTGTGTCCTGGAGCCTCTGACAGACGCATCCTGATGGACACTCAACATGCTCCATTCTCAGAGCAGGTGAACTTTCTGTATGGAAACTTTATCTGTTTAAATCTCACTAAAGATAGAAAAAGGATGGACCAACCCAGTATTTTCTAGAGACTTTTACTATTAAAAAGCTAGACAGGCCGGGATTTAACTCAGCACTGTAAGTGCCTGCCTGGCAAGGGCGAGGTCGTGAGTTTGATCCCCATACCAAAAATAAATAAATAAATAAAATTAAAAGTTGGACAGTCAGGCATGGTGGTAGGTACCTGTATTCCCAGCCACCTGGGAAGCTGATAACAGGAGGATCTCTAATCCAAGACCAGATGAGGGAATACAGAGAGAATCCCATCTCAAAAATGCAAAGATCCATATGCAATCAATCCCTCTTGGCTTTTTCATTTTATTTTTAAGCTGTGCAGCGACCTCAGAATAAATAACATTAGAACTGACCAATAGTAACTCAGTATCTGACAATACCACCAGATGTTAATAAACGAGCAGAGACAGGAGCACCCCAGATTCAAGTCAGCCTGGCTACACACCAAGATTTTGTCTCATCCTCTCCCCACCAAAAAGATGTTACTAGGGGAAATTGCAGGTAGGGTTTATGGAATTTTCCTGTACTACCTTACCATTTATTTGTTTTCTCTTTTGTAAACCTAAAACTGTTCTAAAAAATATGCCAGGTATGGTGGTGCATATCTGTAACCCCAGCACTTGGGAGGCCGAGACAGGAGGATCACTATGAGTTTTAGCCCAGCCTGTGCTAGTGAGACATTGCCTAAATCCTACCAACCCACCATGCCAAAGCTAGGCCAGCTCAGAAGGAATTACTAGGATGAGTCAAGTGTAACACACCGGAGGCACTGGGCCCCAGGCACCCATTAAGTAACCCGTGACGCTGGACTCAGAGCCCTGGAGTCCCAACTGATAACCCAATGATAAAAGAGGAAGGACAGGGCCCAATGTGTTGCAGCAGGGACAAAAAACAAAAAACAGGGCTGGGGATTTAGCTCAGCGGCATAAGCGCCTGCCTTGCAAGCAGGCAGTTGTGAGTTCGATCCCTGGTACCAATAAAAAACGAAAAAGACCAAAAAAACAAAAAAACAAAAACCAGACACACATGGGGACTTTCCAGATGGAGACATTTCCAGAGCAGCAAGCCTTCTTTCTTATTACTCTGCTGCCACTCAGTCCCTATCTGGTATAAATTATCTCCCCCTCCTCTGCATTTTTTTTTTTTTTGAGACAGGGTCTCACTACATAGTTCAGGCTGTGATCCCTCTGCCTCAGCTTACTGAGTACTGAGATTAGAGGTGTGCACCCACCCATGCCCATACTGGTTTTTCTCTTTATCCTAGGATAAAATACTGTGGTTTTCAGAGTTGGGGTTTCCAGCCTCTTCTGGGAAGTAACCAAGAAACAAAGTAGGAATTTTTAAAACCTAGCTGCAGACCACAACAAGATACACTTAATGAAACTGTTCCATTTTTTCTGATTAAGACACAAATAGAGGGCAGACAGTGTTCCATAGAGGACTAAGAAAGAAGCCCGGATTCAAATTCCAGGAATTAAACAGGTAAAATCTTCATCCCAGGTGCTGAGAGCCTTAGCAAGTGTTTGTCCAGCATGATGGTAATTTTCATTTCTAATTCCAGCTCTGCTTGAGGACCCTACCATAACTACCATACTGAAGAGCTAGCTCCTTCACACTTGGAGCTTCCAGGCTGTGCCAGCCCGGTGTGGTGATGCACGCTGTCACCTCAGGGCTTTGGGAGGCCGAGGCGAGAGACTCACCCTCAAATTCAAGGCCAGCCTGAACCACATGGCGCGAGTGTATCTCAAAAAATAAAAAATAAAGCCGGGTGTGGTAACTCACCCCTGTAATCCCAGGACTCGGGAGGCTGAGGCAGGAGGGTCGCTAAGAGTTCAAGACCAGCCTAAGCTACAAAATGAGCTCAGGCCCAGCCTGAACTGCATAAAGTTTTGCCTCAAAGACAAAAAAAAAAAAAAAAAAAAAAAAAAAGCCAAACAAACAAAAAAAGAAAAAAGCCGTGTTTAGCTCTGTGACTGGCCTGCAAAGTGCTCTGGCTGTTTTTATTTTACAGAACAAAGACCCAGGCTTTCTGACTTCCAGCCCAGAAAGGTTCTGCCATGGACTCCACAAATACTTCCGGAGCCTTTCCTACACGCCGAGTACTGTCTGGGATGCTCAGGGTCACCAGTGAGAACACTCGCGCAGCCAGGGGCGCAAGCCCACCCACTAGGACTTCTCAATCTTCGGGTGCGGGTGTGACGGCTTCTGAGTCCGCAGATGCTCCGTTTCGCAGCGCTTCCCTCCGACCTAGGCAGCCTCTGGTTGGATCCCGGTTCCTGGATTCCAGCTCAGGTCAGCTGGCCCTGCTGGGCGCTTCCCTGGCTGCAGGCTGCACTCACTCAACACCTGTTTCTCTATCTTAACCCGAATGGGGGTCTGCCCACTCCGAGGCGTCAGGGAGCACCCAAAGAGTGCACACTCTCACCGCAGCCCCAGGTTCACCCGAGGCCCCCTGTCACCCATTGGATCCGCCTGGGGCATGGGGTACAGCGCCAGCCTAGCAAGCAGAGCTCCTTCCTGATGCCCAGCACCACTGAGAGGTCCACTCGTGCAGTACGGTGGCACACAACTGTTACCAGCCCAGCTCTCTGAAGGCTGAGGCAGGACAGCATGATCAAGCCCAGCCCGGGTAACTGAGCGACTTAGCGAGGTCTCGGATCAAAAATAAAACCAAGGCTGGGGGAGAGGCTGGGAGCTGAAAGCCCTGGCACGAGCCTCAGAACTAGGCGAGGGAACGGGGGTACCGGCGTCTGCACCCCGCACCCACTCCGAGCCAGGTCCCTGGGCCCCGTAGCCCAGGTCTCCTCCACCCCAAGCAGGAAGCCCCGCCCCTCCCCCCCGCACCTAACGCTTCTCCCCCCCCCCCGACCCCGGGTCTCTCAGCTCGGCGCCCCCTGCCCCAGCGCTTGGAGCCGCAGGGCGCCCTTCCGCCTCCGCGGCTAGGCCCCGTCGCCGCCCGTCCCCGCCTCGGCCCGCCATGTACGACACCCAGCCCGCCATCCCCCGCTTGTTTACTCACTCTCTCTCCCTCTGAAGCGTCGCGGCCGGCCGCTAGGGCGCATGCGCACCAAAGCGTCGCCGCCGCGTCGAGGCCCCGCCCCTACGTCCGGTCGGGCGCATGCGCGTTGCTTCGCGTGAGATGCGTGGAGACCACCTCGGTTTCCCTTTTCGGGTGTCTAGCTTTTGGGGCCAACAGGGCAGACTCAGGAGGCCGGAAAGTTCTAGTCTGGCGCTGTGATTGGAGAGGAGGGGTTTAGGGACACCTTGGCGAGCCATTGGTACCTTCTTAAAGACCTCGCCCAGCTGTGCACGATCCTCCGTCCTCACATGCTGGCAACTTCTCGCTTTAGGTTTGAAGTCCCCAGGGACCTATTGATGAGGATGCTCACGCTTAGCCAACTCCCCAAACGCCAGCAGCGGTTCCGAGTGGCGGGCGTTCTCTCAGGCCTTCAGATGCCAAAGCACAGCCTTAACCAAGTGACCAAATCGAGGTCGCGAGGCCGGGTGTAGGTGCGCACGCCTGTAATCTCAACACTCGGGAGGCTGAGGCAGGAGGATCATTGCAAATTCAAGACAAGCCCGAGCTACAAAGTGAGCTCAAGGCCAGGCTGAACTGCACAGAGACCCTGTCTCAAAAAAAAAAAAAAAAAATTGTCAATATCAGCTATCACTACTCAGCATGTCTGCGAAGAAATCACACAGCCTGGGGTTCTGTGAAGGGCAGCAGACAACCTCAAAGGGAAGGCAACCAGAACCCAGCTGACCTGGGACTCCCATAGTATCCAGGACACCTAAGACCAGACAGACAGACAGGACCTGTCCCAGATTGGAGGTCATGAGGTGTGACCACTAAAATGTCATTTGTGACCTTGGGTTGAAAAAAGACCTAAGTAAGTTAATCTGAGGAACTAGGTCAGTGGTTTAAGAGTAGTATTTTATCAGGATACATTCCTGGTCTTTTTGTTTTTGTTTTGAGATGGTCTTACTCCTGAGATGGTCTTACTCCTTAGTTCAGGCTGGCCTTGAACTCAGTGATTCTCTTGCCTCAGCGTCTGGAGTGCTAGGGTTACCAAGACTGACTAGATTCCTGTTGATTATTTATTTACTTGAAGTTGGAAAAAGAGTATGCATTTCTACACTGCAACTACTGTAGTTAGTAAATGTAAAATTATTTCAAATATAAAGTAAAAAAATAGGGCTGAGGATTTAGCTCAGTAGCACAGCACCTGGCTGAGAAGCACAAGGTCTTGAGTTCAATTTCTGGTATAAGAAACAAAAAATAAAACGAAAAATTAAAGATAAAAATAGCTTGGCCTTGTTTTTACCCAGAATGTACAATTATAAAATCCTGTAATGTTCATGTTTTTTCAAACAATTTCATAATAACCCTATGAAGTACAGAGGGCATGTGTCAGTTTTCCAATAGGCTGGCCTAGAGGCCAGTGTGACATAAAAGAGTTAATGAGCCAGGTATGGTGCCACATGTCTGTAATTCCAGCACTTGGGAGGCTAAGGTTGGAGGCTGAGGCAGGAGAAGCTCTATGAATGAGGCAAACATAGTTACACAGTCAGTTCAAGGCCAACCGAGGCTACATAGACTCTCAAAAAAAAAAAAAAAACAGTGACCTGCCATGTAAACATGGAAAATTGCTCTGTCAGGCCTTACATGTACACCTCTCTGGGTCTCAGATTTATTATTCTTTTTCTTTTTTTCAAAACAGGGTCTCACTATGCAGTTTACAGTGGCCTTCAACTCACTTTGTAGACCAGGCTGGCCTTGAACTCCCAGCAGTTCTCCTGCATCAGCCTCCCAAATGCTGGGATTATAGGTGTGTACCGACACACCTGGTTTACTTGTCTTTTTCATGTATCAAAAATTTTGAATTGGGTATGGTGGTCTACACCTATAATTCCCAGCACTCAGGAAGCTGAGCCAGGAAGATTGCAGTGAAACCCTGTCTCGAGAAAACAACAAGAACAAACTTGAACTTCACTGTTTCCCTTTACACTCATTGACTTAACTGCGAAACAAGGTAAACATTCTTTTTTTTTTTGTCTTTTTCCTTTTCCTTTTTATCGGTACCAGGGATCAAACTCACGACTGCCTGCTTGCAAGGCAGGCACTTATGCCGCTGAGCTAAATCCCCAGCCCCCAAGGTAAACATTCTTGTACACTGCACCTTTTTCTGTACTGGGGGTTGAATTCAGGCCCTTTGCCCTGACTATACCTCTAACTTTTTTTATTTTTTACTTGGAGGCAGAGTTTTGTTGCGTTGCCAAGCTTGCAGTCTTACTGCCTCAGCCTCTCAGAATGCTGAGAGCACAGGTGTGTGCCACCAGGCCTTATGGACACTGCAAGCTGCAGTGATGTTTCTTTCCATTTTCACTGCCTGCTGGAGAAGTGATTCTCAAAGCTGGAGCAGAGCCCCAGGCAGCCCTAAAACCAGGGAGGCTGGGCCTCCTGCCCCTCAACAGTCCGGTAACCGGTCTGGGTTTCGCTCAGACTCTGGGAAGTTTACCAGTGTCCCAGGAGATTGCAGCAGGCAGTCATCTTGGGAACCAAGTTGCTGAGTAATGACTATTGAAGGGAGAAATTGGCGGAAGACAGGTATCCAGGAACTCAGGTGGCGGCAGAAGACCATGAGGGCTTGGGGACCTGTCTGTGAAGCCATGGGAGAGGACAACCTCACCTTAGGGGACTCTGCCAGTGGACAAAAAGATGATAACAGGAACTGTCTGAGGTAGAGACTGACAGCGGGAGTACTGGCTTGTCCTTCAGCCTGCTCATCCTCCTGGACCTGCCCCTGTACCTGACCATACCGCATACCTCTACGCAGCTACTGCAGTGCTCAGAGCAGGACTCAACTCAGGCAAGCAATCCTGTGCACTGAAGAGTTAGGAAACAGCCTCTGCTGTGACCTCACCTATAATGCCACCACTCAGCAGGCTAAGGCAGGAGGATCGCTGTCACTATGAGGCCAGCCTGGGCTACATAGCAAGGGCCTGTCTCAAAAATATCAAATAGGGGCTGAGAATATAGCTCAGTGGCACAGCGCCTGCCTATCAAGTACTAGGTCATGAGTTCGATTCCCAGTACAAAAAAAATTGAACAAACAAAATAGAGAAAGTCGACTTCCCACATCACAATAAATGCAGGGCTCCTAGGCTGCCCCTTGGCCCCTCCTCCCTGGCCACAGAGTGGAGCAACCCCACCCCACGCCCACCTCCAGGCCACGAACAGGTCACTCAGGGCTCTGGCTGTTTGTTCTGCTCTTAAATCGAGGCCTCTGGGGCTGACAAACTGGACACAGTGTGCCGAGGCCTTCTACTAGGACTCGTTCTTTTTCTGAAAGTCCCCTGTGCAGGAAAACAAAATGACGTGTTTCACTTATGAAACCCAATATGCCTGCTTTTCCCAGGCTTGGCCAGAGTCCGCTGTGGCGGCTCCACATGCTCTCCCGCATTATTCACAGCATTGTTTTTTCAAGTCCTTTTCAGTCTGCTTGTTTCCACAGGGACCCCCGGCTTCCAGGTGCTATATCTTGGACCATGGTGGCAGGAAGGCCGCTCCCTGTCCCAAAGCCAGGGTCCACAAGCCCCAGAGACCCGAGCTACACGTGCGTGTCTGTTCCTTCTGGGCGGGTGGCATCTAAGGGACTTTCAGTCCCTGCTGGGCCTCTGCCCACTGGTAGAAAGGGAAGGAGAGGCCGATTCCCAGAACTGCCCTTCCTCCTCCCATCCCTGCCGCTGCTGCTATCAGATTGCAAGGCTTGAGGGGGACACCAGGGCTGGGGAGGACCAGGCTGTAGGCAGCCCTGGAGTGGGGAGTGTAAACACAGCTGTGGACAGACTGAGCAGAGCTGGAGCAGTGTCCTCCTCCCCTGGATCCCACCCAGAAGTGGAGGCCTCCCAGCCAGGGGGAGGGAAATAGGAAAACAAAGCAAAGCACAAGTTGTGCACGGGAACTGGGGCTGCTGCCCAGGCTTGGCGCAGCCACTGGAAGTGCCAGACCCTCCCTGCGCACTTGGAGTGACCCTCGGGGGCCACACAGCTCCGGATCTGGCTGAGCCTGAGTGGAGCCTGGAAACCTCGTCACCCGTGCCAGAGGCCTCTCCACTGCCATGGCCGGATACTTTGTCCTGTGATCTCAGAAACCTGCTCTCTGCCTGACCTCGATGACTTAGGCTTAGGGTTCATAACAATGGGCTGATTCAGTAAGCAGAGACAGGCCAGCAACAAACCCTCAACTCCTCGCAGCCAAATTATGAGGCTGGGCTTCCTTTGCCTTTGTTAATTACAAAATAATTCCAGCAGGTTGGCGCTTCCTAAGCAGGGTATCCTGTGGGTGGGAGTCAGAATTTAATTCACAAAAGCCCCAAAAGCTCTGAGCCTCAGTTGGGGCGGTGCTGCCTGGCCCCTCTCAGGAGTTGGCACAGTTAATGGGGGGCAAGGACTGCGCTGGACAGGCCTTTGGCACAGGCTGCCTGGGACACAGGCGGGTAATGCACTGTGCTTCCCTTCTGGCCACCAGCGCATTGACCGTGAAGGTGACGTGGCAGAGTAAGGAGAAGCAAGAGTGGCCACAAACGCTGCCGCGCTGTGCCTGCCGTGAGAAAGAGCACCACATGGGACAGGAAGCTGGGAGTTTTCCCAATTCTCACTTTATGGCTGGCGATGCCAGGCTGGCCCCAGATCTGTACCCAGCTTCTGGGGCTCCTCTCCCCGACTTGAGCCTCTGCATCCCACCCTCCCCCAGTGGGCTTCTAGCCCTAACATCATGGCCCTGGACCAGGCTCCTGTTGGTGGTGCCAGAGGAAAATGTGTCTGGACGCCAGTCAGCAGCGCTGAGGAAAACAGCCCTACACTTTCTTTGTTCCCGAGATACCAATCAATGTGGGGCCCCACAGAGCCTCCTGCCAGTCAGAGGAGCCCTCGGAGCAAACAGATCCCGGCTGGCAGGAAGGGAGGGCCCCTTCTCCTGTCCCTGCTTCATCGATGTGGGACCCTGGTCCTTGGAACCCAGCATGGTTCACCTGGGACTCCCAGGTCCAGAGAAGTTTGTTGCAAGCTGAGTGTCCACTCTACTTGTGATATCTGTGTGATTACAACTGTGAGACTACACAGAGAGAAACACAGTCAAAGCTGGGCAGCTCGACCTGCAATCCTAGTGTTGCAAGCAGCTGAGTTAGAAACATTACAGGCAGTCATACAGGGCTGGGCCCTCAAAGGGGCCAGAGCAGAAGTTCAGATGCCTTGCAGCCTTGGAAGAGACAATCATCTCCTGCTGGGGCCAGATCTCAAGACAAAAGACAAAGCAAACACAACCACATCCTAAGGATTCACAGTCCAGATAGTCCTTTGTCACCCTAAGAAGCCAGGAGTCAGCTCCCCACCTACAGGAAGGGCCACTGCTGGTAAGCATGCCCACTTACTACGCGACTGGCTCCCCCATTTGCTCCTAATTTAATCAATTTTACATGAGCAGTTAATCTTATTGGTTGACCACAGTTCTGTCCTACCTTAATGCCCACCTTGAAAATTTCCATTTTTCCCACTTTTGTCCCATCTGACCTATGATTTTACTCTGTAAAGGTCTCTGGAGAAGACAGAGTCCTTGGCAACCCACTCAGGACCCCTTCTGTCTCTCTCAATAAATGTTTCTGCTCTTAACCTCCGTTGTTCATAAAATTCATTCTTCGATTTTAGAGAACATGAACTCGTACTAGACATGGTAGGCTGGGAGTTTCATTCCCCTATATCACCAGTGCTTGCAATGCTGAGGTATAGAGAGCCCTTTCCTGGATCTTGTCTCAGTCTGGAGGGTTTGTGTTTCCAGTCCCATGGAGAACTTAGTGGGATTGTTGCAATTAATGCCCATCTACCACTTTAGTAAAACCAAGGCAAGAATAAAGACCCTAAGGCTGGCTGCAGCCCCGCCAGGGGAAGAAAGACCAGCAACTCCTGAGATCCGTGCCATGTTGGAACTTAGGGAGCTGGGAAACCAAGCAACCAGCTGCCTCCCTGCTAAGCAATAGTGAGCTTACTGTTGCACGGGCTGAGAGTCAAACATCCTACTTCCCCTACACCCCTACTCCACTTCCCCTGCCCCCCATTAGCAAATGGGAACCAGGGATCTGAGCATCTCTTGGGAGTCTGACCATAGCAAATAAGGGGGATTTCCTTCTACCATCTCTTTGAAAGCAAATATTTTTATTAGTGTTTTGCTTTATTCTGATTAATGGTACTGCTTTATTCAATATTCTGTTTTGCTAAGTTATATAATGCGCTGCATTTCACTTTATTTTGATATGCACAATCAAAAGAACAACTATTGTGAAGATAATAAGATATACTGTGATACCTATTACTGTTATCCCAATAACCTGCTGTGCAGTTCTGTACCATTTTCACACACTGTCTCAGTTGGCTTTATTCTGTCTTGCTCTGTTGCATTTTACTACCTTCAAAATAAAAATAAATAGAGACCCTAAGGCATAGTTACAGTTGTGGGGAGCCACGGGGTCCTAAGTCCAGCCGGATGAAGGCTCACTGGAACCAAGGCCACACCCAGGACCCAAGTCGAGGTTTATTAATTCTGCATGAGGGGACGGGCTTAGGGATGAGTGACAGTGAGAGAGGTGGGGAAATGCATGACTGCCCTGAGCTGGGCTGGGTAGGAGGCCTGAGGTCACCCCTGCCACACGCAGAGGGCAGGAAATACAGAAAGTAACCTGCAAACACAGCTGAGCTAGTAGCTAATGTTCTGGGGCTGGTGACTCAGCTGGGATGCACAGTCCTGTTTGCCAGGGAGTCATGGCCCCTTTCTGGAGGCTCAGTCCCAGCCCACAGCATGAAGCATGGCTCAATATCCCACCCGGGTCAGCCACATATGTGGGGAGTTGCTGGGCGGGGTGACACTGACTGGTCACCTTGCTTCAGAGATGACACAGCAGCTCCAGTTTAACCAAAATGGAAAAACTACTCTTCTTTCAAGGAGAGTTGTCCCAGAGGTTCCCCACACTGAGAGAGGAAGATTGCGCTGGTTGGAGGCCAGCCCACGTTACATAGTGAGACTGTCTCAAAATACCAAGTAAATAAGTAAACAAGTGAACATAACTGCTTTTAGCATTCACCTATCAGACACAGATCCAGGGAACCTTTGTAAGATGTCTGTGTCACTCTAGTTTTACACAGGGGACCCTGAGCCCACAGAAACTTTCAGCATGGCCGTTGGCCACCTGGCAGTGAAGAAAGCAGGCATTCAACCAGGTCTACATTACTACCTCCAAAATCTGCATTTTTCTCCATCAGAGGAGTGTGGCCCGATGAAAAGAACAGGAATCCGAGGCTGCTAAGGCCTCGGAGATCTCGAAAATGCAGCTGTCACGAGTACACATGCCGCACATTTGGGCAGCTCTGCCACGCACCACATGCTTACCATGGGCCTGGCATTGGGTCCAAGCCCTCGGCATCCAGCCATGGCCTGCAGCAATGCACAATAGGCAGACCCCATTGTGCAGCCACAGAGCAGGTCCCTAAAGCCAGGTCCTCTGTACAGAGTCACACACAGCTACGTTAACAAAGGGTCTGGGGTACACCCAGGCCCTCTCAACCCCAACGGGCATATGCAGTGAGCCAGGAGAGCCATGCACCATGATAATCTCCCATGCTGGCAGGGACCACATCTTGCCTCAGTTTATTTCTCTCTCCCTTACTCTCCCTCACCCTGCTTCCTTCCCATTTTTGTGGTACTGAGGATTGAACTCGGGTATTCTGCCACTAAGCTAAAGCCCTAGCTCTCCTACCTTTTAATTAATTAATTTATTTTTGGAGGAAAAGTCCCACTAAATTGGTCCTCTGAGGAGTTGGGATTAGAGGCATATGCCACCAGGCCCAGCTCAGTGCTTTGTACCTTTTGGGTTTTGTTTTGTTGTGTTCTGACTAGGTGTTTCATTAAGTCACTAAATCGCCTGGTGTGGAGCACAATTTGGGGTCTTCCTGCTTTGGCCTCCCAAGTAGGTATGATTCTAGGTTTGCATCACCACACCCAGGGCATTAGGGTCTTAATTAGGGGAAGGACATGCAAAGGCGCTATTGCAGAAACAGTGGGGTGGGGAGAGACTGGGTGGGGAAGGTCCTCAGGGCCAGGGTCCCTGTCCTCCTTCCAGCCATTCCCCTTTCCTGACTGTCTAGCAGTTTGACTCCCATCAAGTTTTTTTTTTTTCTTTTTTATCAGTACCAGGGATTGAACTCATGACCGCACCCTTGCAAGGCAGGCTTATGCCGCTGAACTAAATCCCCAGCCCTGGCTCCCATCAAGTTTTGCAGAGTGGAAGTTAAAAGCTCAGGCTTCAGGGTTGCATAGCTGCAAGCATCTGGCAACGATAGTTATGGGGCCTCAACCAAATTATTTAACCTTGCTAAGGCTCAGTTTCCTCATCTGTAAAATGGGTTGCTTGGACCCCAGCTCTAACAGCCTTTATACACACAGCATCCTCCCAGGCAATGTGAACACAGGCAGTGGAGTTGGCAGGAGGTGTCCCCCCAGCAGCTGTGAGTCAGCCCCGGGTGCTGGAAGATGGCTGTGTTCTCAGCACAGCTAGGCAGGTACCATGGACACTTGGCCTTCACAGTCAGACTGTGTGACTGTTCTCTTGTAAATGTGGCCTGAGCTCTGCAAAAAATACCCTTTGCTATGTGATGTCTGGGTCCAGGACTGGGTACATGGCTTGTGGCCTTGTCCTGGGATCTTCTAAATTCTGGGAGAGTCCAGCAGGTCCTGGAAGAAGCTGTCCTTCTCTCTTCCTCTCCTGGCCCAGTGATGACAGCTGGGTGAGCTCAACAGAGCACATGTGTAGTATATCAAGGTCCAAGCTCAATCCCCAGCCATCCCTCCAAAAAGATCACTGTTCAGATCTAGAGCAAGAGGGAAGACAGAAAGATATAATTAAAGATTAAAACAGCCAGGTGTGGTGGTGCAAGTCTGTAACCCTTACAAACTGGAGACTAGTCCGGACTACAAAGTGAGCTCCAGGCCAGCCTGAATTGCATAGCGAGACCTCGTTTCAAAAAGACAACAGAAAGAAAGAAAGAAAGAAAGAAAGAAAGAAAGAAAGAAAGAAAGAAAGAAAGCTAAAGGCAAGCAGTAAAGATATGAATCACTAGGGTCTGGTCCTGGCTCTGCCCGTTGCTGGCTCTGGACCTGGTGCTCCCTGCTCATTTCTCCACAGAAAAGATAATGCTGGTGTCAGGGTGGGGAGGTTTAAATATGTGGGGGGGGGCCTAGGAGTGTAGCTCAGGGGCTGAGTGTAAGGCCCTGGGTCAGTTACACACATACACACACACACACACACACACACACACGCACGCACGCGCACACACACACACACACACACGCAGCATTTAGCAGGGGCATCAAAGCACACAGCATGCAACAGTCAGTGTGTGTTCAACAAATCAAACCTACTATTCCATTCCCAGGGGTTGGGGAGTAAAGCAGCCTGGAGCAGACATGTTCTCCCTGCAGGATCCAGGCTCCCGCACCAGGTGGACGGTGGCTCTGGAGCAGAGCAGCTCCCTCGTCAGCTGGCTCCAGCACGCTCCCCTGCTCCCCGCTGCCACCTCCTCCACTCCCAAAGCCAGGCCCAGCCAGGGCCTGGGCTCTGGTTCCTCTGTGTCCCCTAGGCTCAGTCTGTTCACAGGCCTCTGGGCCGTGGCCAGCTATGTAACCCCATGGGGGCTGCTCTGCGTGGATTTGCTCAATCTGGGGGGGGGGCGGATGCTTCTTACCCCTCCCCGGGGCCAGTGCCAGTGCTGCCCTGGGCCTGGGTGTGTCTGTGGGGCAAGCTCCCCCTGGGCCTTCAGCAGGACCCTGCTCAGGAGCAACCTGGCTGTCTCCAGGTGAGAGATCTTCAGCAGGGCCAGATCTCTCTTCGCCAAGCACTGGCATGGCGGGGCTGGGAGGGGTGCAGAGGAACTGGGGATGTAGCTCAGTGGCACAGTGCCTGCCTGGTAAACAAAGCAAGGTGCTGAGTTCAATTCCCAGTACCCCCCACCAAAATGGATGCAGAGAAACAAGGGAACTTGTGAGAACCTTAAAGATAGGTTCCACTGAATACAAAGGGAAACTGAAGCCATCACGACGAGGCCTTAAGAGGAAAGAGAAGGGCACGTCGTGTGTAGGGTCACAGAAAGACACCCAGATGCACTGTTTCATAACTCAAGTGTCTCTTGTATTATTTGCACTTAAAAACTTTTTTGGGGGGCTGGGGATTTAGCTCAGCGGCATAAGCGCCTGCCTTGCAAGCAGGCAGTCATGAGTTCGATCCCTGGTACCGATAAAAAAACGAAAAAGACAAAAAAAAAAAAAAAAAAAACTTTTTTTGGTGGGGCCCAGGATCTCACTAGGTAGCCCAGCCTGGCCCCCGACTCTCAGCGATCCTCCTGAGTGCTGGGATGACAGGTGTGTGACACCATGCCATACTAAAAGTAGAAGTGGGCTTGGAAAGGGGAAGAAAAGATCCGTGATGGGTGGGGCCTTGAGAAGCAAGCTCAGCCTCTTCCTGCTGCTGTGGAACCCCATGTGTCCTTTGGAAGAGGAGATGAGGGCTTCAGTCCCTTTTCAGTTCCGAAGAAGCCCCAGAGCAGCTGGAGGTGACCAAGTGCCTCTGAGGACCAGTGGAAGCTTCCAGCCCTCCAACTGGTGTGGAAAGTGAGTGGGAGGAGAAAAATCAACAGGAAAGAAAATTCCCAGATTGTCCAACTCAAGGGTTTGCCCAAACTCAGGAATGATTGGAAGAAGCTGTTCCTTACAGAGTTCCACAGTATTAGACAAACTTCACCTCCACTGCACACTGAAAAGAACAATTCCTAAACGGGGCGGGGTGGGAGGCACACTCCTATAATCCCAGCACTCAGGAGGCTGAGGCAGGAGGATCCTTGTAAGTTCCTGAACAGCCTGGGCTACAGAGTAGGAGACAGGCCAATTTGAGCTGCATAGCGAGACCCTGTCTCAAAATGACAAAAACAAAACAAAACAGAACAACCCAAAGGAACCCTTTTTGATTCTAAGATCAAATGAAGATGTTCAGCTCTAGAATTGGGAACCAACCTGCCCAAGGCCCTGACACGAAGCAGAGACCACACAAGAAGCTGCCTTCAAAATCTTAACCAGGGGCTGGGTGTGGCAGTGCGTGCCTGCAATCCCAGCACTGAAGAGGCTGAGGCAGGAGGGCTGCCTGGGTTTGAGGCCAGCCTGGCTAACATAGTGTGACCCTATCATGAACAAGATTAATTGTAACTAGTGTTTGTCTTTGTGTCCATTATGCCAGGCTGCCCTAATTAAAACCCAGCATTAGTTCTTGATAACTTGGATATCGGTGCCAGCCACAGTCCTCAGCCCCAGTGGCCAGGGCTTCTAGCCTGCCTCGTCCCTGCCTGCACAGCCTCTCTCTGAAGCCTGCTCCCAGCAACGGAGGCTCCTGGCGGGGAGGGCAGGACAGGTCTGATCTCTGGTTGCAGTGGCTCTGAGGCTGCTGGCTCTTTTCTGCATCACGCAAGAATGGTCACTACCAAGAGGCCTTGGGGGCATTCATCCCCTCTGCCTTGGCTGAGGATGACACTCGGGCCATAGAGGATAACAGGCTGTCTGTGGCTGTGAGGTAAGTCTGAATCCAGAGATGAAGAGTGAAAGGGGCAGCCCTGGTGGAAGCCAGGCCATACACTGGGAGGACAAGCAGCATCTGGCAGGTGCTAGGTGCTGAGTGGGTGTGTCTGGGAGTCGGGACTAGCTTTTGGAGAGGCAGCTCCCAGGCTCCTCGGCTGCTCCAGATCCCGGGCGCTGAGGCAGCAGTCCTGGGGGGCTCCTGCTTCTGTCTTGGGGTTTCCTGGGCTGTGAGTTCGGCAAGTCTCCAGGGAAGGACCAGTGTGTGCGCCATGAGGGTGACCGATGCTGTGGCGGAGGGCGGGGGGCGATGCCTGAATTTTACAGAAAGCCAGAGACCTTTGAGGCGGCACAGCTGGGGAGCAGGAAGCTGGAACTGGGGCCCAGATCTGGTGAACTCCAGTACTGGGCTCCACCCATGAGCACTGGCTTCCTCTGTAGTTGGTGGTCATCATGTAGTCGTGTGGGGTTGGGGGAGCCAGGCTCCGAGCTCAGTGCCACGAACACACAGGGCAGTGCATCCACCATAGAGCCCAGCGGCCTGGGTCCCAGCTTCTTCCTGCGGCCCATACTTGGTGGACCCCAGGAAGGGATGTATGGACCTGGCTTTCCCCTCTGCCCGGGGCTCAGTGGAGCCCCTGGCTTCTCCTCCCTGGTGTGGCTGACACCCGTGGGTGTCCCCGGGAAAGGCCCTGGCTCCGGCTCCGCCCTGCCTGGCTCGCACTGCACCGGGAGGGCCCACAGCAAGCAGGGCGGGGGAACTGTCCAGCAGGCCCGGCCCCCGCCCCCCACGTGGCCGCCGCTGCCTGGCCGCGAGGAAACGCGCGGCTTCCTGCGCCACTGGGACAGAGAGGGGCGCCCACTGTTCGCGATGGCCGCGCGCCTCCGTCCGCTGCTGGCTCTGCTCGCCCTGGGTAGTGAGCACGCCCGGAATCCCGGGATCAGGCGTCGGGGGAGGGGATGGGGGCGACCCCGGTTGGGAGGGCGAAGCTCAGGCCGCGGCACCATCTGCAGACCGCTGGCGAGGGTGCAGGGGCTTTGGGCCAGGATGTGAGGGGGCCACGGCAATGCTCCCCTTCCCCTCCTCCAGGAGAGCTCCTGTCCTGCCAAGGCCACAAGGCTTTCAGGGTCTCAACTCCCACACTCACCCCAACCCCCTGCCAAACCCCTGGCACCCACCCTGCTCCCTTCTGCTTCCCACAGCTGCCCTGTGCCCCCAGGAGACCCTGGCTCAGCCTCTCCCCACCACAGACACCTGGAAGTCAGAAGGTGGGTACCGAAGGCATGGGCGGGGCACCCTAAGCAGGAAAGCCAAAGCTGGTGGGGCGGGGTGGGGTGCAGTGGGGTGTGGGGGGTTTCTCTTTCCAAACCCCCAGAATCTTCAGGGTTCCCCACCAGCTTTCTCAGTCTCCTCCTGCAAAGGCCGTGCTTGACATTGGGCCGGCTGCCCAGACAGGTCGGGAAGAAGATTCCAGAAAGGGTGTGTATGGTGGGATTGGCGGATATACACCTGGAAGTCATTAATAAGACTCCAGTGCCGGGACCCTCCTCTTGGGGTCTTATTGGGAGACACTTTAGGAGGAGTCCTGTGTTTGAAGACAGGATGTGGATGCACCCTGAACATCTGTACCCACAGGCCAGGTGGTGGACAGCTATGAAGCCAGTGCCCAGCTGTGCTGGGCCGATTATAAGGAGCACATGGACCTACTGGAAAAGGATTGGTGTAACTGGACCGTGATCAGCAGGTAGGACAGTGGCAGGTGGCAGAGCCCGGGTGGGACATGCACCTGGTGCTCACCCAGGTCCTCTCTGTCCAGGCCCTACAGTGCCCTGCGTGATTGCTTAGAGGTGGAGGCGGAAGTCTTTAGCCTGGGCTTCCCCAACCCCCTGGCCGAGAGGGTCATCTTTGAGACCCACCAGCTGCACTTCTCGAACTGCTCGCTGGAGCAGCCCACCTTATGCGACCCCCCAGAAGATGTGCTCCTGGCCATGATCATAGCCCCCATCTGCCTTATCCCCTTCTTCGTCACGCTGGTGGTGTGGAGGAGCAAGGGCACGGAGCTGAAGACCTGAAGTGGGTAGCACTGCCTGGAGGGTCAGTTGCAACCTCTCCTGTCCCTGCCTCCTCTCTCTGTCCCCTACCCTTCATTGCCATTTCAGAGCCTGGCACTGGGATCCTGGTGCCAGTTTTGTAACCTTCAAAATAAAACGTTTTGTTTTTTGTACAGTGTCACCTCCCTAGAGGAATCGATGCCAATCACACAAGCATCAGGTGCTGGCCCTCAGTTGGCTTCCCTTTACCTGTCCCCCACCCCCAGGCCAAAGCCGCAGCCTTTTACTCCTTCCTCCTGGGAGGGGAGGGGCCTTTCCTGCCTGTGTCCAGACCCAGCTCTGGGAAGTGAGCAGGAAGAGACTCCCTTCCGGTCTCAGGAGGGCGCAGGGCCCAGGACTGGGGAGGCTGGGGGAAGGGCAGAGAAGATGGGGCTGAGGGGGGGCGGGGAGGCTACCTGCACACTCAGCCTTTCCTCCTCTTCATGCCTCCCCCACTCCCAGGGAAAACCAGGGGAGCAGCACAGTCTCTGCCTAAGGACCTCAGAATGGCAGCCAGAGGCAGCAGGAGAGAGGGCCTACCACTGCCCCCACCCCGGGTCCCTGGCCTTCATCCTGCATTGTCCAGTGCCATTGCAGCCTACAGCCCGGCCAAACGCTGCCCCCTGGTGCCCACTAGGGCCAATGACCGGATGATGTATGTGATAGGGAAAAAGCTTAGGCTGAGGTGCGCTGGGCTTTGGAGTCAGGGAACCTTCATTTCCATTGTGATCTCCAGTCTCACCTGGACCCTTCCGGCTGTCTCCTGAGACATTGCCAATCTAGGGGTTTGCCTGGCCCTCCCTGCCACTGACCCCTTCTAGATGTGAACAGTATTTCCCAGTCAGGCCAGTTCCCATCAGAGGGCACCCCTGTCCAGCCCTCTCCAGGACACATCTTGCCGGGCACCAAGAACAAGTCCCTTCTCAGCTGGGACACCTGTCTCCTGGAGGCACCTTCAGCCACACTACTTCCTCCTGAGCATGTGCATAGCCACCTTCTGACGTGTTTTCAGAATGCTCCTACTCATGTTGAGATCCATGTCTCCCTCCAGAGATATGGGTTTCCAAGGAACTGTTGAATTTTCAGTTGAGCTAAACCTTTGCTCTTTTTCTACGAATACATTTTCCTTTCCCAAGTGGTATCCACCCCTTCTTTGCATTTGCATTTGTCTTCATGCATCTTACTAATATCCATCAGGAGCCTGCTGTGCAAAGCCCTTATGTGCACACTGTGCTGCAAAGATACTGGCTGGATTCTGCCCTCTTTGGGGTTCATCTGGTCAGGAAGCTGACCTGTGTCCAAAGATATAGAAACCCTGCAAAGAATGATGACCATAGTCCAGGTGGGGAAGGTGAATTGGAAATGGGGAAGCAGGAAAGAAATCTGTGCAGGGGGGAGGATTAAAGACAGGCAGAGAGTCCAAGCAGCAGCACTTGGGTCTGAGGGATGAAGAAGATACGTTTTCGATGGGTGGCTTGGACTTTGCATGTAGGTTACTAGACAGAAGATGACAGCAGTGATAGAAAATGTCACTCCTGCAGAGGAAGAGTGACAGTGGAAGAGGTTCCAGTGTCTCACAGAGCATTGGAAATGAGGGTCGGAGAGGTGGGAAGAGGTTGGATGTGGAAGGAGAGGCTTGGGAACCTTTTGCATAGAAATAGAATATGAGCCCATAAGAGAGATAAGAGCCTGAAGAGAGAAGGTGCAGCAAAAAGGAATGGAAGCATGAGGAGGAAGGGAGCTGGGGGACAGCTCAGCGGGGACAGCACATGCCTGGCAGGTTCACGGTCATGAGTTGAATTGCCAGTACAAAAAAAAAAAAAAAAAAAAAAAAAAAAAGACGGGGGAAGGAAGGAGACAGAGGGAAGGTCAGGGAGGTGGTGTAGAAGGGATAAAATGGGTCAGGAAATAGTGGTCTTGGAGGAAGCGGGGGCCCTCTGAAAGCTTACCCCACTCACTCAGTGAATGTGGGTCTCCCTGTGGACCAGGATGAAGGGCGGCTCTGGCAGAGAAAACGTTAGGGAACATGTGACATGGAGGAGGCAGAGTTGAAGGCTACATATGTTCTTTTTTTTTTTTTTTATCGATACCAGAGATGGAACTCATGACAGCCTGCTTGCAAGGCAGGTGCTTATGCTGTTGAGCTAAATCCCCAGCCTGCTGCATATGTTCTTAAAGTGGGGTGTTATGGTTTGTGTCTAGATGTCCCCCCATGCAGTTATGGGGAGCAGGCTTTTTCAAAGGTAGCTGAATCCAGTCTGTGACTGATTCCTAGTGCAATGCTGGGATTAAGGCTGGGTGACAGAGGGTCGGTCCACTGACTGGACTGTCCCCACCCTAATCCCAACAGTTCAGATAAGAGAAAAAGGGCAGAAAGAAGGATGTTTCCCCCGTGGCTCTTGCTGTCTTCTGCTGCCATGAATGGCTGCCCCTCTGCTACTCTCCCTTCCTTGGAGCCAGTTGATAATGGACTGAAACCTCCACAAACTGTGAGTTAAATAAACTTGTCCTCCCTTAATTTGGGGTGTCAGGTATTTTGTTTCAGCAACAAGGGAAAAGTAACTAAGAGATAGTATGACCTGAACATGTTTGCAGCCTCAGTGAGAGCAGCTAGGGCAAAGGGAGAGAGGTAAGAAGGTAAAGAGGAAGCCGGAGAGGAGAGCAAGGAGATATACTACAGGCTTGAGTTTGTGAAGAAACAGTCATGCTTCTTCCTCTGAGTCCAAAAGGGAAGACTTGTAAAAGTGGGGAGCAATGTTTGAGGGATGGCCTGAACCTGGTGACTAAAGGGAGCGAGAAAGCGGGACAAAGAGGGACAAAAAGGGAGACAGCCTCAGTCTTGGGAGACTGGAGTGAAAGGCACTCTGCAGAGAACAGAGAGCAAGTGTAGCAGGCTGAAGAGCACGGAAAAGTCTGAGTGTTTACTTTTGGGTAAAGGGGACTCGATGGAAACCATATGGTCCCTGGGATGCTCTGAGAGCCCAGGACTGAGACCTGCCAGGGAGTCCGAGGCTTAGTGACTATGTTTGGTACCTGCTCCTCCAGCAATACTCCATGGAAGCGGGATAATCCTGGTTTAGAGACTGACAGGCAAGGCACTTCCAGGTGGCCTTGAACTCACTGCACTCCTGCCTCAGCCTCCCGATTGCTGCGATATTGCTGCGATTATAGACAGCCGCCAGGAGGAGACCGAATCTGCTTGCATTCTTACAGCTGCGCTGCTCTCAGGAATTCATTACTTTTTTCTGGAGTTGAGCCAGGAGGCTCCCTAGGCCTCTTTCCGTTCCATTGGCCAAAACCCCGTAGGACAAGGGCCCGGGACCCTTTGGGCCTCTCAGCTTCCCGGAACCTTTGCGCTGCACTTGCCAGGCGGACGCGCTGAAGTGGACACCGGAAGTCCCTTGCAGAGTTTCCGGGTTTTCGGGGCTACTACGATGGCGATGAGTTTCGAGTGGCCGTGGCAGTATCGCTTCCCGCCCTTCTTTACGTGAGGCTCCAACCCCGGAAAGCCCCGTTGTGTCTCCCTCCTCTTCCTGGGGCCCTGGGTTCGGCCCCGATGCTTCGCTTGGGAGGGGGAGAGGACCCCGCCGCCGCCGCCCCCTCCTTCGACTCCTCGCTTCTCCCCACATGCGCCAGGGCGAGGACTGACCCCACGCCCTCTGACCCCGCCTGCAGGTTACAGCCCAATGTGGACACGCGGCAGAAACAGCTGGCCGCCTGGTGCTCGCTGGTGCTGTCCTTCTGCCGCCTGCACAAACAATCGAGCATGACGGTGATGGAGGCGCAGGAGAGCCCGCTCTTCAACAACGTCAAGCTGCAGCGTATCCTGCGTGCTGCACGCTCGCCCCGAGCCCGGATGGCTCCTCCCGCCCCCGCCCCCGCCCGGGCAGGCAGCTTCCCGGTAGCCTGGATACCGGGAAGAGCCGACACCCATTTGTCCGCACATGCCACACCCAGCCCTCTCGGCCTGGGCAGTGTCCAGTGCTTGGTTCTTAGAGTCGGTGCCCTGAGGCTGACCGGAGCTCTAAACCACAGCCCTTTTCGCTATTTGGATCTCTGGTCCTCTCTGGGGGAGGTTCAAACCTGATGGACCTTTAGTAGTTTTCTCCACCTGTCCCACACCTTCCGAGAAGTAAGGCTTATTTTATGTTTGATGCATTCCCAAAACATCTATGGAGAAAGGCTGAAGGCTGAACGAATGACACTTTCACCTGCTACGGTGCTTCTCAGTGGAAGACATCCACCCTCCCTCGTAGTCACAAAATGCTAATGTGTATCATGTTCAGAAATTGCATGGTTGGGTGGTGTAGCGGACAGGTGGTTCTCAGCATGGGATTGGCTGAGAATTTTTAGCCAGTTTAATTCCCATGTATGCCATTCCTTAACCCTTAACCAGGGAAGCTCCCTGTGGAATCGATCCAGATTGTTTTAGAGGAACTGAGGAAAAAAGGTGGGTTCAGTTCCTCCCGGTTCCTTATATTTCCTCCTACTTGAATTTCCCTGAGGGCAGATTAGGACAGGTCTCCTTAATAACTTTTTCCTCTGCACGGGCTTGAAGCCCAGTATTCTATACAGTAGACAGCTTGATTTCTGGCTCTCCCCAATGGAAATAGCTCTTACCTGTGCCCTGACTCTGAAGAGGTAGAATAAGAATGAGTGTCTTGTCAATAGTATTAGAAAAATAAATATAGAGTCTCTCATTCTCAAAGCAGAATCTTTTCCACATTGACCCACCTTGATGTTGGCCTCTTCAGTCCTTTTTTAAAAAGAGTATGATTTCCCCCCCCCCTTTTTTTTGTCTTTTTGATACAGGGTCTCACTATGCAGTTTTTTTGTTTTTTGAGACAGGGTTTCACTATGCAGTTCAGGCTGGCCTTGAGCTCACTTTGTAGCCAGACTGGTCTTGAACTCACAATGACCCTTCTGCCTCAGCCCCCCAGTGCTGGGATTATAGGAGGGTGCCACCACTCCTGGCTTAGAGCATGATTTCCTAAGTCTCTGTTTTACAGGGAACCTGGAATGGTTGGATAAGAACAAGTCTAGCTTCCTGATCATGTGGCGGAGGCCAGAAGAATGGGGGAAGCTCATTTATCAGTGGGTGAGACCATCCTGCATCCACATACTGAGCAGTGACCCATGGTGGAGGGAATAGTCCCTGTGCCAAAGATACTAGTGTTTCCAGAACACACTGGCCAAATGCGAAAGTGGCAGAAAGTGCAAGTGTAGACCCTCTGGGCAGTCGCCTTTCAGTGACTCAGTTTCTCTGACTGTATAGAATCTCCTTTTCCAGGGGGAAGCCAGAGGCAGGGTGAGACCGTGTTTGGAGACTGTGGCACTGGGACCCAGAAGTGCTGTTGGCCTGAGCTTCTGGCCACAGATAAATGGCCACAGTTAACTGGGGAAAAAAGGGCAAAGAAATGGGGCCCTCTCCTGCAGTGCAGCTTTTATGGGGTTGTCCACATCAACTTGACATTCTAAGCTAGTGTGGATGTGGGGACAGAACACTGGCCCCCAAATTTCTAGCCACCAGCAGCAGCCCCACATCTTCCCGTGGGAAAGGGGAGAGGAGGGAGCATCAGCAACCTAAATATAACAAACACCCCACCCATCCCTAAGCAGGGAAGCAGGCTGAGCGAGAGGTCATTCTGCGGATACTTGAAGTCCTGTGGTCTGGTGGTTCGCCGTGTATGTGTACACACACAAATATAGCACCTGCAGGGTTTGTGGTTTGGGGCTACTGCAGGGGTGACAACCCTGGTTTGGGAATAGGGACCAATCCTAGGTGAAAGCTGCGGAGCTGCTGACCTTGCCCCCTCCCAAGAGACTCTTGGTCCTCATTCAACCCTGGTTTTCGGTATCCACAGGTTTCCAGGAGTGGCCAGAACAACTCCGTGTTCACCCTGTATGAACTGACCAGTGGGGAGGATACTGAGGGTGAAGGTAATGCTTTTCCTATCTCAGTGTCCTCAGAAAGCTGCCTGATCTTGGTTTCCCTGATACTCAGACTTCCCATTTTTCTGCCCCTGCATCCCAGGCTAGAAAAGTTCTTAGCCCACACCGAATATTCTGTCTACCACCCAAATTTGGAAAACTCCTTAGTTTTGTTTGCAGGGCTGTACGTGCAGTTTCCCAGGGGTACAGCCCACATGTTACCTGATCTTAGGGGTACAGGTGACCCAGAAGTTGAGGTTTGCTGCTGTGGATGCCAGCCAAGGGCCCGGTGTGGACGATGAAGCCTGAAATCATCTGCTTGCTGACTCAGGCTGTCTTTCACCCCTTATTTTTTTTTTTTTTTTTACCCACATGAGTCCAGATAAAATCACCCCTTATTTTTATAGAGGGCTCAAGATTCGTGGGTGTCAGCTGAAGGGATTGGGCTAACACCCCAGCCCATTTAAATACTCTGGTTTTGGGCTTGGCTCTGATTTTTTACAGAGTGTACACACTTGCTTAGCTCTTTTCTCTGGTCCTGATTCCCAAGGTCTCCAGTAGTTTCAGTCTTCACCAGGGGCCCTAGGGTCTGCCTCTTCCCCTGCCAGGCCCCGGTTGCCCCACAGTCTCTGGTTTTTGGCTGCAGGTTCTGCCTGCAGGCCTCTGCTTGCCGCTCCCATCATCACCCCATGACTTCAGCTCGGCCTTGGAGCTGGGCCCAGCCCACCGCTGGGGCTTCCTCAGAATGCCAGCTCTTGGCTTGCACTGAGCTTGAGGGGGTGAGGTGAGCCAGCCTGCCAGGGCTTGCCCGCTGCCTCACCTGTCTCCCCGCTCTCTCGTATCTGCCACATCTCCAGATCCACAGCTGGCCCTGGGCACCCAGCCCCAATCTTGTCCAGCTCTGAAGAGTGCAGCTTGGTACTGGCTAGACTCAGTGTCAGGATGGGGCCTGTTGACCTGTACCAGTACGTGGCCAGGTTCCATGCTCAGCTACAAGGGCCTGGCCCTACGTCATCAGGGCTCCTTTTTTGTGGCTGCAGGTGTCTAACCAGGGCATCAAATAGTGGGGGAGGGGAAAGAGCTTGGGGGCAGTTTCCAGGAATTCCAGGGAGGGGGAAATAAGCCTGACTCAGCCTCCTTCCACCCCTACTCCTAAGACATACTGGGAAGTGGGGCAGTAGCTGCAGTGGCGCAGGTGGCCACCTCATACCTTAACCTGGGAGGCTCAGCTCCAGGCGATGGCCATCCACAGTCCCCTGAGGAACCGAGTGCCCCTGAATGCCCCTCTGTTCCTGTCCAGAGTTCCATGGGCTGGATGAGGCGACCCTCTTGAGGGCTCTGCAAGCCCTGCAGCAGGAGCACAAGGCTGAGATCATCACGCTGGGTGATGGCCGTGGTGTCAAGTTCTTCTAGCAGAGCCGCCTCCATACGCTCACCGCCGACTTTGCCAGGGCTCCAGGGTCCCCACAGACTGGATCTGTGACCCCACTGGACCTCACAGGGCTCCAGGCCGAGGCTGGGACACAGGGATGGGGGTCCCCGGCCCACTTGTCTGTCTTGTGGGATAAGGGAGCCTGGGGTGCGGGAATGAGAGACGCCTGTCTTGTCCTCCCTGCTTGTCCCTTAGCCTGACGTGCAGAGGCAACTGGCAAGCAAGTGCCTGGGCAGTGTCCATCTACCCTCTTGGGCTGGTGCTGGTGCTTCTGAGGGGTGGGGGAGCCCTGGCTGCTGGTGCCTTCCCAGCAAAGTGCAGACCCTGAGCCCCAAGGTCGGGCAGTGACCTGTGTGATGTGTGTGGCTCCGCTGTTTTATGCTACTAAAGTCTCAACTCCTGCTGCTGCCTGCCTGTGTGTTACTGCCTGAGGGGCTGAGGGGGCCCGGGAAGTGAAGCAAGGCCTGGGTAGGCCGTGTGGTGGGAGGCAGCCCAGCCCACAGGCCCCTCTTGCCGTCCTGGATGGTGGTGACCAGGGAAGCTGAACGGTAAACCGGATGTGGACTTTGGTTTATCGGGGACTTTGGCAAACAGAAGAGAGAAAGCCCACGGTGAAAACTGGCTGTCTGGCCCGGCCAGCTGGGGCTGGCAGGACTGTGGGGATGGGAGGGCTCGCCCTGCCCCCGGCGGGCACACCCTGCCCTGCGCTGACCAGCGGGGGAAGCCAGCAAACCCAGTCCTTTCCACTGACCTTCGTGTCTGCCTGGGGCCACTCCAGCTGATAGGACGGGGAGCCGGCCTTATCTGGGGCGCGCAGGCTGCGGGGGCCTCCCCCCCACCCCCCGCACGCCCGGGACCATGCGAGCACTTCCGCTGCTGCCCCTGTCCCTGTGCCCTACACCCAACAGGTCCACGCTCGGAGCTCTGTCAGCACGAGGAACGACGCGGGAGGGGGGCGGGGCCAGGTGGCAGGGCGGGGCCGGGCTCCACGGGGCGCTGCGCACTCGCCAGCTGCTGTCGCCCCGCGCCGGTCGGGTCTCCAGGCTCGCAGCGCCCGGATCTTCTGATGCTGGTGCCCTGGGCTGGAGAGCCCGCGGTCCCTATGTCCCAGACTGAGGCCGACTTAGGCTTGCGGCCCCCGCCACCCCCAGGTCCCGTGGGGCCGTCCCGTCCGGGGCCCCCTACCCGCCGCACGCGCCGCTTCTCAGGACGGACTGAACCCCGGCCACGCGCCCTGTGCCCCGGCCGCCGCAGCTCCGTGGACCTGGGGCTGCTGAGCCTCTGGTCACAGTCTGTGGCACCCAGCCCCGAACCCCTAAACTCACCAGACCTCGTGGGCGCAGGCCCTGCGCACAGCTCACCGCCCGGCTCCCAGGAGCCCCCCGAGGGCGCGTGGCCCACAGCCGCCCCGACGCCGCCCACAGGTTCTGTGCTTACCAAGCTTGCGCCGGCACCGGGGAGACCCGGGCCAGGAGAACCACCACAGGTCTCTGATGCCACAGCCTGGGAGCGACAGCGGGAGCTGGAGGAGGAGGAGACAGAGACTCAGGCTGTGGCGACGTCCCCGGATGGCCGGTACCTCAAGTTTGACATCGAGATTGGGCGCGGCTCCTTCAAGACCGTGTACCGCGGGCTGGACACAGACACCACGGTGGAGGTGGCGTGGTGCGAGCTGCAGGTGCCGCAATGCCCCGGGGGGCGGGGCAGGACCCGGGGACTGGTAGGGGCCGCAGCCAGGGAGGATGAGTTCTCTGGGACCACAGCTGGGCCCAGAAGGAGAAACTGAGGCAGGAGCATGCAGCAGCTTCTCTGCAGGCACACACTCTCACTGTGAAGTGTCCCTGCAGCTCCCTGAGAGCTGAAAATTGGGCGGGGAGCCAGTTCAAGGCTGGGGCCAGCCCCTCAGTCTCCTGCCCTCACTGTCCACCTTTTCCACTTGAGAATTGCACAGCAACCCATTCCCTTCGTGGACAAAGGTCGGGAGGCTGGAGGCTGTTGTGCCAGGTCTGCCCACTCCAGAGGGGTTCAGGGTGGTCTGCAGCAGGCCAACTGCTGGGCTTCTCCCCAGCTGTGGGAAGAGGACCAGAGTGCTGCCTCGAATTCCTCTGTCCCCTGGGCTTGTCCTTCCGGAACCCAGAGGACACTGCTTGGCAGGACCTCCCTCTTCATGCTCCCACTCTGATGTGGGTGGGGAGGACCCAGCCAGCTGTGCCCCGGAAGCTCCAGCTTCAGATAGAGTGCACACCCCTGGGGAGGGTTCCCCCTCTTTAACCCTGGCAGGGCCCCTGTCTCTTTGCTGGTGCCAGGGCTGCGCTCAGGCTTGGGGCCAATGCTGAGAGGGGAGGGACGGGGAGGGAGTGAGACTGGGGTGGGGGGTAGCTCTGGCCCAGGTCTTGGATCCTTCCATGTACTTTCCTTCGTGCCCTCACCGTCTGTCTGAATTTGGCAGTTCCCAATTTCTGGGGCCAACCCTTCAGTGGCCCCAGATCCTTGCCAGTGGTCTGCCTGCTGCCTGCCCGCTGCTAGCCCAGTGGCCACCAGGCTGGCCACAAAGGCACTATTGAGCTGAGAAATCCCTGACGGGGCTGCATAAAGGCGCTTGTGTTCAGCAGGGGTCCCAGCCAGCCCAGAATAGGCGTGTCCTGGGGCTACCTGAGGGGACCCAGGAGCAGAGTAGGGGTTAACCCCACCTGTAGGCTGGGCCCTTGCCCTCTCTGGGGCGCTCTCCATGCTGTTTCCTCCCATCCCTGGAGTCCCACGGAGCTGACCTGACCTCGTCTCCCATCCCCCACCCACAGACTCGGAAACTGTCACGTGCTGAGCGGCAGCGCTTCTCCGAGGAGGTGGAGATGCTCAAGGGGCTGCAGCACCCCAACATTGTCCGCTTCTACGACTCCTGGAAGTCAGTGCAGAGGGGCCAGGTTTGCATCGTGCTGGTCACCGAACTCATGACCTCTGGCACGCTCAAGACGTGAGCTTTGAGATGGTGTGGGGGCCCTGCTTCCTGCTCCCCGCCACCCCTCACTGCTTCCCACACAGCCAGGTCTTGTCCTGGGAGAAGGCCTTGTCTCCGGCCCTGGGCTTTCCCTGCCTTGCTCCTGTCCTGCTGCTCCCTTTGCACCCCCCCCCCCCGCAGTGTCCTGCAGGCTGGCTCTGCCCTCCCTCTTCCTGCAGCCCAGAGGATCGGACCTGGGACTCCTGCCTTAAACCCTTTCAAGGTTTCCCTGACCCTAGGAATAAAGACCACATTGCTAACCTACTGTCAAAGTCATGCCCCAGCCCAATTCCAGGCAAACCAAGTTCCCAGCACTTCCTCCCACCTCACCCTGTAATTGGCCCTGTCCCTGCTTCCCTCCAAGCACAAGCGTGGGTCCCCTCTGCCTGGGGAGCCTCTGTCCTATCCCCCTCACCCTTGACTTGGCCTCCTTCAAGTCGTAAGAGCTTTACTCACGCCTTCCTGTTCCCTGGTGCCCATTCTCCAACCCTGACTCAGTTTCTCCCGAGGGCCTGACTGGGCTGTGACGTGGGTGGTGGATGCAGAGCCAGCAGCTGGGTGGGAAGAGGGTCCTTTCCCCACCTCGACCCTGGTGTTGCCCATGCCCAGATACCTGCGGCGCTTCCGGGAGATGAAGCCCAGGGTCCTTCAGCGCTGGAGCCGCCAGATCCTTCGGGGCCTGCACTTCTTGCACTCTCGGGTACCCCCCATCCTGCACCGGGACCTCAAGTGCGACAACGTCTTCATCACTGGTCCTACGGGCTCTGTCAAAATCGGGGACCTGGGCTTGGCCACACTCAAGCGTGCCTCCTTTGCCAAGAGTGTCATTGGTGTGCCCCTCTAGGAGGCCTGTGCCATGGCCCCCACCCTGCTGGGCAATAAGCCTGGGCCCTTCCCCGCCTCCCTCAGGGCTTCCTGCTGCATGGATTCAGGGGACCATGGGAGGCCTGTGTGTGCCCAGGTGGAAGGCTGGGCCCCTGGGAAAGGCCCAGCAGTCTGACCCCTGCCATGGACCCCACAGGGACCCCAGAATTCATGGCCCCCGAGATGTACGAGGAGAAGTATGATGAAGCCGTGGACGTGTATGCGTTTGGCATGTGCATGCTGGAGATGGCCACCTCTGAGTACCCGTACTCCGAGTGCCAGAACGCTGCGCAGATCTACCGCAAGGTCACGTCGGTGAGAGAGGGGCTAGGGAGCAGGCTCTGGCTGGTTTCCTGCTCCAGTCGGGCTGTAGTAGTGCCCTTTTGTTCCTGAGGATGGACTGGGTAAAAAAATCCTCTGGTATACACTTGGGAGGCTGAGACAGGAGGATCACTCAGAGGCCAGCCTGGCCTACATAACCAAACCCTGTCCATGGTACCTTGGCGCACACTGAAGGGTACTGGATAGGTGGATACACAGGGGCACAAACCCACACAGGTATTAGAATAATAACACACAGCTCCTGAGCATTTATAAGCTTGTGTCCCACCTCCTGTCAGATCCTTCTGGTTACCCAGGGGCTGGGCAGGTAGAGGCATAAGGTTCAGCAGTTGCCCTGTTTGGGTTCATGCTGGCTCCCACGCTGGGCAGCAGGCACCACACCCATCTGAGAGGCCTCGCCTCACATCCTTGTCCCTGCAGGGCACCAAGCCGAACAGCTTCTACAAGGTGAAGATGCCAGAAGTGAAGGAGATCATTGAAGGTTGCATCCGCACAGACAGAAAGGAGCGGTGAGGCCAGGCAGGCGAGAACAAGGGTGGGGAGGGCAGGGCAGGTGTCTGCCTTGCACTGCCCGCTCACCTGCCCCCCCCCAGGTTCACCATCCAGGACCTGCTGGCCCACGCCTTCTTCCGTGAGGAGCGTGGGGTGCATGTGGAGCTGGCTGAGGAGGACGATGGCCAGAAGCTGGACCTCAAGCTCTGGCTGCGCATGGAGGACGTGCGGCGAGGGGGGCGCCCGAGGGACAACCAGGCCATCGAGTTCCTGTTCCAGCTGGGTCGGGATGTGGCTGAGGAGGTGGCCCAGGAGATGGTGAGCGGAGACAGGAGCAGTCCTTGCAGTGTCTCCTGCGGGTGTTCCAGCCCTAACTCCCTGCACCTATGGCAGAGTCCTGGCCTCCTGCAGCCTCTCTACCCTGCGGCCCTGCTCGCCGGTTTGATTTACCCACTCCCCTTTCTTCTCTCCCTTGTTCTTTTTCTCATCTTCCTCCATGCTCAAAACCACCTGCTCTGGTATGGTCCTTCCTTCATTACCACGAGGGGCTTAGATTTTGTTGGTTTTTTGAGACAGGGTCTCACTGTGCAGTCCAGGCTGGGCTTGAACTCATTGTGTTGGTCAGGCTGGACTCAAACTCAGCAATCCTCCTGCCTCAGCCTCCAGGGTGCTGGGATTGCAGGTGGGCGCCATTATGCCTGGCCAGGACTGCACTGAGTGCCAAGGTGCTAAGTCAGCTCACCCTGGCTTGTGATTACCTCACCCAGCAGAGCTCACGCTGAAGTGAATGGGGAGGATTAGAAGGCGGTGGGGTGGATGCTGGTGGGAGGGGCTGTGGATGTGGACCTGGGAGATGGGGGCAGAAGGCTGGGGGCTGGACTTGGAGGCCTGGCAGGGGGAAGGGTGGAATTTGGGATCCTCTAGAGGAGTGGCAGTCTCGAGGATGGCCAGGTGTCTCCCAGTGTCACTGACAGGACATGTTGATGGCTGTACTGGGGAGTCACCAGTGCCCCAGCTCAGTGACTGCTCACTGATGGCTTCCTCCTCTATCCCTGAATCCTGGAGGCCTCTGCCGGTGTCATAGTGGGTCCCATGTCTCCTTGTCCCCCATCTCCAGGTGGCCCTGGGCTTGGTCTGTGAGGCTGATTACCAGCCGGTGGCCCGGGCTGTGCGTGAGCGGGTCACTGCCATCCAGCGGAAGCGCGAGAAGCTTCGGAGAGCTCAGGAGCTGGAGGCCCTGCCTCCCAAGCCAGGGCCTGTGCCCACGAAAGTCCTTGAGGCTCCTGCAGCCTCTGGCGCATTCCCTCTGGAGCCAGAGGAGCCAGAGGCAGACCAGCACCAGTCCTTCCTCTTCCGCCACACCAGCTACTCATCTACCACCTGTGAGTCACCCAGGGTGGGGCCACAGCCCGAGGCCCTGCTCCCCACAGACCCTGAAGTCCAGGCGGCCCCTGCTCTGCCACCCCACCTTTGTGCTCTGTGTGATCCCGTTGTCCCCCACCAGCGGACTGCGAGACCGACGGCTACCTCAGCTCCTCTGGCTTCCTGGACGCTGCAGACCCTGCCCTGGTGACCCCTGAGGAGGTGCCCTCTAGCCTGGTGGAGCCCCAGCTCCATCTGCCCTCGGTGAGTGGGGGTTGTGGTCTGGGGCCCTGGTTTTTGGAAACCTCTGACCCATACCCCCTACTATGAACGCCCTGCTCGTTCTCCCCTCTGGTGTCCTCAGGCGTGTCGGGGTTGTCTCCCTGACCCCAGCAGCCAGCTGCGCCTGACCTCACAAACCTGGTTTCAGGCTTTCTCGGTCTCCATCCCAAGGTCTGGTCCCAGCAGTGACTTCTCCCCTGGGGACAGGTATGCTCTGGGGGGAGTTGGGATGCCAGGCTGAAACACTGTCCCAGAGTCCCCTCAGACACCCTGTTTCTCTTCCCCTTTGCAGCTGTGCCTCAGACGTAGTGTCAGGCCTCAGCAACGTGAGCGAGGGGACGGGGCACACGCGCAGACCCGTAGGGAAGACTCCCCGGCGCAGACCCCGCTCCCGGCTGTGGGTCACAAGTGTACGAGGGGCACTGGCACTGGAGAATGGGGAGCAGCGATGAGGGAAAGGGGTCAGGATGTGTGGCTCATGCCCTGGGGCAGCCAGGCCCTGTGCAGGCAGGCGCTGGGCAGGAGTGGGCCCGGCAGAGCGGCCTCACGTGGTTCGGTCACAGGCATCGACCTTGCCCTGTCTGACTTTGACTCTGAAGGTCTCCAACCAGAGTGACAGAGTGGTTGAGTGCCAGCTGCAGACCCACAACAGCAAGATGGTGACCTTCCGCTTCGATCTGGACGGGGACAGCCCAGAAGAGATTGCAGCTGCCATGGTGAGGGGATGAGGGCCCTGTGATGGGTTCTCCTGGAGCCCTGTGGTGCTGTGGAACCTGAGCCCACAGCTTGGGTGCCCACGCTGGCCACTGGCAGCTCACAACCCAAGGTCACCTCTGCCTCAGGGAAGATGCAGGTGCCATGGAGATGCATGGGATCTGGGTCCCTGGGTGCCATGACACACTGGCTGTCAGGGTGGGGTGGGTGGGCAGCAGAGACCTCCAGCCAGAGGTGCAGCCCAGGCAGAGGCTTCCCCAGGAGGAGCTGCCTGGCATGCTCAGAAGGACTCCAGAAGGAGCCGCTGTCGCTGGCAGGAAGAGTCCTGGGAGCAGGAGGACACAGGTCTGGACAGGCAGAGGGGCACCAGTCAGCGGAGGATGTAAGCAAGGCCAGGGTGACATGGCAACACAGAGATGATTTTTACGGGACTGGGCCTGGATGAAGGAGAGGACGGGTTACGGCAAAAGGGAAGAAGGCTGTTTCCAGAAAACCAGCCGCTCAGGCTCTGGTGACACAGGCTGAGCCTGTAGCTGGCGTGGAGCCCCATGAAGATTGGCTGCGCAGGTGCGGAGCCAGGGAGAGGGACAACCCAGAGAGCAGTCGGGGTGCAGGGCAGAGGGACAGTGGCAGCATCCTTGGCAGCCTGGGCTGGAGAGGAGCCCAGAGGCCTGGAGAGCACTGCCGCCGGGCACTGTCCCTGTCCTGGGTGGGAGGCGAGGCTGGGTCATCGGAAGACACGGATGCAGAGGCAGTGGCAGGAGGACATCAGGCAGAGCCAGTGAAGTGTTTCAGGAAGGTGGCACAGGTGCAGCCACAGTAGGCCACCCTGGCTCCCACAGGGAGACGTTCTGGGAGAGCTGAGGCATCACCTGGGAGCACTGCTGTGTGGCAGGGGACACCACCCTGGGTGACAGGGGCAGGCACTTGGGACTTTCAAGCTCCACCACCTTCCAACAGGCCACCAGCACTCTGGGCAGCTGGATGCTTGGGGTCCGTCACCCCAGAGCCTTCTCACTGGGTCTTTGTGTCCAGCTGGCATCGGGAAAGCCCAGTGGTCCTCCTCCCTGCCTGACCAGTCCGATCTGTGGCAACAGAGCGCCCCCAAGATGTGGGTCTGAGCTGGTGGCTTTTCACCCCAAGTCTCTGGTGGCTGTTCGTGGTTCTGGAGTAAGGACCGAATGCAGAGTTACCGCCCACCCCCCTTCCTGGTCTCCGCTCTAAGCCATGTCACTGTCCTCCCTGCCCTGTGGTCTCATCTCTTGGTGACCAGCAGGGTGGAACTGAGGAAAGGCCAGGCTTGTGTGGCCTGTGCAGTTCCATGTTCTCTGTTGGAATTCAAGGAACCTGGGCAAGTTTCTTCCCTTCTACCCTCCTCCCTTCCTTTCCTGGCTTCCTGTGGAGCTGGGGTTAAGCCCAGGGCTACATCTGGCCCAGTCGGTTGCTGGGCAGGTGCTAATACTTGTCTGGCAAAGATGCTTTGAGCTGATAAGCCAAGAGTGCATGAGAAGTGGCCACACAATGCTCTTCGAAGGGCTGCTTTTCTCAGCCAAAGGAGTCAGGTCCAAGCCCTGCATGGTGCCTGCCTGTAAGCCCACTGGGGAGGCTGAGGCAGGAGGGTCACTGCAAGTTTGAGGCCAGCCTGGCTACAAAGTGAGTTCAGACCAGCCTGAACTGCATAGTGAAATCCTGTCTCAAAAAGAAAAAAAGGCAGGTCCAGTCTCAAAGAGTTCTTCATAGTGACACCACAGGCAGACCGTCCCTGGAGTTGTGTGACCTGGCTCAGGAGGTCACTGGGATAGCACTGTTTTTTGGGGGCTGGGGGAAGGGTGATTGGTGACCAGTACAGATACTAGGTGTGGTATGGTTTTTGTACAGAAATTGAACCGAGGGCTTTTGCACTGAGTTCCCTCCCCAGTTCAGTTTTTGCTTGAGACAGGTTCTCAATGTTACTCAGTTACCCAGGCCGGGCTCCAGTTTGCAATCCTCCTGCCTCAACCTCCCAGCATGCTGAAATTACATGCATGTCATCACACTGGCTATAGGTTTTTTGGTTGTGTTTTGTGTGTGTGTGATGGTGGTGGTAGTGGGATAAACAACAGAATACCACTCAAGGCGATGCACACCCGTAATCCTAACACTCGGGAAGCTGCTGAGGCAGGATTGCCACGAATTTGAGGTCAGCTGGGCTACGTAGTGAATTAGCATTCAGCCTGAGCTACGTAGCAAGACCCCACCTCAGAATCAGTGCATAGGTCAGTTTCCCACAGTAGCTATTTTGAGCATGGGGTATGCAGTGTGGCGGGGTCTCCTTGGCTGTGATGCAGCCTGCAGAGTGCTTTCACTTTGCATTGCTGAGCTGCCATCACCCTGGAGTTTCTGTCCAATCACTGTGGGCAAGGTTCCCAAGTGTCCTGCCTGTCATCGGCTGTCACTGGCTGGCCTGCAGGAGGTAGCAGTGCAGAGCTGTCTCCACGGAGTTTGGGGCCGAAGTTCTTGCTTCTCTGTAAATGCAGTGCTCAGCCACCTGTGTGGCTGACAGTGGGTGCCTGATGCTTGGGCAGTGGAATGTGACTGTCACTGCCAAGGGGCTTATTTCCACCTAACTGTCATGTGTGTATTGGGCCCTCTGCGTCTGCCTCAGGGGCCTGAGGAGGGCAGGGACCAAGGCAGCAGCATAGGGGACTCAGGTCTGGGCGTGACTTTGGCTGCTGCTGGTCCGTGTGTAAACTGTCCCCACCTTGGCAGGAGGCGTAAGACCCCAAAGCCAGCTGTCACTGGCGAGTGTGGTGCTTGTTCCAGGCGCCTGGCGTGCTCATGATGTGACCACAGCGGGACTGAGTGACCACTCCCCAGAGGTAGGCGTGGAGGCCCCAGGATCAAGCTGACCCTGCCCTGTGACTTCCCAGGTGTACAACGAGTTCATCCTGCCATCCGAGCGTGAAGGCTTCCTGAGGCGGATCCGGGAGGTCATCCAGCGGGTGGAGACACTGCTCAAGAGAGACCATGAGGCTGCCCCAGGCCTCCAGGTCAGGCCCGCTTGGCCCTGGTCCTCATAGGGTCCTGGGGTCAACTCCCTTTCCCTCCCTCGGGGACTGGCAGGCTGCCCCACCCCCACCCCCAGCAGTGTGATGGGAGCTGGGGACTCCTAGAGAAAAGTGGTGAATGTAAACTGTATTCTTTTCGTTAAAAAGCTATATTTTGAGGTAATTTCAGACTGCGGAGGATGTCACAGGGACTGCTCAGGGAATAGGACTAGGCAACTTCTTCCAGATCTGCCAGCTGTGAAGGGTTTTGAGGCCTTAGCTTCTCCCTTCCCTCTGCCTGCCTGTGCGCACCCTCTGGGGTACATCCCAGCAGCCCTGTATCCCAGCGCTCCCATCCTGATTCCGTCCCCAGGCTCTGGTCCCTCAGCCTCTGCTCTGTGACTGTTGTGTTTCTCAGCAGGAGCCCTCCAGCAGTGTGGACTGGGTCCCACCTCGGGACCCTTCTGGGAAGGGACACTGGGGACCAGAACCTCAGGCCACCACCACCCCAGCAGAGCTCCAGAGCAGTTGTGGCTGTGGCTGTGGCTGTGGCCCCGGCCTGGGCCAGTGGAGCTGGACCTTCTCTGACACCCCATCTCTGCCTGGGACACCCTTGTCCCCTGCAGCCCCCAGCTTTCCCGTCGCTTCCTCTCCATGGCCCCTCACTTGCGGCCAGCCCTCTAGTCCCCCTCTACAGTCACCCTGCTCCCCACTTTCCAGGGGCTCTCCCCCTAGCAGCCCACAGAGCCCCTCTCCTCTCCCTCTCTGTCCCTCCCTGCCTGCCACCTCCCTGCCTGCTGCCACCACCACCACCACCGCTGGCCCCCTTCTGTCCCTGGCCAGTGCCTTCTCACTGGCTGTGATGACTGTTGCCCAGTCCTTGCTGTCCCCCTCCCCCGGGGTTCTTGCCCAGGATCCCCCAGTGCCCCCAGGCCCACTGCCGCTGCCTTTGTCTCCACTTGCCCCTGGAGGCCAGGAAAGCCTTTTTCCCCAGATGGCCGAGGCAGAGGCAGAGAGTAAGGTAAGGAAGCCAGGGGGCTTGCTGACCGGGGAGCCCTAGCCAGCCACTCCTTCACACCCCTGTACTGTGCAGGCCTCCCTGGGTCCCACATGGCCACTCCTGGGCGAAGCCAGACTGGCACCCATCTCGGAAGGTGAGGCCTCTGGTCTGGTGCTCGTCTTCCCTTGCCCTCACCCCTACCCCCTGTGCATCCCACAGCTCGCTTTGCGTCCCTCTGTCCCCCACAGAGAAGCCCCAGCTCGTTGGGCGCTTCCAGGTGACCTCGCCCAAGGACCCAGCGACACACCCTCCCATGCGCCCAGTGAGCCCTGAGCCCCCCAGCTGCCCTAAGCTGCCAACCCCTCTACTGAACCTGGGCAGCTCAAACACCCAGGATGCGGCTGGGCCGGGGCCGGACACCGGGGAGGCTGTGGCCAAGAGCACCTGCACTGCCGAGGGCCCAGGGAGTCCCGTGGAGGAGAACAGGGATACGGGGCTTGAGCCCCATATGGGGGACAGCGCTCTGGGCCTGGGCCACCCCAGCCCAGTGTGGATGAGCTGCTCCTACAGCAGCTTGTGCCTGAGCAGCGAGGAGTCGGAGAGCAGTGGGGAGGACGAGGAGCTCTGGGCAGAGCTGCAGAGCCTGCGGCAGAAGTGAGTGGGGCAGGCAGTGGTGGTAGTGCCCACTGCGAGGTGGCAGTGGCCATTCGTGCTTTTCGCGTCCACAGGCACCTTTCTGAGGTGGAGGCACTCCAGACACTCCAGAAGCAGGAGATTGAGGACCTGTACAGCCGGCTGGGCAAGCAGCCCCCACCAGGCATCGTGGCCCCGGCCGCCATGCTCTCCAGCCGCCAGCGCCGCCTGTCCAAGGGCAGCTTCTCCTCATCCCGCCGCAACAGCCTGCAGCGCTCCGAGCCCTCGGGCCCTGGTGAGCCCGAAGCTGCCCAGCCTCCTCCTCTCTGCTGATGCCCCTTCTGCTTCCTGCCGCCAGGCTGGGCCATTTCTGCCTGTGGTTGGGCCCAGCACGGCCCTCAACCACCCTCTCGGTCCTGCTCCAGGCATCATGCACAGAAACTCCCTGAGTGCCAGCAGCACCAGCTCCCCGGAGCAGCGGGCAAGCAAGGGGCTGACGTTCACCGGGGATGCTGGCAGGATGGTGAGGGCGGCCATGGGTGGGGGCGCCCAGCAGGTCTGCCTTCCGCCTACCTGAAGGCTTCTTCAGCACCCCTTTATCCTGCAGTGAATTCAGAACAGAAGCCAGCATCTCCCGTACCAGGGCCCACTTCAGCGCCTGTGCTCTCCGGACTAGATGCTTTTCTGACCGGCTCAGCAAGGAGGACCAGCACGCAGGGGACAGGCACAGAGAGGGCAGTTACCCACACACACAGGGACTGTGCTGCCACAAGGAGGTGGAGGTCTGTAGCCTTGTTGCCTGCCTTTCACCCTGGCTCCAGTCAAGGGCTGACCACTCCACTGTCCCACCCAAGCCCAGATGCTTCTAGAGGGTGCACTCGTGGCCAACCACAGTTAGCAGTAGCCAATAAAAACTGCTGGAGATAAGGACCACGAATCTGTTCCTGTCCTGCTTTAGCAACTGGGCATTCTTGAGTGAAGCAGAGGAGGATGGAGAAGGGACATACCTTTCTCAAGGGGCATGGGTAGATTGGGGGTTGTGGCACATGCCTGTGATCCAACCCTTGGGAGGCTGAGCCAGAAGTATCACCAGGAGTTCAAGGCCAGCCTGGACAACACGGAGCCTGTCTCTGACAAAACAACACAACCAAGGGACATGGGTGGAAGCTGACCAGCTGTCAGCTTCCTGCCAGCAGCTGAGGAGGAAACTGCAGGCTCAGTAATCCACCTGGCCAATTAAGATCTCCGCCAGACCTACCCTAGGTTTGTGTGGACAGACGGGCACCAGAGAAAGTAAAAAAAAACAAAAGCCACTGATTGGGGAGAGGGTTTAGCTCAGCAGCATAAGCACCTGCCTGGCAAGTGCAAGGTCATGAGTTTGATCCCGGGTAACCAAAAAAACCCAGCAATGATTTCTTCTCCTTCACCCACTGAACCAGAGCTGGGAGAAGCAGTAAAGATTAGGCTGATAGTGTTTTTGAGGGTAAAGGACAGAAGAGTGACCTTCCTTCCCCCAAAGACCTGTTTCAATATCAAACAGCCCAGTGATCTCTCCCTTAAATCAGGTTGAAGGATCTCATGGAAAAAGTAATTCTAGTTAAACATTTACATTCCCTGGGGCAATGCCACCACTGTGGCTAAGCATTACCCAGTGCTAAGCCATGCAGCCTCCCAACACCCCACCCACCTACCCAACTAGCTTAGCTCCAGGGGAGATGACTCAAGTTTATTGTTCTTAACTGACTGTTCTTTCCCATTCTAGGCTCCAGCACTGCACAGAGCTGCCATACCCACCCTCTCTAACTGGGGCCTGGGAGGTGAAGGGGGAAACCACAAAGTCAGGAAGTTTGGGGGAAGCCAAGGTCGCATACCTCTCAAACAAGGAAACAAGGGCTTAGGCACTGGGCACAGTGCAAGGGAAACAACGAATGTCACAAGGACAGTGGCCCAATTCTGTCCCTTGTTTCTTGGGCCCAATCATGGTCCAGTTAATAAGCAGGCCAGGGGTGCTGTGAGAAGGCGTCAGTTTCCACAGGGTCTCGGTGGCACCCGCCACGTGAAGGGCTCTACGGGCTCCGGCAGGCTGCAGACTGGCAATGCCCAGGTTCAGGGTACTGATGCCCTTTCAACAGCTCGAGCACGGGCAGCTTTGACCTCATCTTCCAGCTCGTCGAGGAAACGCTCCTGGGATATGGAGTAGATGGTGTAGGCATCTGGGGAGGCGGCTCAGGAAACCACTAGGGACAGAAACATTCCCTCCCTGCCAACCTCCACCTCAGTGATTTCAGAGTCCCTCCTTCTGCTCTTTTTGAACCACGACCTCAACTCCGTTATTAATACAGCACACGAAAAGGGCAGTTTAGGGATAATAAATGTTTAGGTCAGGCGTGGTGGGGCACGCCTGTATTCTAGCGCTTGAGAAGCTGAGACAGGACGATCTCGAAATCGAGATCCGCCAGAGGTTCTAGGCTTGATCCAGGCCCAGACTGGATCACAAAGCCTCGAAAAAGAAAGCAGGAAAAAATTGAGCATGGAGCCCACTATATCCCAAACACGATGCGCTTCTGTCCACCGGCCCCCATCCCATAAGCGGCACAGACAGGGTGGATACAAATGCCCAACACCAGGGCCCCGATGCCCAGGCCAGTTACGATGTTCCGGGTCCGCCGCTGAGGCAGCGTCTTCTGCCAATGGGCGAGCTGTGCCTGCCGCATGAAGTGCAGTTGCGCGGGAGTCAATTTCTCGCGAGTTGGGTCGATACGGTGAGCGATTGGAGCCCTTCCCTCCTTGGCATCCAGGGGGTCACCAGCTCCCGGCGCCGCCATGTTGCCCCTCCAACAGCTGCAAGCGCGGAGCTCGTTGGGAATAGTAGGCCTTCGCCGCCGCAAGGGATCCTGGGAGTTGTAGTCTGTACTTTTTTCCCGTATTATCCCGCCTCTTGGAGGGGGCGGGACAACGGGAAGAGGTCGGGCCTTCTGATTGGCTGAGGGGTCGGCGACCGTTGGAGCGGGAAAAGCTGAAAAAGCTCGTCGCGGCGGCGACGTTGGTTTCCCTCAGGCGTGAGGCGAAGACGGACACGCTGCGGGTGCTCTGGAAGCCCACAGACGGCTGCTTAACATGGACAGGGCTGCGGGGCCCAGGTCGGCCTCCTTGGGAAACTTCCAGTTCGGGGCAGTGGCCACCGAGACCATCGAGGACGCGCTGCTGCACTTGGCCCGGCAGAACGAGCAGGCTGTGCGCGAGGCCGTGGGCAGCCACGGCCACTTCCGCTTCCGGGAGACGCGCTTCGTGGGTGTGCTGCACGCGCGGGCGCGAGGGGCTGGGTCTCTCGGCAAGACTTGTTTCCGCGTTCCGTTTTCAGTTTTTTAACTTTTAGCGTTGTTTCCTGGGGTTTTGGCGGTGTACCCCAGGCTGGCCTCAAACTGGAGGCAGTGACCTGCGTCAGCCTCCCCAGTGGAGGGATGACAGGTGTGCCCCACCGGGATCCTGTCCTTGATTCTTTACCACGTGTTCTCCCCCATCCTGCCTGGGACGGAAAGATGCAGTAGGGATCCCCGTACGATCCCTGGGAGATAGTAAAGCTAACAGCAGATGCCAGGGTATAGTGCGGGTACATAAGTGGCGCGAGAGGGAAGAAACATGCTGAGGACAGAAAAGCTGCACTAAGCTGTCTCTCGAGGAGCAATCCAGGGGTCTGTCCTGGGTAAATCTAAGAAAACAGGAGGGAAAAGATGAGTGTACCCAGAGTCTGGGCGTCCAACGATGCCGTTAGGAGAAGCAGCTGGCATGCAGCGCATGCCTGGGATCCCAGCTACTCGGGAGCCTGAGGCAGGAGGGTTGCAAGTTCAAATCTAGCCCGGGCAGTTTAGCACAATGCTGTTTTAAAAGAAAATACGAGGAGCAGTAGCTCAGTGCTGGAGCGTTTGCCTAGCAAGAGTGAAGCCCTGGGTTCAATCCCAGGTACTACCAAAAACCAAACCAAAACAACAACAAAAACCCAAGATGACACACTGCTAAAATAATGACGAAGAAGTGTGACGTGTTTGTGAAAACAACTGCTTTGGTTTTGGATCTGCTAAGTTTCAGGCACTTGAAATGTATGTAGAGGAAGGTTGTGAGCAGGTTTTCTAAGAAGTGTTCAGAACTAGAGCAAACAGTTTGTGAGTTATCTTCATACTGGCATTGTTGCAGCGTGGCAAAAGATGAGCTCTTAGCAGGAGAAAATAGCTCACCAGGGACCACGCATCGGGGAGCAGTCTGTGTCCAGGGAGTTAGAGTGGGAAGGAGACTGGGGAGGAAAAAGTGAGGAGGCAAATGGTAGACAAGGTGGAAGGAGTACCAGGGGGCTTTGGAAGGTGTGGGGGAAGCTCCAGCAGTGTCCCTGCTGCAGGAAACCCTGCAGGAGTAAGGATGGACTGGCCACAACGGCTCAGCAGTGGGGCACCCTGTTGGCCTTCCAGGTGGTCATTTTAGCCATCTGGGAAAGGTGGAATCCAGATTACAGAAGATTACTCCAGAGTGAAGGAGGAAGTGGCAGCATCAGATGTATCAGTCAGGCTTTCAGGAAAACTGACTGCAAGCCAGGGATGGTGACGCATAGGTATAAACCCAGCACTTGGGAGGCTGAGGCAGGAGGATCACTGCAAGTGTGAGGCCAGCCAGAGTGAGTTTAAATCCAGATATAGGGAGACTCAGTCTCAAAAAAAGTGAAAATCAAGAAAATTAAGGCTGGTGATTTAGCTCAATGGTACAGTGCTTGCCTGGCAAATGTGAGGGCTTGAGTTTGATTCCTGGTACACCTCCCCCCAAAAAAGAAAATTTAAAGCTATGAGAAGGAGAGAGATGGAGTCCTAGAAGCTGGAGGGGGTGTGTGCTGTTTACAGTAGTAGAGAGTAGAGGCACCAGTATAAAGGAGGAGGTGTAACTATTACCCATTCCCCCAGCCCAAGCTCAATTTTCTTGGAAAATAGAGTAGATAATTTAGATGAAAACCAAAACAAATAGCTGGAGAAAGAACAAAACGAAGCCTAAAGTCCAGTGATAAAAGGATTAGGTAGTAACACACAATTATGTGTCCTAGGACATTTTGCTAAATTACTTAAACCAATTGTTTCCTGGGTGGGACAATACCAGCAGGGCTGTGGCCTGTGTCAGTTAAGGTTTTGTTCATGCATCTGTGTAATGTGTGTCAAGCAGATTGTTTGACTGTCTTGTGCTAAATTGAGGGTTTTTTCCCTCTTTCTTTATCAGTACTGAGGATTGAATCTAGAGCCTTTACCTGAACTACATCCCTGGCTCTATTTATTTACTTATTTGAGAGAGTCTTGCTGAATTGCTAAGTCACAAAGCTAGGTTCAAACTTGTAGTCCTCCTGCCTCAGCCTCCCAGAGTGCTGAGAGAACATGTCTGCCCTATCATGCTCGCTGAGTTTTTTTTTTTTGTCTTTTTAAAAAAATTGATACCGGGATTGAACTTATAGCTGCACACTTGCAAGGCAGGCACTTATGCTGCTGAGCTAAATCCCCAGCCCTAGCTTGATTTTTTAAAAAAAGCTTTTCTTAGGGTTGAGGATTTAGCTCAGCAGTATAATTGCCTGCCTTGCAAGCTCGAGGTTGTGAGTTTGATCCCCAGTACCAAAAACAACAACAAAAATAGCTTTTCTTGGACTAGAGATTCAGCTCAGTGGTGTAAGCACCTGCCTTAAAGCGCGCAGTCATGAGTTTGATCTTGGGTAGCGAAAAATTTTACAAAAAAGAAAGAAAAATAGCTTTTCCTCTGGGAAAGTCAGTTTTCATTTGAAAACATAATTTGATCATATGTGTACAATTGTGAGCATCTCTATTCCAAAACTTTCTAATTCTTTGTGTCAACATGGTGTTCAATTTTGGACCATTTCAGATTTCAGATTACAAATCCAAATATTCTCTTCCACCTTTTTGAGACAGGGCTTGCTATGTAGCCCAGGCTGGCCTCGAACTCAGCAATCCTCCTGCCCCAGCCTCTCGAGTGCTGGGATTACAGGCATATGCCACTGGGCCTGGCAAAATGCAAATGCTAAAATCTACAGAAAACAAAACAGAACAACCCAGGATTTGAAACACTGGTTTGGAGCATTTCCGATAAAGCCACTCAACTGTGGCTCTTCACTGCCTGTGATAAAAGTCCCCAGTTCCTCTGGCGCCCTCTTTGTGGAGGGCTCACACCTGCCCATCTCATGATGGTGCAAGCCAAGCAGAATTTTCTTTGGGGCTGTTCTTCAAAGGGAAAAGGGCTGGGAACTGCTTGGCCGAGGTGCCCTGTCCTTCCTGCCTCCCAGTGGTCGGGCCTCGTTCCCTGGCTCTGGCCCTGTCTTTAGTGCAGCTCACTCCTGGTGACAAACCTGCCCCAGTGCCCTGGGCTTCCCGCCCCTCCCAGACCGACACACAGTGTCCAGCTGTGGGCACCTCCAGAGGGTGGCAGCTGAACAAACAAGGTCACAAGGACCCGGAGCTGCAAGAGGCGCCTTCCTGGCCCGCAGCACCACCCTGAAGCCAGAGCCCGAGCCCTGCCTGCAGGAGTTCCAGCTGGTGTTTATATGCTACTGGCCAAACCTTTCATCAGTGGGCCTGGGGGCTTGAGTGACATGGGTGGGGTGTCCTGCACCTTTGGCCCCTGTCCTGCCTCTGATGGCTGCTGGCTGCACAGGAACCTAGCCCCGCTTCAGCTGGCCAGCTGGTCTTTCTCCCCTCCTGAGCTTTTATGCAGCACCAAGATTGCACAGTGCAGTGCGGGCTGTACTTGTGAATGAGCCTCTTCTTTCCTGTTTGGCAGAGTTCATTTTTCTCCTGTCTGAACAATGGTGTCTGGAGAAATCTGTGAGCTACCAGGCTGTAGAAATCCTGGAAAGGTAAACCCTGATTGGGGGCCTAACAAGCAGAGTGGCTAACAGCCACTCTGGGTGGAAACCTGGGTGTCCTCCTGCAGGGCTGGTATTGCTCCCTCCTTTAACTGCAAACAAATGCCTCAGCCAGCACCTGATACCTGGGAGGATAAAGTGGAGCAGGTGGTGGCACAGGCACCCTTTATTTGCGGGTGTGGGTGTGGGTGGCTCATGCCCCTCCCCATCCCCACAGGTTTATGGTCAAGCAGGCCGAGGCCATCTGTGCACAGGCAGTGGCCCAGCTAGGAGACAGCGAGTGGACAGAGGCACAGAACTGGAGGGCTCGTAAGGAGCAGCTCTGCAGCAAGTTCATTCTCCGCCTGGTGTCATGTGTCCAGCTAGCCAGCAAGCTTTCTTTTCACTACAAAGTAAGCCGGGGCCACTCAGGGAGGTGGCTGTGGGAAGCCTACACACAGATCAGATGACACTGCCCAGGTGGCAGGTCTAGAGAGCTCCCAGTGTACCCTCTTAAGCACACACACTCACATAGGGACAGTAATTAAATAGCTCCACATCCTGTTTCCAAAGTGTAACTGCTGGACAGGTGCCACCATTCACACAGGTCACCTGTCCTTCCCTTGGCCTCAAGGACATTTTATGTAAGGTGCCCCGAGTGCCAGCTTGGCAGCCTGAGAGGCGGGTGGTTCCACTAAGAAAGGACACAGTGTGACAGCATCACTCCTCTGCCTGGGCTGTCATGTGTCATTTGTGCTGCAAATGTTGGGTTTCCTCCGTGACCAGGTGCCACGCTGGGTACCAGGGCTGCAGCACCGAAAATACTGCCATGTGCCTGAGGAATTCCTGTGGAATAGGAAAAGATCCCACCACCAGGGCTTGCTTCAGGGCGTGAGAATTCCCAGAGAAAGCTGATCCCAACCCTCTTAACCCAAGCAAGGGGAGGCTGGCAATGAGGACAAGTAGAGATTTCTGCATGGCTCGAGATGCGAGCCATATATCTGAATCCCACCTGTGGTTTTCCTTTGCCCAGATCATCAACAACCTCACGGCCTTGCACTTCCTCCAGGCCCTGGGGTACCAGTACACTAAGGAGGAGCTGCTAGAGTCCGAGCTGGATGTGTTGAAGTCCCTAGATTTCCAGATCAACCGCTCCACTCCCCTGGAGTATGTGGAAACACTGCTGGAAGTTTTAGGTACTTTACTGTGCTGGGATGCAGCCTGGAGATTTCATAGAGAGCACTAGAAATGTGCCCCAAACCTTGGGGCCGGGGGTCAGGACCTACCAGGGAGAGCAGAAAGGTTGCAGTGCCCTGGATGGGTGCGGTGTTTCCTCTGCACTGTTAGCGAAAGCAGCTCGGAGGAACTTCCCTTGCTGCAGGGTCATAGTAGGTGTTTCGAACAGGAATAAGGTAAGAGGAACAGCCAAGCGTGGCAGTGTACACCTGTGATCCTAGCATTCGGGAGGCTGAGGCAGGAGGACTGCTGTGAGTTTGAGGCCAGCCTGAGTTGCATAGTGAGACCCTGTCTCAAAAAGATGAAAATAAAAAAAAGGGCAACAACCCCCTGGGATGGCATATAGGCTACAAGTGGAGGCTTTCTGATTCTTTCGTCGTTTAAAGCTGACCTGCTCATGGGACTTGGCTGAACACTTCCAGTCACAGCTGGGACTGATGGGCAGAGAACCGCCGCTCAGTGCCCTGTCATGCCTGTTCCATCCAGGGTACAATGGCTGCGTGGTCCCCGCCACACGGCTGCATGCCACCTGCCTGAGCCTGCTCGACCTGGTCTACCTTCTGCACGGTCCTGTGTACGAGAGCCTGCTGAGATCTGCTGTGGGGAGCGCCACGCCCAGCCAGCTGCAGGGGTATAAGGCCCTAGGGGTTGCACCGGGGTGGTGCACAGCAGGCTCAGCCTGGTTCCTTCAGCTTCTGGCACATAGGCCCCACTCAGGAAGGCCCAGAAAGCTGTCAGGTTTACTGGTGTTCAGTTACTGTACATCAGCTGTCCAGAGCCTCACTGTGTCTGATGGGGATACAGTGGCCACAGAAGCTGTAGGCCACCTGGCTGGAGGCTTGTGTTGAGCCCTGCTGTGTGGCCAGCACAGGCGCAGGTTGAAGCCAGCTCTTGGCCACTTCCTGCCAGACTACACATGCACCGAGAGTCCTGTGAGGCTCCAGAACTGCAGGGCTCAGCCGTGGCTGGCTTACTCCCCTAGGGAGCAGTTCAGCCCGGTGCAGGAAGACTTCATGCTGCTGGCAGTGGGGGTCATTGCGGCAAGTGCCTTTGTGCAGAGCCACGCATGCTGGAGCCAGGTAGGTGCCCTGGGTGTGACTGCAGAGACCCCTGCTGAGGTCGTTAGCCTAGTTCTGGGCTTGGGACGGGGCAGCAGGCCAAGGACAGGTCCTCGGGTGGGGAGACTGGCAGGACTGGAGTGCAGTCTCTACTGTTGCCCATGGAGATGAGCCCCCGCCCATGCTGAGCTTGTGGGTTCTCTGTGACCGAAGAATCTCCAGAGTACTGGGGTCCGAATCCACCACCCCAGTGGGCTGAGGGAAAAGAAGTCCACACCTGCTGTAGAGAACACCCCAGGCAGTGTATGTGCATGTGTGTTCATGCACATGTGTGTGCTAACATGCCGAACCATGTGACTGGAGGCTGCTCTACTCCGCAGGTGGTGCGGCACTTGCAGAGCATCACTGGCATCGCCTCAGAGAGTATAGCGGAGTTCTCCTATGCTGTCCTGACCCATGGCGTGGGAGTTAGCCCTACTGCTGTCCCGCCCCTCCAGGCCGCCTGGGCTCCTGCGCTGCTGTCCCCTCCCGCAGCGCAGCGCGTTGGGCACAGGCTGCAGAGGCCACCAGCCTCCCTTGCTGAGTGACAGGGACGTGTGCACTCAAGCTGCTGAGGACCAAGCCCCTGGAGAGGCCACGGCTGCCAGGGAAGGAGCTGAGGGACCCAAGTGTGTCCCTTCTGTCACTTCAGACCAGGAGTGTCCAGGACTGGGCCAAGGTGGATCTGTAATGTTGGTTTACTTTAAACAAGATATTCCTGGTCTGCCTTTAAATAAGCCAAGGGCCCCAGGAAGGGGACTCTCTGGGTGACCCTGTCACCAGGTCCCCATGTTTCTTTTGGTGTAAAATCCCTGTTGTGTCACTAAAAGCAACGTAGTAGCCATTCTCCGCTATCTGTTTTCCCTTTGCTGGACCCACACACACCACCCTGCCCCCCGCTAGTTACTAAACCCTGGGCACCTGCACCCCCCTGGAGCCTGTCCATGCAGGGCACAGCACATGGTGACCCCCAAAACCTTCTATTACCAACACCCGACTATGGAGCCGGGGGCAGCAGCTCTGTCTCAGGCTCTGGGTGGCTTGGCAGAACCCAGGTGTCACTTCCGTCACCCGGCGGTGTACCTCCCACAGCTTGGCATTGCAGCAGAGAGCAAAGTTTCTATTCCATGTTTTACTTGCAGCAAGTTGAGGGACATAAAATCCAGGGAAAGCACATCAACTTTGACTCAGTTAAAAAAAAAAAAAAAAAAGAAACTTAAATGCATTTTCCTAGGAGCCAGGGAGGCCTGGGCTCCAGGGGACCTTGCTGGGGCTGGCAGCAGGCCACAATCCAGAGCCCACCAGCCACAGGGCTGCTTATGATAAAGGGCTTTCCTGGCTTTTGTCTCTTGGTATTGGTATCGCCTAAAGTTTATAAACTTTTCTTTTTCAAACAAAACAAAATATAAAGCCTGCAAGGCCAACGTCTCCTTAAGGAGAAAAGGAAGTCATTTGTTGTAGAACTGCGAGGAGACCCAGGCCAGGCCCCACTTCAGGTTGGTCAGCATAAACTTGAGCGCCTTCGTCCACTGTTCCTCTGAGTTGAACTGGGTCTTGATGGAGTAGGAGCCGCCGCTGCCGCCCGTGTCCTCGATCTTGCCCTTCTCCACGTCCATCCTGCAGGCGGGCGGGCGGCAGAGATGCTCGGTAACTAAGGCCCAAGCCAGGTGGGTGGGGACAGGTCACAGGACCGTCCTGTCACCCTATCTGACAGTGCGCTTGGCGGGGAACCGTGCTGCAGTTTGGATTTGCTTGAAAGTCCAACATCAAGAAGGCTGTCACAAGAGCCTCACTGTCACTGCAGGGCGCAGGGACAGGACACACACCCAGACCACTGAGCAGCCTGCAGGGCTGAGGGCGGGTCATGGCACTGTCCCGTGTCCCGGGTGTCCCTGCGCTCATGTGAGAAGAGCAGCCTGTGTCAGGTGACATGCCCAGCCCCACCTTCCCATCCAGGGCTACTTCTCCTGCCCCGCCCTCCCGAACGGCATCCCCTGTTCACTTCCAGAGGCTGCAGGGGGACCCGAGACACTGGCCAGCAGGCTCAGCTCTGTGCCAAGAGCATCCCAGAACCAGCTGCGACTCGGGCCCCGCAGCCTGGGCCAGGCCTCTGCCTCCCCCATGGACACCGCCCTGTCGCCTTCTCACCTCCCGTTGGTACCACCAACCTGGCCCCACTTCGAGGTCCCTCGGTGCAGGGGCACTGACCTGTACGGGAGACAAAAGCGCGTCTCGCCCTTCTCCACCTCTTCTTTGAACTGCTGTACACAGTCCAGGAAGGCCACCATGGCATGGTCGAACTTATTGTCCCAGAAAAACCGCAGCCCTCCAGAACAGTACAGCGGCAACTCCTGTGCAGGCAAGAGAACAGCCGTGGACACGATGAGAGGTTGGGGAACTGGGACCACTCCCAGTCCTGATGGCCCCTCCTGCTGTCCTCCAGCTGTGTCCACTGAAAATACGCATGCACGACCTCGATCGGTGACAATAACCTTGGGCAAACGCAGTCTCAGCAGTGTTTCTGCGCAGGGGCACGCCAGTGGTGCCTCACACCAGGGTGCAGACCGCCCTGCCCTTCTCCACTTCCTCTGCACCAAGCTGCGCCTGTGTGAGGCACTGGCCCTTCACTAGTACCTGAAGGACGCCCCCTGATGCCACTGTTGCAGGCAGACCCTTTGTCTTTTCAGTGCTGGGGTGGAAGCTGATGCTCTGTGTAAGCCACGCAAGGGCTTACGGGGCCCAAAGCGCAGAGGATTATGAATTTTGTAACCCAGTGAAGATGGCGCCTCCCGAGTACCTTGGATTTGTCTGCCAGGGACTCCAGGTATGAGTGGTTTCCATAGGGAACAAGTCGATACCTGAAATGAAACGAAAGTGGAGATGTGTACGTGGCTCTTCCATGGTGACCGCTAGCTTTCCAATCTGCTTCCCGTACCAGCCTCCTCTCCCGCCGCCCCACAGGACTGGGTTAAAAGACTGCTGTGGAGTGTGGTGGCACATGCCTGTAATCCTGGTACCGGGATGATGAGGCAAGAGGACCTCAGGTTTGAGGCTACCCAGGCTACACCAGTTAAAGGCCAATCTGGACCACATAGCAAGACATATCTCAAAACACAAATGAATGAAACAGACTTTTAAAAATAGTTACATTTATTACATAAACCTATGGGGGCTTTTCACAGACTAGTGTGTTTGGAGTTAGATTTTTTTTTTGTTTTTTTGAATCAGGGTTTTACTATGTGGTTCAGCCTGGCCTTGAACTCACTTTATAGCCCAGGCTGGCCTCAAACAGCGATCCTCCTGCCTCAGCCTCCTGAGGGATCAGATTTAAAAAGTAATAACTGAAACTCTGTTGAGGAACACTGAGGTTTTTTTTTTTTTTTTTTTTTTTTTTTTGTCTTTTTCCTTTTTATTGGTACCAAGGATCGAACTTACGACTGCCTGCTTTACAAGGCAGGCGCTTATGCCGCTGAGCTAAATCCCCAGCCCTGAACACTGAGGTTTTGTAAGCCTGGGACCACCGATCGCCCTGTCAGTGGGAAAAATCCAGTGACAGGTGGAAAACCAGACTCGCCCATGGGGACCACCAAGGGTCATAATGCACCTCTTGGAGTGTGTCCTTACCTCTGGAACTTCAGGCCCATCTTGTTGGCTAGGGCGTGCAGCAGCAGCACGGTCTGCCCCCACGCGGCATTGATCTCATTCCACTCCACAGGGACGCTGGGCAGGCGGCCCAGCCTGAAGTTGTTGATTGTACCAAACTGGCCACTGTGCCTGTGGAGGAAGGGGACACAGGTATGACACCAACAGAGCCACCCCCGCCACGCCCCCAGCTTGAGTGCATCTCCCCCTTAGCTTCAGGGTCACATGCCTGAGCTCCAGCTGGCATGGCCCGTGTTTCCCTCAGCTCAGGTGTTAAAGCAGAAACCCGGTCCTTGAACACCTGCAGGCATGGGCTGGGGGTGTGGCTCAGTGGCAGAGCTCTTGACTTACATGCATGAGACCCTAGGTTTGACCCCCAGCACCAAAAAAAAAAAAAAATAGGGCCAGAGGTTTAGCTCGGTGTCGTAAGCACCTGCCTGGCAAGCGTGAGGTTGTGAATTTGATCTCTGGTACCAAAAAAAAAAAAAAAAAAAAAAAAAGTGGGAAGACCCTGTGGGCTCCCACATCTGTCGGCTTCCGTCCCTTTCTCACCACAGTGTGACTTCCCCTTTGTCTGTTGTCCCAGGGATGGGGGTCCTGGTGCCCTTCCCCCAAACCCCTCCCCATAAGTGAGCACAAGCCCCATAGGGCTGTGGATACAGCGGGCACCTGGCGGGGGTGGAGGTGACCTGTCATCCCGCTTCTGAGGGAGGGGGTCCCCGGTGCAGGGTCCGCAGCGAGGGTCCGGGTCTGTAGCGCTCTGGCCGCGTGCGCCTCCCTTCCCGCCTTACCAGATGTGGAAGGTGGCGTTGAAGACGTTGGTCTTCTTCAGCTTGTCCAGCTGCACCTGGGCATAGCGCATCTGGTTCTCCACACTCTTGAGCTCGTCATCCAGCTCCAGCTGCTGCCGTTTGAATTCGCTGTATTCCCGCTGGTACCTGCGACAGCCAGGCCCATGGGAGTCGTGGGGGACCCCACACAGAGCACGTGTGCCTTAGCTGTTCTGCGTGGGAGGCACAGAAACATCTCACAGTTCCCACTGCCCAGAAGCAAAAGGGTGGAGGAAAGGACCCCTCGTGACTGGACACAGATGTTCCTGTGCTGCTGCATCTTCCAAGCAAGCCGAGCAGCTGCCTCCACAAACAGCCAGAAGTGACCCCCAACCCTGGTTGCTCCACACTGCCATCCTCCCAGCACCAACACCAGTGCGCTCATCACGGCGCTTAGTGAAAGGTCCCCGGGTCCTCAATCCTTCAGCGTGGACACCGTGCCTCCCTGAGGGATAAGGAACCCCTTTGTCATGGGATCACACTGGCCTTTCATCCCTGATCTCCCAAAGCCTCAGAAGAAAGATCTGGAAACAACAAATGGGACCTGGAGTGCAAGTGGCCAGGCTTGGCATGAGACAGGTGCAATCTGCCCTCGCCGTGGGCACTCACTGGGCTTCTTCCTGATCCAGCTGCTCAGCCTCAGCCTGCACGGTCTCCAGGTCCTCGGCCACCCCCTGGCGGCTCCTCTCTACTTCCTCCAGCTCCTGGAGCAGCCGCTCCTCTTCCAGGGCTAGCTCCCGCAGCTCCTCCTGCAGCTGCTCACTGTCATCCTCGCCCATCTGCTCCAGGAGCTCCAGACAGCGCCTGAGGGATGGGGTGGCGGGAGAGGGAGGCAGGGCCGTGCCAGGCCCAGCCTGGCCCCCACCACGGCCCCGTGCTCACTTGTAGTTCTGACACTCGTTCTCAGTGACATTGAGCTGCGTGTCCAGCTGGTCCAGGAGCGTGTCCGTGCACTCCTCACACAGCGGGTGGTCCACATCTGTCTGGCCCGACATGATGTCGAAAAGATCCCCGGTGACCTGGAGGGTGGGAAGGTCAGGGTGGGCCACCCTGCACCAACAGCCCGCTGCTGCTCCTCCGCCCAGCCAGCCGCTTGCCTTCAGCCTGCGGCTGAGGTTCTCCATGGTGCCACCGTCTGAAGCCTCCCCGATGAGTGTGAAGCTGTTGGCGCTTTCCGTGGACAGCATTCTGCAGAAACCCCAGCCCAAGGCCACGTGAGGGGCTCGGAGGCCTCCTCAGACCCATGCCTGCCCACCACCCAAGGGGCGCCTCTCTCTTGGGGAAGGCCCTGTGGAGACCTCCCTACAAGAGCCTGAGGCTGGTGACCACTCGTCTGGCCCCGCCTTCCCCCTCTGAGACCCTAGCCTGGGGCAGGGAGCAGGGCAAGGAGGGGCAGGCACCTGGCTGGGGGAATGAACCTGCGGGAGACGCCGTCCTGGCGCGTTTCCACAAACAGCTCCTGGCAAAGGGAGCAGAGGGTCAGGACCTGGCAGCCCCACTCGGCTCTGCCCTCCAATCTCATGGGCCCCAGGAAGCCTGAGCCATGGGAAATGGGATTTTCTAGGCAGCGAAGAAAGGACCCTCATGCAGATGAACCACAGGTCCTGCTTGTCTGTTTTGTGGGGGAAAAGCATTTCTGGCTACCATTACCCAGTTTATGGAATCTGCAGTTTTGAACATGCAGCAGCCAGGTAGGGGAGAGAAAGCCTAGTCACAGTGCTGGGCAAGGGCCACATGCACGGTTCCGCCTTCAGCACTGGGACAGGATTACACAGGGCCCTCTGCCTGGGGTCCTTCTCTGGCCACCTGCAGAAGTCCCCTGTCACCTGGGCAGGGCAAGCCTTGGGTGTGTGCAGCACCACTCCTCAGGAAGTGGCCCCTACACACGGACCTCATAGGTATCCTGGGCCCAGCCACACCCCTTTGCTTCCTGTGACACTCCTGCTTCCAAGGGCAGCCTCCTAGGGTCCCCTCCCACATGAGTGACTTGTACTTACAGCCTGGTTCTGACTGGCACCTTGGGTCGCCCCACAGCACACGAACTGTGTAAGGAGAAGTGTGGAGGGCACTTTTATTACCTCGCCTGGGTTAGCCGCTTCCTCCTGGACCATTGCTGGTTTCGCTTGGCCTGCAGTAAGTAATGGAGCTAGAAGAAAGAAAAATACTGAGCAAGAAACAGGTCTTTCTTTCTTTCTTCCTTTTTTGAAATAATCTCACTAAGTAGCCCAGGTTAGCCTCAAACTCATGGCAATTCTCCTGCCTCAGCTTCCTAAGTGCTGGGTTATAGGCATGCACCACCACACCCAGCAAGAAACAGTCTTATATAAGCCAGAGAATTTATTAAATATCCTCATCAGCAAGCCTATTTTTATTCATTTTTAAATTTTTTATTCTTTAACATTTACTTTAAGTAACATTGTCTTCTTCCTTCTGCTTATTAAATCAGGTTAAGAAGATGTTGAAATTTTTTGCTTTATACTTTGTATCACTGTGGATTGAACTCAAGGTCTTGCACAGGCAAGATACACTCCAGGCCTTTTATTTTCAGACAGTCTCACTAAGTTGCCCAATTTGAACTGCAGTCCTCCCGCCTTGGTCTCCCAGAGTGCTGGGGTTTAAAAGCATGTGTGATTGCACCCTGCAATTTAAAGGGATTAATAATGGGTAACATGATTATTTTAGAAAGAACCCTTATCTTTCAAAGATACATAAATATTTATGATCTGTATCTGGGAGGGATTTGCTTCGAAACAATTGTGGGGAGGCCTTGATCTGCAGTAGTATGGAGGGGTGATAAGATACATAAAGCTGGGTCCTAGCCACAAATGCCCCTGGAGCAGGGTGCTCACACGAGGGGCTGGTTGCTGCCTCTGAAGTCTCCTCCACCAGGCTGACCTCACCTTTCCCTTGGAACACTGTGAGAGAAACGTGAGAAGTGGAAAGGAAGCCTGCTACTTTGCAGTCATCAGGGTTATGTGAGTGCCCCTACTCATGAAAAGCGTGCAGCCCATGTACACAGTGAAATTCTATTTAGGAAAAAAAAAAAGTAAACAGCACTGTCATTTGTGATATGGGGTGGAATGAGGGGATGTTATGCTGAGTGAAAAGGGCCTGGCGTGGAAGACAAACACTGCTGAATCCATGAATATGTGCAGTCTGGGGCTCGATCTCACTTAGACACGGAAAGCACATCGTGGGGGGCCCGGGCTGGGATGGGGCGGAGCAGTGGGGGCTCCTGGGGAGGTACCAAGTTCCAGCCAGAGAGGAAAGGTTGGTTCTGTGTCCTACTGCACAGAGCAGTAACCCCAGGAACAGGGACACACTGTGCATCTCCAAAGAGGTAGGAGGAGAGGCTTTAGTGTTCTCACCACAAAGAAACGGTAACTGTCAGAAGACACAGGCAACAGTGCATAGCCTGTGTGAGGACTGAAATATCACATCACACTGCACAAATACAGTGACTTAGAGAAAGAATGGATGCCATAATTAGGAGGAGATGCCAGGAACAGGGGTACACGCTTGTAACCCAGCAATCAGGAGGGATCACCATGCTTTTGAGTCTAGCCTGGGCTACTACTGAGGCCTTTTCTCAAAAAAAACAAAAACAAAAACAAAAACAAAAACCCACAAAAAGCAGGAGGATCGCTGTGAGTTCCAGGCCGGCCTGAACCAGACCTGGTCTCAAAACCAAACCAACCAACCCTGCCAAATGAGCCTCAAAAACAAACACGAAATAATCTTTACAGCTACTTTATGAGGTAGTTTTAGACTTTCAAGAAAGATGCCAAGGTTTAGAGGTGAAGTCACTGCAGAAAGTCATTCGGTGCCTGTCAGCCAGATGTAGACCCAAGCAGGCTGACTACATGCCCAGCGGCTAATCTCCGCGGACAGTTCTGCCGCGTCTGTCTGTGTACATCTCACTTGCTGCGCTTGGGAAACGACTGCTCCCGACTGGCTGCTGGGTTACCGGCAGTTAGCTCACCTGCCTGAGCCTGGATTCCTCCCCTGTGCTGGGAGGTAACGCTCGCCACAGGGGATGCTGCGGGAACTGAGTGAAGTTCGGCATGCGGCACTCGGTAGTGAGATCCCGACACTGCCGCGGGTATCACCACACCCGCCTCTCCCCTGAGAGGGCAGAAGCAGGGAGTACGGACATTCCTGCCTCGCAGGGCACGCTCTGTCACAGTGCCCTCCTGTGCCCGATGAGAAACAGGGGCCCGGGGAGGTGACCAGACCACGTCCTGGCCACCCCGTTTCGCGGTTGTCGCTGACCTGTGAGCTCCTGGATGGTAACGCGGTCCAGGATCTTGAAGCTGGTGTCCAGTTTCAGGGGCTGGCTGCAGCGCTGGCACACGAAGCTCACCTGCATGGTGCTGCTGGACGCCTTGGAGCCTTCCATGCCTGCAGCGGGTTCGAGGAGGCGACGTCAAGGCTCCCCGGCCGGGGCTACCAACCGCTGTGCCTGCGGGAGACCGAGGCGCCGGGGCGGACGGGGTTCGGGGCAGCCCGGGTGCCGGGGCAGGGGAGAAGCCAGGGTCCAGAGAGGGCTGCGGAGAGGCTGGGAGACCTCACGCTTCTTTCTAAGACCCCGTTCACCCGACGCTTTTCACCTGGAGACCCAGGTCCGCGCTACCGTGGCGGCGCCGGGGCTTCGGGTACGCCCCGGAGGGAAGCGTCCAGGTCAGCCATCGTCCAGGCTCCGGCGCTTCCGGGAGTCGCGGAGGACTTCCGGTCAGGGCCGGACGTGACGTCGCCGCGCCCCGAGGCGGGGCCGGGACACTAAGTCCCAGAGGCGGAGGCTGAGTGCGAAGGGGCGGAGGCGGGGCGGGGTTCCTGTGTTTTCGAAGCCCCGGGAGCTGTGTCGGGCACTGCAACTCATGTTGTGCCTTCCGTGTCTCGTGGCCTTGTTTTGATACAGCTTAGTTTTTGTTTCTCCAAGATGGGGAGTGAACCCAAGGCCTGCACCCTGAACTGCGTCCCCAACCCTTTGTTATTTCTGTACCGGGGATCGAAGTTACGACTTAATGCTTGCCAGTCTGGCGCTTACTCTGCTGAGCTAAATCCCCGGCCCCCAACCCTTTATTATTATTATATTATTATTTACTTTAAAATTTTTGAGACAGGTTCTTGCTATGTAGTTCAGATAGGCCTCAAACTCACAGTGCTTCTCCTGCCTCAACCTCCTGAGTGCTGGGGTTGTAGGTGTGTGCCACACGCCCAGCTATATTATCTCCCTTAAAAAACCCCAAACCCACTAACAGTTACTCCCCACTTTGCTCTCACTCACTCAGTTCTAGACAACTAGTACTGTATTTCCTATTCCTCTAGATTGTATAGGTTTTTATGTAAATATTACTGCAACTCATTTGGCACCTTGTGGCTACTTTCACTTAGCATAGTTTTAAAAATTCACCCATGTTGTAGCATTTACCAGCCACTCTTTTTTTTTTTCTTGAGACAGTGCTTCAGTACGCAGTTCAGGCTGGCCTTGGACTCACTGTGTAACCCAGGCTAATCTCAAACTCATGGTGATCCTCTTGCCTCAGCCTCCTGAACACTGGGATTACAGGCATGAGCCACCAGGCCCAGTTTCATTCCTTTTTATATCCAAGTAATATTTCACTTTTCAGGTCTACCATATCTATTCCATTCTTCAGTTGGTGCACATGTGCACTGTCTCTGCTGTGGTGTTCTGCACTGTGCTGCTGTGAGCCTCTGTCCACAAGCTTGTTCATGGACATCTGCCTGCCTTCATTTCTCACAGGCATCCATATCTGCAGGTGGGACGAAGGGTCACATGGCTACACTGTGTACCCGTTCAAGGCTAGTTTCCAAAACCACCACACCATTTTATGATTCTCCCAAGCAGTGCGTGAGGATCTCAATTTCTTCGTATCTTGGCCAACATTTACCTTTTTTATTATAGTTGTGTGGTTTTCCCTTCTTTTTCTGTCTTTTCTCCCTCCCCTCAAATCTGTTTTGGTGCTTGGGAATTCAACCCAGTGCCTTACACATGCTAAGCGTGTGCTCTATCACTGAGCTAGACCTTCCAGACTATGGCCTACTTGTTTTTTTTAAGGGGGTGGAGATTAAACCTAGGGGTGCTCTACCACTGAGCTCCATCCCCAGTCCTTTTTTTTTTTTGGTGCTGGGGATCGAACTCATGACCTCACACTTGCCAGGCAGGTGTTTAGGCCATTGAGCTAAATCCCCAGCCCCAATCCCCAGCCCTTTATATACTTTGAGACAAGGTCTTACTAGATTGCCCAGACTGACCTTGAACCTGTGCTCCTCCTGCCTCAGCCTCCTGGGGAGTAAGCCTCAGGTGGCTTTAACATATTTCCTTATTGTTGAAGATTTCCATTCCTTCCAGCTTTGGTGAGGACAGTGCCACTGTGGAGAGTGGCTTGCTCCCTTACAATAGTGCCTCAGGGCTGGGGGCAGCGAGTGCAGAGATGTCCTTGTCACATCTTTTGATTAACATTGACAACTGTTTTCAGAGCGGTTGCCCATAATTCTGTTGCATCTCCAGTAATGTTTGAGGGAGCTGTTTTTGATGCCTGGAGCAGTATTGTGAACCATACATCTGAGGGAAAATAAAAGCACAAAGAAAGACACTTCCCTGGTGTTTAAACTGCCATCACCAGCCACTGGGAAGGCCAATAATCCTGCCTATTGCGGTTCCTCTTTTATGAATTGTTTGCATCCTTTGCCTATTTAACTATTGCATTCCTAATTTTTTTTTTTTTTTTTGATACTGGGGATCGAACTCACAACCTTGTACTTACCAGGCAGGTGCTTACAAGGCTGAGCTAAATCCCCTGCTCTAGCATTCCTAATCTTTTCCTCAAAATATATTAATTTTCATGAATGGATTAGCAATTTTAAGATATTTTCTATGTGTACAAAATTTTTTAATTTTACAAAGTCAAATGTACTTGTTGGCCGGGCATGGTGACCCAGCACTTGGGAGCCTGAGGCAGGAGAATCTCTGAACTGAAAAAAAAAGGAGACCCTATCTCAAAACAAAATCTGCTTGTTTCCCTGGTAATCTCTGTTGCTCAGAGAAACACTCCCACTTTCGGAACCGACTTCCCCACTTGGACTTGCGCTGCTATTGCTGAGTGTGTAAACTTCTGATCCCCACTCCACTGCCATCTCCCAGCGCGAGATGCGCCCCCTAGCGGAGCTGGGTTGGAATCACACCCGCGGCCTTCCCAGCTGCACCTGGCGTCTACTGCAGGTCCTGCCTGTCTGTCACTAACAGCTGTCATCGCGCCTGGAGGAGCAGCAGGCTCTTGGGGAGGCAGGGCGCCTAGGACCGCCGCAGAGGGGGCACACGTTGTTATGGCTCAGCTCTGCAGTGTCCCCAAAGCCTCCCGCATGGAAGGGGACTGCTCCCCGGGAGCTGTACGCACCGTGGATTGCTGTCAGGGGCTGCGGCTGGGCTAGAGGCAGCCCTAACCTGCTCCTCCCTTCACCTCCTGGCTGCGCCAGGCTGCTCTGCCCTGCTGTACAGGCCTGGACTGGAAGCGTGAGCGAAATAAAGGCCTCCTAGTTGAGGGTGTCAGGTATTGTGTCCCATTGAGGGAAATGTGGCCAAGACTCATGTCCTACCCACTTGGCTTAAAACCTTTTTTTTTTTTTAATCTTTTTGAGACAGGGTCTCGCTATGCAAGTCAGGCTAGCTTTGAACTCAAGTTTGTAGCCCAGACTGGCCTCAAACTCACAGCAATCCTCCTGCCTCAGCCTCGTGAGTGCTGGGATTATAGCTGTGCATCACCATGCCTGGCTCATTAATCAAAATTTGCAACGATATTGTGAGTTTACTCTGCTGTCTGCCCAGTATTAAGCCCTACCAGACAGGGGACGTAGGGTTTTATCTTTTATTTCTCAGAGCTGAGCCACAAGTAGCTATTGAGGATCACAAATGTGGCGCTGCCACTTAAGACATGTAAGGTTAAGTGTAAAAACAGACACTGAGTATTGAAGAATGCAAAAAAAAAATTTTTTTTTGTGCTGTGTAGTCCAGGCTGATCATGGACTCACTCTATAGCTCAGATTGGCTTCAAACTTGTGTTGATCCTCCTGCTTCAGCTTCCCGAGTGGTGGGATTCTAGGCATGTGCCACCACTTCGTGTGTCTCTGGTATTTTTTATACAGATCACATGTTGAAACAATAGTTATACCTTGGAGTCCTTGGGAGATGGGTACTATACAATGAAGAGAGTAAGCAAACAGTTACAATGCATTGTTTAGGGAATAACCACAACTTAAAAATCTGGGTATGTGCAATTTGTTTTCGATGTTTGGATTCTGTGGATTCAAAACACAGAAGACTGATTGCATAAACTGTACCTAACATATAGTTAATTTCATCTTTCCTCATTTCCTGTTTAAAATGTGATTACTGAAAGCTAGGTGTGGTGGCACAGGCCTGTAATCCCAGCACTGGGGAGGCTGAAGCAGATGGATCCTTGTGAGTTCAAAGACCAGCCTGGACCACAAAGTGAGCTCAAGGTCAGCCTCAACTGCAGAGCGGGAACCATCTCAAAAAGATTTTTTTTTTTTCGGAATCAGGGATGGAACAAGACCTTGCGCTTGCCAAGTGGCCGCTTTTGACGCTGAGCTAAATCCCCAGCCTCTCAAAAAGATTAAAAAAAAAAAAGTGATTTACTTTGCCGGGGATGTAGCTCAGCGGCACAGCGCCTGCCTGACAAGCGCAAGGTCCTGAGTTTGATTACCAGTACCAAAATAAATAAATTTTAAATTGTGATTATTAAAAGATTGTAACCTGTATCGGAGCCTGGCACCCTGCAGTATCCTGGCCCGTTTTACGGAGCTAAGAGAGACACTGAGTGCGCTGGTGAACGAAGAGACGCGGTCTCAGGTTTCCAAGAGAAAATGGACTCAGCCTTGGTTCCGGTCCAGATCCACTGTCCACACCACGTCGCCTTACCCAGCCCTGCCCTACTCTGGGCATCGACCTGCTCATCAGGCTGATGGTCTCCGAGGCCTGGAGCTCATCGTCAGGGGCGGGAAACGGGCACAACAGAACCAGTCTGTGTGGCCTCAGTCCTCGGCGGCGGCTGCGGGGGTGGCGGGGCGGGAACCGCAGAGCGACCCCGAACTCAGTCCGGCCACCTGCTTCCTCCCGCTACGTCACTGAGGTGCGACGGTGTCGACCTGAGGGCGGCAGTGGTGTAGATCTCTGCTGAAGACGAGTTCTGGGCCAACGGAGGTCCAACCGTCCCTAGGTCTCTCGAGAGCTCTCTCATCAGCAATCCCTAGCCGTCAGTGCCCCCACTGTCACCTCGCCGTTTCCCGAATCCAGGAGCTCGAGAGCCGAGGGCTCCGCCCCTGCGCCGGTCGAGCTGCAGTGCGCCTGCGCGAACCACGCGCGCGCCTTCCCGTGGAGTCCCGGCGACGGCCTCTGACGCAACTTCCGGCGTGAGCGGCGAAAGCCGGGAGGGCGAGCAGGGGAGCTGCAGGCGGCAGACGGCGGGCAGCGGGCGGCGGGCGGGCGCCGGCACGGAGGGAGCGAGCGAGCGAGCGGCCAGAGAGCCTGCGAGGGCGGCCGGGTCCCGAGGGCAGCGGAGACTCCTCAGGTCCCTCCGGCCCCCTCCCCGGAGCCCTCAGCGCCTCCGGTCTCCAACGGAACGGACACGGCCCGGCCCGGCCATGGCCTCGTTGCTGAAGGTGGATCAGGAAGTGAAGCTCAAGGTAGCGGCTCCCCTTCGGCCCTCCTCACTCCTCGCCTCGAGCCCCGGGCCGCCCGGACGGCTCCCCGCGCCCCGCGGCGTCTTTGTCTCCTTGGGGACACAATTCGGCGTCTCCGCGCGGCTCGGTCCAGCCCCCAACTCCGGCATGGGCATCGCGGGTCGGGCGGAGCGAGGGGAGGCTTCTTGGGCCTGGGCGGGGGCATGGAGCCAGGCCGGGCTCCGCGACACGTGCTCCTCTTGCAACCGCGGCCGTCACCGGCCGGGTCTTCAGCCAGTCGCCGTCCCCGCCCCCAGGCGCTGTCCCGACCCTGCTCCTGGGGGCCCGCCTGTCCCGTGTCACCGCCAGGTCTGGCGGGGTTGAGCGTTTGTGAGCTCACGGCTTCCCCGCCCCGTAGCTGTCTTTTCTCTGCTTAGGAGATTCACAGAGCTCCAGACACGGGGAGAGAGGGAGGAAGGGGAGAGGGAAGAGGAGAGAGGAGGCACATTTGCCTCTCCCGACATGGAAAAATGGGTCCTCAAGAAAAGAAAATACTTGCAGTCGGGGGGCCTCTCAGCTTCTCATTATAACTTCAGGGTGAGGGAAAGACAGCTGTATGTGGAATCCCCTGTCCTGTCCTTGCCTCTGCTGCCAAATACTGAACTACTATTGAGTCTCTGTCTTTGTTGCTTCAGGTTGATTCTTTCCGGGAGCGGATCACAAGTGAGGTAAGTGAAGTAGCAAAATGAATGTGATTATCAATAGCAGGGAATTTCTTGTATGGAGACCTTCGCACAGTTACTGACTGGGATGTCTCTCCCCTTATCCAGGCAGAGGACTTGGTGGCAAATTTTTTTCCAAAGAAGTTGTTAGAACTTGATAGTTTTTTAAAGGTGAGAGACATTTTCCCCCCCGAATTTCTCTGGGTTTTGGGCCTGGTCTTTCTGGGAAATGGAATGAATTGTGTTGAATCTGTTTTGTTTTGTACTGGGGGTACTCTCATTTCTTGTTCTTAAAAAATACTTATTTGTTTATCTTGAAAAGACTAATGTTGTTTTGGGGGCGGCTGTGTCTTTCAGGAACCAATCCTAAACATCCATGACCTAACTCAGATCCACTCGGACATGAATCTCCCCGTCCCTGACCCCATTCTCCTCACCAATAGCCACGATGGGCTGGATGGTGTAAGTGTCCATCATAGCATTCTTAAGCAATAGGTTTTGTTCATCTATTTCTTACTAACTTTGTATTTATTTATTTAGCTTTTTGAGACAGGATCTCGCTTTGCAGTTCAGGCTGGCTGTGAGCTCACTTTGTAGCTTAGATTGGTCTTGAACTCATAGCCATCCTCCTGCCTTAGCCTCCTGAGTGATGGAATTACAGGTGTGCACCACCATACCTGGCCCTGCTAACTTGAAAGACAGTGGAGTTGATTTGTGGGAACTAAGACCACCAAGTGTTAACAGAAAAAATGACTCCTGTGTGTTCCTTTTCATTCTTGGTGTCCTTTATAACATGAGGTGAATACCAATGTTATTCTCTGTTGCAGTGAGTCTCACCTGAGACTGGGCTACGGGTTCCCTCATGTTCCCTGCTCTGAGCAGTCCTACCGCTTAGTCTCGTTATGGCACGAGAAGTCCTGCTCCTTGCTGTGTTCCCTGTCTTTGCTCTGACTCTTCAGCATCCTGTCTTTATCAGTCACATATCCACATGGTTTTTATCACCCGTGTGGAGCTGGAATGTTCTCTGTCTGCCTGGCCATCTTGTTCTTTTTTTTTTTTTTTTTTTTTTTACCGGTACTGGGGATTGAACCCACGACCGCCTGCTTGCAAGGCAAGTACTTATGCCACTGAGCTAAATCCCCAGCCCTTTCTTGTTGATCCACCTTGCACATCTGGAGGGCAGGAGCAGTCCTGATAAATGTTTTGTATCTTCAGCTCCTAGCTTTGTTCTTGCTACGTAGCAGGTGCTGATTCCACATTCGTTGATTGGATATTGTGCTTGTTTGTAGAACTAGCAGATTGTACACACTCCCTTTGTTGTTCTCAACCTGCCTTGATTGCTTTTCTCTGTGCTTTACAGTATCCTTTCCCTCTCCTTGATTTAAATGTGTCATATTTCTTCTAAGTTTGGGCTTCTCAACATGGTACAAGTTGCTTTCTGGCAAAAAAGCTTGTTAAAGCTGTTTGGGAGATTGTCCAGAAGTGCATGAGACAACCCATGGGGTCGAGGAAGGTAGGAAGCTCGCTCGAGGGCTTCTTTGGGCTGGTGTGTGGATGTGAGCACTGGCTAATTTTGGCCTTTCTGTACCATAGCCCACTTACAAGAAGCGGAAGTTGGATGAGTGTGAAGAGGCTTTGCAAGGTAAGGTCCCAGTTCACCTGAGTCACCTTGGTGGCCAGCAGCCGTGAGAAGTAGATGTGTCTGGTGTCCTCCAGGACAGGAAGGGACATTGCTTTCCTTTCCCAGCATCCGGATCCACATACAAGTTCCTCAGACATGGTTCTTATTTAGCACCCTAAACTGAGTCTTCTAAGAGCAGAGTACTGCACATGGCATAAGATGCCAGGGAGAGTGTTTTAGAGATGGAGACCACACTGTCCATGTGATTTTTTTTTTTTTCCTCCCTTTTAATGTCATTTGTTGCAGTTGGGTGTGGTGACACATGCCAGTAATTCCAGCATTCTGGGAGCCTGAGGCAGGAGGATCACAACCTCAAGCCCTGCCGGGGCAGAGGGAAAAAACATCTGGAATATCGCTCAGTGTGAAGGTCCTGGGCATAGTCCCCAGTACCGAGAAATAAAAGTTGTTCTGTATTCTTGACACCTCTGGCGTAGTCCAGCTGTGGCTCTGTGGATTCACAGTCTCTCTTTGACTCTGGTAGCGGTGTCACAGGAGGGCCGTGACGAGCAAAGGCCGGGGGCTCAGCAGCTCCTGCATCTGGGGAAGCAGAGAAAGCTGGGGTGGTGGGTGGGGCCTGTGGTCCGCCCTCACGGCTTGGCCTTCACCTCCCCTCCAGGAACCAAGGTGTTTGTGATGCCCAATGGGATGCTGAAGAGCAACCAGCAGCTGGTGGACATCATTGAGAAGGTGAAGCCTGAGATCCGGCTGCTGATCGAGAAGTGCAACACGGTGCGGAGGCCGTGGGCATGGGCGGTGGTGGGCTTGGCTTCTGTGTTCCTGGTGCGCTACCCGGCAGCATGAAGTATGTCCCTGAGTTGCAGGAAAGGCTGAAGCCTCACACATGCGCTTTCATCATCTCCCCGTCCAGGTCAAAATGTGGGTACAGCTCCTGATTCCCAGGATAGAAGATGGCAACAACTTCGGGGTGTCCATTCAGGTACTATGCTTGGTCACCTGCAGGGAGAAGGCTTTGGGAGAGACTTTACCCCGCCTTGCCTTGTCTGTACCTTTTCTTTGGGACTGCCATTTGGTGACAGAAAAGTGACTCCTTTTTCTTCTGTAGTCCTGGACATTGAACCCGGGGCCTTTGACAGACATCCAAGTTCCTCTTTAAAAGTTTGAGATAGAGTTTCTGTAAGATGCCCTGGCTGGGTCTGAACTTGTAATCCTTCTGCATTGGCCTCCCAGAGCGCTGGGCTTACAAGCATGTGCCACTCTGCCAGCTCGGAAGTCGCTTTTGACTCGCTTTTTTTCCCAGGAGGAGACAGTTGCAGAGCTAAGAACTGTTGAGAGCGAAGCTGCGTCCTACCTGGACCAGATCTCCAGGTGCGGCTGTGTGGGCGAGGCCCGGGATGGGGCGGAGTGCCGGCCCCACCAGTCCCATCCCCACAGCTCCCTCTCTTCTCTCCTTCCAGATATTACATTACCAGAGCCAAATTGGTATCTAAAATAGCTAAATACCCCCACGTGGTAAGTTTGGGCTTTGGGGTAGAGGGTGCCTTACGGGCGAGCTGCCTGCCCAGCAGCTGGGGACGAGCCCTGTGCCTGTCCCGGCAGGAGGATTATCGCCGCACGGTGACGGAGATCGACGAGAAGGAGTATATCAGCCTGCGCCTCATCATCTCAGAGCTGAGGAACCAATACGTGAGTGGCCCTCGTCCCATCCACAGTGCTGGCTTCCCTGAGAGCCCGAGGCTAGAGGAGCTGTGTACCTGGGGACCCAGTGCCTGGAGGCCAAGATGGGCTGCAACTCCCCAGCTCCAAACATGCGCCCAGTGCTTTCTGCTCACACACTTGGTACCAAGCACCTCGAGAATCTTGGGGCCTGGCTGGTGCCTTCTGCCAGGGCCGGGCTTGCGTGTGCAGTGGGGTGACTGTCCCCACTGTGCCCTGCATGGCAGGCTTTTACAGAAAGTGGGGCAGCCCTGGTGACTGCAGGGCTAGGTGTAGTGGCTGAGGGCGCCTGACCCCTGGCTCCCACATTGCAGGTCACTCTACACGACATGATCCTGAAAAACATCGAGAAGATCAAACGGCCTCGGAGCAGCAATGCGGAGACGCTGTACTGAGGTGGCAGGGCTCTGTGAGTCTGGCCCGAGACCGACACTGCCTTCCTCGGTTGGTCACCTGACTGTGGCGACGAGGACCCGGCTGGAAGGAGCGATCACACCTCTCTGTTTTTAGTTAGAGTCTAATGAAACTCTCATCTAGTCCTGTGACGTGGTACCTCTTTTTTCAGGCCTCAGGAACTCTGGTCTCCCCACCCTGCCTGTGCGCACGCTGGCTGCCCTGCCTGGGCCCTCCGAGTCTCTTCCTTTCCGTGACCAGCTGGGTGGCAGCCAAGGGGCTGCAGGGAGGGGCTGCAGGAAGGGGCTCGGTGTTCTTAGGAACTGGGGCTATGGTGAGACGGACCCCGCTTCCTATCATAAGGCTGGTGTCTCCTGTCACCCCGGTGATGACTTAGGGCTTCCCTCTGCACCCGTCTGGTCTTGAACTCAGCCCTGGCACGGAGCCTGCAGGCCTTTGGCTGAGACCCTTCCTCCCCTCCCAGGGTGCACCCATGTGGTGTGGCCACACCTGGATACTGCCTCCAGACCCCTGAACTCCCTGAGGCACCATTCATAGAGGCTGTAGTCCAGGGTGGTGGCCACCGGGTGCCAGGAGCTGCAGGAGGAGCCAGCACCGAGAAGCCGAGGGCCTGCACCTTGTGGCCAGGCCAGGCCAGGCCATCTCTGGGGACTGGCTCCTATTTATGGCCTCATGCTTCTAGGGGAGAGCATTGCTAGTGTGTGTGTGTGTGCACGCCTGTGGGTGTGAGTGTGTGTGTGTGTGTGTGCATGTGTGTGCTGGGAGTTCCTGGCATAGAAGAGTTGCCGCCTCCTGACACTCTGGAGATGCCGCTCACTGTCACAGGCTGTGTAGGGACCCCTGGTCCTAGCTGTTCTGTCCCACCAGGATCACTGGGAGCCGCTGCCCACTGAGTCCTCCTGTCCTTCTGTGCCCTGTCCGTGTCCGCCTGGAGCACACCCTTCCCCCTTCGGAGCCCCAGAGCCGGCTCCTGGCCGACAGCCCACTGCCGCCGCCTCCTATACCTTTGTTTGCTGCCCCATGACCCGTGCCCCTTGGATCATAATGTAAAATTCTTTTGCCATGTCAAGAAATAATTAAAATACAGGTACTTGGACCTCTTTCTAAAGTTGCAGACCCTGTGCCATGCTCTGGTGATGAGGAACAGTTGCACTGGTGTGCACGTGTCCAGGCCCCACCCTGCCTCTGCCCTCGCCACCGTGATGGTCCCTCTGCCCAGTCTGTGCCTGAAGCTGGCTCCTGTGGGACCTGTGCTACCTGTGCCCCTAGGAAGGGTCCCAATCCTACCTGCTCATGCTGTCAACAGAGGGTGCAGTGTCCTTGTGTAGCTTGGCTGGCCCAGCGCCCTCCTAGCGTTTTGCCCTCACTGGTGAACCACAGCTCTCTGGGGGACTCCTGGAATTCCTTGGCGGGGGGGTGCTGCTGCTGAGGACTCCTGACCTCTCTGAAGGTTTTGGCACCTTCAGCGGGCACCTCCCTCAGGATTCACTACCAGTGGTGACTCCTGCCTGCCATTTGCAGGGTATAGCCAGTGACTCTGACAGTTGAGCAAGTCCCCTGATCTTGGGCCTGGAAGTTGGGGTCTCTGCAGATCTGAAGGCCCAGCCTGGCCTCCCTTGGCACCTGAGACATGACCTGGGTCTCGGAGTGGGGCTGCTGCTGTATGATATGTGCTGGGTGGCTCTGCCTTGTGCCCTGCGCTTCTGGGCAGCAGTGCTGCAGCTGGTGCCTGCTGTCACCTGTGGAGCTCAGGGCCTTGAAGGGCTCTCTGTATGGAGGGGGACCGTGACCAAAGTGCAGGACAGAGTCAGAACTGAGTTCCAAATCCCAAGGTGGACTGGTGCCTCCTCCATGCCTGTGTTGCTCAGGCCAGGCCTGGGCAGTGCAGGACCTGGGTGGCCATGCTAGGACATTCCTGCTCCCAGCACCACCATGAACCCCATGAACTGCTGGTGTTTCTGGTGCTGACCCTTGTCACTGTCCTGGCTCAGGCCTTTGTGTTGCTGACCAGATGTGATACTAGCCAGTGTGCAGCCTACCCAGCCCAGCATGCAGCTTGACCCTGGCCAGCTCTTTGCAGACCTGAGCCCAGAGGAGCTGGAGGTTGTGATGGGCTTCCTGACGCTGTGGCTGGGCCCAGGCCTGGTGGACGCAGCCCAGGCATGGCTCTTAGATGCCTGTGTCTATTTGGTGGAGCTTCAACTGCCCCCCAAGACCATGGCCCTGGCCCACCAGGACAAACAGGATGCCCCACATGCCCATGAGGTGCTGGCCATCGTGTTCTTTGGGGCCCAAGTACAGCTCAGTGTGAGCAAGTGGTGGTGGGACCACTGCCCTGGCCGTCCACCTGCAGGAAGTCACCGCAGAGCACTATGGCAGCCCCTGCCCTACACCTGGCCATGCTTGCAGCTGATATGCAGACAGGGAGCCTCTAAGAGGGGGCACTCCCCAGGGCCCAGCTCCTAGCTTCCATCCCTACCACAGTGGCGCTGCCTTGCCACCTCTGCACACCACCCCAGAAACGTGCACTTTGGGACTGGGCCACATGGCGCAGCCTCTGCCATCACATCCTAGGCTCAGGGTGGACAGTGGGGCCTGGACCTTGCTTGCCAGGCTATCCAGCAGGTCTACCTTGGCTGCTACTGTGCCACCTTGGCCAGCTGCGGAGGGAGTTTAAGGCTGGCTGGGGGTGGTCAGGGTGCCCTTGCCTGGCCTAAATGTGACCTGGGTCCCCCAGGTCCTCTGCCTCTCTGCAGTTCTTACCACAGCAACCCAGTGCAGTGCACAAGGGCACTCAGTGTTCCCACTCTTTGGCTGCAGGTGTCAGTGGTCTGAGGATGTCCAATGTCCGGCTTCAGGGTGAGCAAGTGGCCTATGAAGCAGCGTCCAGGAGAGGCTGACCATCTGTGGTGCTGACACCCGAGACCATGATGCAATTTGGACAGCACCTACAGGCTTGGATATCCACTGCCCCTGCAAACATGCACCTGCCGGGGCCTGCCCTGTGGAGAAGCCGCAGGTACTCTGAGAGGCCTCTGTGTGGGTCAGGTCTGAGGTCCTCTGTGGGGAGCTATGGCTACATGTGGGACTACATGCTGACGCCCCTGGGTGGCATGCCACGGGGTGCAGATAGCTGCCTCTGGGACCAAGTGGAGGACATATGTGCCCGCCTCAAGGTGGAGCTGGCTGTGGCAGGCGGGTGGGGGTGCAGAGGGAGGGCTGGGCTGGGGTGGCGGCCAGGAGATTCCAGATCTGGCGATGGCGCAGGCGAGGGCAAGGGCTGGCCATGCCTAGCTGGCCTCAGTCTGCCAGGAGCTGGGGTCTGGTCAGAGGCGCCAGGCTCCTGCCCGCCCCGTGTCCAGCCCTGTAGCCTTGCTATGGCGCCACTGGCTGGGATGTGATGGTGCCTGTGTCTTAACACCTCAGCCTCTGGGCATGGAGCAGCCTGGGGAGTGAGCTGGCCCTGTGCGAGGCTCCATATGTTGGTGAATAGAGCAGATGTGGTGGTGGGCTGGAGCATGGGTGCTGTGGCTAGGGGTGCTGGTGGTGAGCCCCCTGGTGCCACGTCCCTGGGATGCTGAGATGGGCTGCTGGCCAGGGTTGGATGGAGGGTATTGCCCAAGGGAGCTCAAGCACAGGATTTGCTACTCCTGGCTGACTCCCTGGAGACAGAGCCCATTAGATCACAGAAATCTGCCAGGGCTGGGGATACAGCTCAGCGGCACAGGTGCCTGCTGACAAGTGTAAGGTCCTGAGTTCAATTCCTGCTACAAAAAAGAAATCCGTCAAGACCTGGCCTGACAACCATGGAAACTGAGGCAGCCAGGGAGAGGTGCCAGAAGTGAATTTGGAGTGGGGGTTAGCACCATGAAGGGAAGTGAGCTTCTCAGAAACACCAGCACCCTGAGAGCCTGTGGCCTGTAGCAGCTTGGGGGCAGGGAGAAACAGGGATGCTGACCAGGCCACATATGCTGGGTTCCCGCACACCGGACTGTGGCCAATTCCCAGCTGGAAGCCTCAGCATCGCTGGCACCAGAGAGCCCCTAGGGGAGTTGCCCAGGGTCATAGTTCTCGAGGGTGCCAGCCGCAGAGGTGCTGGCTTGGGTGAGCACCTCCCTGTGGGGCCTTGCGTGGGTCACCGTTAGGGGATGAGCCTTCCTGCCCTTTGGGGAGACGATGACTTGCACTGCTCAGGACACCGCAGCCTGTGGTACAGTAGATTCCAGGGGCTCCCCGACTTCGGAGGGGCAGAAGTCAGCTCACCATCCTGGAGCCCAGAACTGCCTGCTGCCCAGCAGGGGGAGAGGGCCACATCTCAGAGCGGGACAGACACATGCACAGTGGCTGGGAGCTGGGTCTGCCCGGCCGGCTTCTCTGAGCCGAATGGTCTTCATGATCTAGGGACAGTGCGGTGCCCGGCAGCGGAGGGTGTTTCTCCATTGGTTGAGCACGGTCACAGCTTGGCGTTCATTAGGTCTTGGGATCACAGGAGCATGAAACCTGGGGGTCCTGGGCCTGGGGCCCACTGCTGGGGTAACTTTCTGTGACTGTAGCAGGGCCGTGCACTGGGATATTTCTCCAGGCCCTCAGCTGTATGTAGCAAGGAGCTCTGGGAGGCTGTATGCCAGACAGGGTCTCACTCCTTACTTCAGGCTGGCTTTGAACTCACAGGGATCCTCCTGCTTCAGCCTCCCAAGTGCTGGGATGACAGGTGTGCAGCACCACACCTGGCTGAAATTTGGATTTAAGTAGCCACATGGGACTTGTCCTACTGGATGTGGCCAGTTAGAGGCTGGACTAGTACTGGCCCAGCCCTTCTGGCTCTTAGCACTGGATGTGGACAGTGATGCTGTGGTCACTGGCTGCCACGGACACTGCAGGGGAGATGAGGGGCCTCTAGTGGCATGGAGCCCCTCTCCCTCCCCTGCCCCGCCTGCACCACTGGGTGGTGGTGGAAGATGTGGTGTTTAAGTGAGTGGAGGCCCCTGGAGTGCAGGGCTGGCTGCAGTGCCTACAGCTGACTGGCAGGTCCTGGCAGGGAGGACCTGGCAGCGTTTTCCCTGGGGAACCCCTTCCCTGCTACCAAGGCCTGGGGTCACCAGCATGGGCACTGCATCCAGACCTGCAGCCCCCCAGGCCTACGCCTGACCCTCAGCCAGGGGTGGGTGAGCCACAGGCCTGCGGGGACAGGGAGGAGCGGCTGTCCCACGCCTGGAAACCCGACTTGGCACCCATAGCTGGCCATGTCCCCCAAACTGGCCCACAACCCAGTAGTCCGCGTGGCAGCAGATTTCACAGAGCCCGGTCTAGAGGACGGCTGGGCCTAAGGGTCCTTGACCTTTTCAGTTCTACTTTTGTACAACTCTGGCCAGATACCAGCTTGTGGGGACCCAGGGGAGAGAGGAGGCACCGAGGAGCATCACAGCTGCCACCAGAATGACTTCTGGATGCCCAAGTGGCCTTTGTCACATGGAGAGCCTCTCGGGAGGGTTTGGTAGTGCAAAGGGCACAGGGCGCTTCTGTGCCCGCCGACCTGGCCATAGTCTGGAGGCCTCAAATTCGGGGCCAAGGGTTCGTCCCTTGGCAGGTGACCAGCCTGGACACTGCCATTGGGGTCCCGTGCTTGTGGTGTGGACAGGCCTGGCAGAGGCTGGGCGGTATGGCCCAGAGGCCCAGTCTTGCCTCCCCAGCGCCCAGCTCACCCTCCTTCTGCAGGGTTTGGTGACCCAGGGGACCCCATCTCCTTCACTCCGGAGCATGGTGGCCGTGGGGGGGGGGATTCCTTGCCCTGTGGCATCCTGGTAAAGACCCTCCCCTCGGCTGCATCCCTGCCAGCCTCTGCTGTGATGGGTGGGGATAGGGCAGCCTGCAGCCTGCGACCCCCACCTGGCAGCCTGTGCCCTGACCTGCCCCTTTCTCTCACCAAGGCTTTTAGGCCTGCAGTGGGTATGACAGGCCATTGTGGGTAGAGGACACATGTACCTTCCCCTCTGTAACCCTGTGAATCTGTCACATCTGCTCTCCAGACTCCTGAGGAAACAGAGCCCCCACACGGGGTCCCACATGTCTCTTTGGTAAGAATTATTACTTTCTGCTCAGTTTTTGTTTGTTTGTTTTGAGACAAGGTCTCTCTGTGTAGCCCAGGCTGGCCTTGAACTCAGGGTGTCCTCCTGCCTCAGCCTCCACCACTCCCAGCTCTGCTCAATTTTTTTTTTTTTTGTACCAGAAATTGAACTCATGACCTTGTGCTTCCCAGGCAGGTGCTGCTGAGCTAAATGCCCGGCCCTGCTCAGTTCTGTTTGAGACAGATTTATCAAAATGTTTGTGAAATATACATGCAAAAATACTAGCAATCTTTCCCTTCAGAATTAGCTGGTGGTCGTGGGCCTTCTGAGGGAATGGGTGTTCTGTGAAAGTGATGATAAGAAGTCTTCCAAGAATTTCCCTTGAGCTGTTTCTGTTCGACTTTTTAAGTGTCTTCAGTACCCCTGGGAATGTGCAGGAACTGGGCCAAAAAGATCAGCAATGGAGGAGAGGCTGGGCTGGGACCAGGCCAAGGAATGCCTCTGGCTCAGGCAGCAGAAGGGGCTGGAAGTGGGTGCCTCCCAGTGACAGAAGAGGATGTCTGGCCACTGGGAAAGTGGGATGGGAACAGCAGGCTGGAGACCCAGGGTGTGTAGGGGTACCCAGCTGCTCCTGGGGGTAGAGGCTCCCAGACCGGCTGCACCCTTTCCCCCAGCTCCAACCCTGACCCAGAAGGCAGAGTCTGACTTGGGCTGAGGACCAGGCCACGTAGGGTCTGCGGAAACTGGCAGTGGCCCAGACCCGCCTCCGCCCCACCCCACTTCCTTCCAGCCTGCAGCAGCCGCCTGCAGGCTGAGGGCCTCAGCCCAAATCCCAGCACCACCCCAAGCAGCCCAGTTCTATCAGTACAGCTGAGAACATAGTGCCAGGCTGGGGGAGCCCAGCTGTCCTCGAGGGACCATGAACCAGAAGACCACCCTGGTGCTGCTGGCACTGGCCGTCATCACCATCTTCGTTTTGGTTTGTGTCCTGCTGGCCGGCAGGAGTGGAGATGGGGGCCAACCCAGCAAGCCACCCTCATGCCCGTTGGCCCCACACCCTGCCCAAGCCCACACTCACCCTGACCCTGGCCAGCTTTTTGCAGACCTGAGCCCAGAGGAGCTGGAGGCCGTGATGGGCTTCCTGACCCCAAGGCTGGGCCCAGGCCTAGTGGATGCAGCCCAGGCGCAGCCCTCGGACACCTGCATCTACTCAGTGGAGCTGCAGCTGCCCCCCAAGGCCGCAGCCTTGGCCTACCTGGAGGGACGGAGTCCTCCTCCCACCCGCGAGGCGCTGGCCATCGTGTTCTTCGGGGCTCAAACCCAGCCCAACGTGAGCGAGCTGCTGGTAGGGCCGCTGCCCCGGCCGTCCTACCTGCGGGATGTCACCGTGCAGCGCTATGGCGGCCCCCTGCCCTACCACCGGCGCCCTGTGCTGACCAGAGAGTACCAGGACATCGACCACATGATCTTCAAGCAAGAGCTGCCCAAGGTCGCAGGGCTTCTCCACTACTGCTGCTCCTATACACCCCAGGGAGGCCGCCTGGTGACAGTGACCACGGCGCCCCGTGGCCTGCAGTCAGGAGACCGGGCCACCTGGTTTGGTCTCTACTACAACATCTCAGGCACTGGCATCTTCCTGCACCCCGTGGGGCTGGAGCTTCTGGTAGACCATGGGGCTCTGGACCCAGCCCGCTGGACTGTCCAGAAGGTATTCTTCCAGGGCCACTACTACGACAGCCTGGCCCAGCTGGAGGACAAATTTGTGGCTGGCCAGGTGAAGCCGGTGCAGGTCCCTGACAAAGGCACAGGTGGGGCCTGGTCCCTGAAGTCGCCGGTGCCCCCGGGCCCGGCTCCCCCTCTGCAGTTCCACCCTGAGGGCCCCCGCTTCAGCGTTCAGGGCAGTTGTGTGACTTCCTCTCTGTGGACTTTCTCCCTTGGCCTAGGAACCTTCAGTGGCCCGAGGGTCTTTGACATTCGCTTCCAGGGTGAGAGGATAGCCTATGAAGTCAGTGTCCAGGAAGCCCTGGCTGTCTATGGGGGAAATTCCCCAGGAGCAGTGCTGACCCACTACTTGGACGGCAGCTTTGGCATTGGCAGATTCTCCACACCCCTGACCCGCGGAGTGGACTGCCCCTACTTGGCTACCTACATGGACTGGCACTTCCTGGTGGAGTCGCAGGGTCCAAGGACTGTCCGTGATGCCCTTTGTGTGTTTGAACAGAACCAGGGCCTGCCCCTGCGGCGACATCACTCTGATCTGTACTCCCATTATTATGGGGGTGTCGTGGACACGGTTCTGGTGTTCCGGTCCCTGGCCACCTTGCTCAACTATGACTATGTGTGGGACATGATCTTCCACCCCAATGGGGCCATCGAGGTCAAGGTCCACGCCACGGGCTACATCAGCTCCTCCTTCCTCTTTGGGGATGCCCGGTTGTATGGGAACCGAGTTGGGGAGCACACGTTGGGCACGGTCCACACCCACAGCGTCCACTTCAAGGTGGACCTGGACGTGACAGGTGAGATGTTCTGGGTGATTGAGGCTCCTGCCAGAATGGCTGAAGAGCTGTCCCTACTGCTTTGTGTCATGTGGTTTCTCCAGGAAAGAGACTTGGGGGTCCCTGCTTCCCTGGGGTGCTTGGGCGTGAGCTGCCCTGGCGCTGATTTCCCTCTCGCTCAGCATCGGGTACACAGTCTATTGGCCTCCCTCCTTCCACAGTCCCGGCTGTGGCTGAGCTCTGGCAGGGGCAGGACCAGAGTCACAGGGTGGCCCATGCCTCTTCTGTTGCCTCTTCCGTCCTGTGCTCTCTGCACCTGGCTGTGTCTGTCGGTGCTGTGTAGTGGAGTCCTGAGGGCTTCTGCTCCGGCTGGGGCCAGCTCGGGATGACCCAGCTGGCGTGTGTTTCCTGCAAGTGGAACCTTCACCTCCTGATTTGCCACCTGTCCGTTGAGTGGGGGGTGGCATAGCCCCCATGCAGAGTTTAGGGAAGTCCTCGGAGTGGGCGTCAGGGTAGAGGCTGGATGCCTTGATGTCTGGGGTCTCATCTTTGTCTTTTCGCTTTCCTCCTCTGCGTTCTCAGTGCCAGATCTTTTTTCCATCCTGCTTCTGAAATCGCTTTGCACTCTTTCGGGTCCCACTGCTGCCCTCTCTGTGAGCTGCACTGCCTGTTCTGAGATGCAGGGTCCATGCTGCGCTGGGAGCTGGTGCCAGCCTGCTGTGCACCAGCTAGATGTTCCCCAGGGGCAGGATGAGCTGCAGGGTGCTCTTCCCAAGGAGACCAGTGCTGCCTGCCCTGAAAATCTTGCTTGTGCTTGCCACAGCTGTACCCCGCCCTCACGTTGGTGGCACACAGTCCGAGACCGTCTTGGCCTTGGCCTTGCCTAAGGCACCCATCCAGCCCATCTTGTGATCCCCTTTAGGGCCAGGCCAAAGAGTGGCTCTGGAGGACACTGTCCCTGTACCTGTGTCCAGGCTTCCCAGCACTCACTGCAGGCATGGTGGCATTTGGCCTGTATGCGTCCCTGCGGGAGAGGGAGGGAAGCACGTGTGCCTTGAGCTCTGTCTCCATCAGTGAATGCAGGATTCCTGGGAGCTAAGGAACATTGCAAGGGTACATGAGGAAATCCTGGAAGAAGCCTTTCTATTTGGGGAGATCCTGGGCAGAAGGTGGGGAGCACCCGATGCATCGTCCTGCTGCAGGGTGGGTGCAGTCCAGAGGGCCCTGGCCACTGCCTGATGAGCTCATCACACCCCACAGGACCTGAGAACTGGGCCTGGGCCGAGGACCTGGCCTTTGTCCCTGAGACCCTGCCCTGGCGCCCTGAGCAGCAGATCCAGAGACTGCAGGTGACCCGAAAGCTGCTGGAGACGGAGGAGCAGGCCGCCTTCCCTCTGGGCAGGGCCACCCCGCGCTACCTTTACCTGACCAGCAACCACAGCAACAAGTGGGGGCACTTGCGGGGCTACCGGGTGCAGCCTCTGGGTTCCCCAGGGAAGCTGCTGCCCGAGAACAGCTCCATGGCAGGCGCCTTCAGCTGGGGGCGGTGAGTAGTGGGTTGGGGGCCTTGGGAAGAAAGAAGCCCCAGGTATTCAAGGCAGCAGAGCAGCCAGGGTGGGCAGAAGTGGAGGGGAGCTGTGTGCTGGGCAGGGACCAGAAGGGACAGGGACAGGACCTCTGGCGTCATCTCAGGGACTCTACAGCCTGAGCTGTGTAGGAAGGTGAGCATTTGCATCATAATCCCGTTGCAGAGGACAGCTTCAGTGACTGCTGTCCCTGCAGGTACCAGTTCGCTGTGACCCGGCGGAAGGAGGCGGAGCCCAAGAGCTCCAGCATCTTTAATCAGAATGACCCCTGGACGCCCACTGTGAATTTCGCTGATTTCATCAACAAGGAAACCATCCAGGGGGAGGTGAGTGGACCCTGAGCGGGATGGGCAGGGGCCAGCTCAGGCCTCACTGTCCCTGGGAGGGTGCCTAAACTTCTCCGGCCTTTGGGTGGAGCCAATTCCTGCCTCTGCAAGTCAGTGGAGCCCCCAAATGTCATGAGTGTCGGGATTTCGCTGACACACAGAGCCCAGTCAGGGCCCCTAGATTTGAGGGGTGGAAGCTTCCAGGGAAGCGCATGGACCCAGAACCCCAGCTTCCCCCACTGCTGCTGGGACCAGGGAACAGTGGCTTTTTCTGCGTCAGCCTGCTTCGGCTGCCAGAGCCCTGATGGCTCCCCATGCTGGTGATAGTCTGGAAATTCTCAGGATGGTAGCCTGGGGGTATCACCCTCAGGGGTGTGTCCCCAAGGCAGGGTAGGAAGTGTCCCGGAGACAGGTGCAGGTGCCACTCCCCATCTCCAATGGATCCTTTGATTCGGCTTCTTGGCCAGAGGAAAAACTTTAGACTCAAGATCCGTGGGAGGGGAGCCTGACCTTGGCAAAGCTGGTCTACACGGTCGCCTTTCCTGTCCCCTGCCAGGATCTGGTGGCCTGGGTGACGGCTGGATTTCTGCACATCCCACACTCAGAGGACGTCCCCAACACGGTGACAGTGGGCAATGGCGTGGGCTTCTTCTTGCGGCCTTATAACTTCTTTGATGAGGACCCTTCCTTCCGCTCCACAGACTCCGTGTACTTCCAAGGGGAGCAGGATGCCAGCGTCTGTGAGCTGAACCCCCAGGCCTGCCTGCCCCAGGTCGCTGCCTGCAGCCCCTACGTCCCCCCCTACTCTCACGGGGGCTTCTTGCACCACTAGTGGCGGGTGAGGGATGGGCCAACCTGGCTCCCCGAGTCCTTCCTCAGCCCTGCTGGCCCCTGCACAACCCTCCTCCCACTGTCTCTGCGCTTGTCTCCCTCTGGGGGCTTTTGAACTTCGGGTGCCTGTATGAGGGGCACAGGTCCCGCCAGGGAAGAAGGGGTTGCCCGGCCAGAGCACAGAAGTGGTCAAGCTGCTCCCAGATGAGTCCCTTTCTTATGCTTTATGGCTTTCCCAAAGCATTACAGGCTGCCCCGAGGGCTGCACAGTGGGGTGACCCCTCTCCCCCTCCCCCACGGTAGCCCCAGGGCAGACTCCTGGTCCTGCACACCCTCAGGTGGCCGCATGGACCCTGTGCCCTCACCCCCTCCTCCACTCCTTGCCCTGGATGAGCTCCCTCCCTCCCGGCCCTGAGGGGGTCCAGCCCTCAGTTCACAACCCCAACCTCTTCCGTCCTGAGCCTGTAGAAGTCCCAAAGATGCCAGGACTGCCTCCTGGACAAGGGTGACCCACAGTGGACTCTCATGCCTAGACCTTGTCCTGCTGGGGCCACAAGCCCTCTAGCCCTCAAGAAGGGAGCTTACAGTGAGAGGGCAGCTCAGAGTAGCATAGCAGGTGATGAGTGACACTGGTCATTTAGTGCCAGGCCTGCAGGTGACCAGAGTGGAACCAGTGGGGAGTGGGAGCTGGTCAGGAACTGTGGTGGGTACCTGGGGCCAGAAGCAGAAAGTTCTGGAGACTACGCCCCCTGGGCAGGGCTGACCAGTCACCTTCAGGCATGCTGATGAGCCAGGGCTTCGGGTGGGTGGGGCCTGGCTGTGTGCCAGGGAGGGGACTGAAGAGGCTACGCCCCCTGCATGCTGAGATGCCACCATGCCACTGAAGGCTTCTTCTCTGCCACTCTGTACCTGGGCGTCATCTGCCAGTGTGAGGGAGACATGCAGGGTGTGGGAGCATGTACCCTGCGCACGTTAAGTTTAAGAGGAGCCTGCATACCCCGCCTCTGTAGTTAGGCTGAGCCCTCTGCATGCCCCGCCTGCCTTGCCGAGTGGAATAAATCATGTCTGGGCCCAAACAGGCCGGAGCTGCTTTTTCCTACTTCTTGGGACAGGTGGGCAAAGGTGGAACGAAGTGGGTTAGGGGAGGGGCCGGGTTCCCAAGTTCCTCACAGCCAGAGGTGGCTTTGGCCTCCAGGGCCTCTATTTCTTTCTTTCTTTCTTTCTTTCTTTCTTTCTTTCTTTCTTTCTTTCTTTCTTTCTTTCAGGGAAGTTGAGGTGCAACTGAGACCACTGGGGCGGCCAAGGCTGGAGCAGCTGGCGAGGGCTTTTTTGCAGACCGGGTGCTGTCAGGCCAGGGTAAAAAGACCGTTGGTCCTGAGTGAAGGGTGTGGGTGTTTTACAGGGAGTTTTGTAGGGTGGGGCATTGCTGAGGGTGTCTCTGAGTCAGGGGTCTAGGGTTGGGTGACAGGGTTGGGCACAGGGCTGCTGGCAGGCACAGGATCTCCTGTGGTTTCCGTGGAACCAGCTCTCTGCAGGTGGAGCTGTGTGGGCAGCCACTGGCTTCCTGTGGGACTTAGCACTCCCCAGTGTAAACAATGGAGCCACTTGGGGAGTTTTTCTCTCTTCATTGGGCATTGGGCGAGCCCAGAGCTGACACTTTCTTTCTACCCTCCCACCCTTCCTCCCTCCCTCCCTTCCTTCCTCCCTTCCTTCCTTCCTCCCTTCCTTCCTTCCTTCCTTCCTTCCTTCCTTCCTTCCTTCCTTCCTTCCTTTCTTCCTTATTATTTTGAGACAAGGTCTCACTATGTAGCCAGGCTGCTTGGAACTTGTCACAGTCTTTCTGCCTCAGCCTCCCGAGTTCTCAGGTCACAGGTGTGCACCACCAGGCCAGCTCCTCGGCCTTTCTTCTTGCATGTCTCAGAGGCTCGCTTGGCCGCATTCTTCCTGCTCCAGTACTAGAGGCCAGAGCAGGTGGAAGGCCACCTGCCCAGAATGGTTCCAGGTGCTGCTTGGCTTCTGACTGGAGGAGACTGGGTTCATACCCCATGGAGGTCTCTGCTGTCTTCTGTCTGTCCTGTCCCAACCCACATCCACCCCTAGATCAATGGTACAGCAGCTTGGGAGGGGTCTGTGAGTTGGAGAGAAATAGGCCCCCCAAAACAGAAGATTTGGAGCAGGCTTACTCCCCTCTCCTTTTAGATTATTTTTGAGACAGGATCACACTCTGTAGTGCAGATTGGCCTTGAATTCACTATGCAGCCGTTGGCCTTGAACTCACAGTGAGCCTCCTGCCTCAGCTTCCCATGTGCTGGGGTCACAAATATGTACCACCCCACCTGGCTTCCACTGTTTATTTTTAGTCTATATTTTTTCCACTGCTGAGATTGAACTCAGGGCCTTTGTACTGAATTACATTCTCAGCCCTTTCTAACTTTGAAACAAGGCCTCACTAAAGAGCTAAATTGCCTAGGCTGGGGTTGAACTCGTGGTCCTCCTGCCTCAGCCTCCCAGAATGCTGGGGTTACAGAGATGCTCTGGTAGGTCTGGCTAGAGAACAGAACCGGAAGGAGGTGAACAGGAGATTCTGAGAGGACACAGAGGGGAAAGGGTGTCCAGCTAGCCATACCTCCTGACTGAAGAATCCGACACCCCTTGATGTGCGCAGCCATGGTCTCCGTTCTTGGCTCCTCCTCTGGGCCGGTGCCCCATGGTCAGTGCTGGCCAGAAGAGCAGCACAGCAAGGCGCCTGCCACCCCTTGATCTCTGTCTGGCCAGCACTCCAGACGCTGTGTGCAGGGCGGTCCTGTCTGAGAGTGGAGCCCCTCACCCTAGGAGGGAGGCAGGATGAACATCGAGAGCATTGGAACCTCAGCCATGAAGGGGGTGGGAGGCAGCGGGGGTGGGGGGATATGCAGATGCCTTGCAGGCCACAGATTTCAGCCGGCCTTGGCCTTGGCCTTGGGCTGTAAGCATCTAGGCATGAACAGCAGCTAGGGGGCAGCATGGCTGGATGAAGAGATGGGGGCTGCCCTGAGCGGTGCTTAGCTCTTAGGGTGGGGCCTTGTCCTGGGAAGGAGGAGCTGGACAAGGTGGGGGCAAGGCTTGGGTGACAGGCTCCCTCAGGCCTCGGACATGGGAACCCGGGGAGGGACATGGCCTGTGACCCCTCCCTCTCCTCTGGGAGCCCCAAGGAAGGGCTCTGGCTCCAGGTGCCAGGAAGGAGTGCTGCAGGCCTGCAGGAGGAGGGTCTGGCATTTGCGCCCTGGGGAAGCCAGGGTAGAACCAAGGGTTAAATGGCAGGCGAGCAATAGGGACTGCAGCGCCTGCCTGGCAAGCCCAAGGCCTTGAGTTTGATCCCTGGACTCCCTCTAAAATACAAATTAAATGGTGGGGGAGGAGTTTGCTGCCTTGAGGAATTTGGGGGGAAAGAATGTGCGGGTGGGTGTGGCTTTGTTTCTCTGTTTCTCCTGTGCCTGCTGCTATGGACCTCTCCTGTTGGCTGTGACATGCTTGTCTCTTTTTTGTCACAGAGGAAAAAAATAGTAGAGGAGGTGGGAGCTGTTTCTTGTGGCTTCTCCGTTTGGGACTGGTGGGCGGTGTGGGTGCCTCAGTTGGGAGAGTTCCTGGGGGCAGGATGGGGCTCAAGGTTAATAAGGACCCAGACCTGGGGAGTGACCAGAGTAGCCACGCAGGTGGCTGAAGATGCCGAGATGCAGAGCTAGTGATCTCAGCTGAAGAGGTGCTGGGCCAGGTCAGGGGTGCTATAGAGGTGAAGGGGAGTGTCGGGGGTGTGGCCATGGGGTGTGGAGAAAGGGACAGGAAGGAGTAGGAGGATCATTTGACCCGATGGGAGAAGTCACAAGGTGTCCCTAAGGAGGATGTCCTTTATTGACACAAGAAGTGACACAGCAGTGGGCCTCTGAGGGGTGACCTGACAAAGACTGAGGCAAGGCCGCAGGAGAAGCGGCAGGTCAGTGGGCCTCTGGGTCAGCCTGGGGAAGTCGGGGAGACCACAGACTCAGGCAGGTTATCAGCAGGATGCAGCTTTCCCTGGGTTCAGTGTCCCCCTGGGAGTGTCTTGTAGATGGATACCATCAGAGTACTGTCCACTTAGGCTACAGGGCCCGTGTGTTTAAACATTTAATTTGTTTGTCAGGCTATTTATTATCATTGTCTCTTTGAGACAGGGTCTCCCTATGCAGCTCAGGCTGCCCTGAACTCACTGTTTAGCCCAGGCTGGCCTCGAATTTGCAGAGATCCTCCTGTCTCAGTGTCCCAGAGTGCTGGGATGACAGGTGTGGCCAACTCAGGCTGTTTTGTAAGCCTGGGTGTCAGGAGAGGGCCAGAGGTTGCAGTGTGTTATCTTTCTTTCCAGACTCATCACAGGTACTGGGAGAGAGTCTCTGAGGGGCTGGCCTCTGAGGTGAGGTTTGCCCCAAGCAGAGGGTATGACCATATAAAAATTTGAATGGACCGCATCTTGTAGGTTTCTGAGGGGAGTGGCTGGGATGCCAGCAGAGCTATCAGGAGTAGGAAACCTGCTTCTTGGAGCTGGCATGCGCTTAACTAGGTGAGCCTCCAGGGGTCATCATCTCCCTTTACCTTGTGGATGAAGGAGTCAGTGGGGGCGGGCAGGCTTTGGGGTTCTGGGGAAACAGGGTAGGGGGAAGGCTGGGGGATGGAAGAGGGAAGGTTTCCCTGGGAGAGCAGAGAGAGGTCACTCGTGTCTGACATGTGGAAATGAGAGCAGCGACAAGGTCCACAGTGGACTTCTCCAGCTGGGACTCAGTCATCACAGAGCCTTGGGGAGTGGCTGGGGCAGGCACCTCCAGTTAACCGGACACCAAGGGAAGACAGTTCTTCCTGGAGGGTGTTCCGTGACCAGCACTGGGGTTAAAAGGCATGGGAAATGGGACAAGCCTGTCTCTGTGGCTGTGGCTGGGAGGGTGGCGAGGCAGGAGAGGGGCAGGGGGCAGGTGTGAGAGGTGGGCAGAAGATGGGAGCCCCTTGAGGTCATGGGAGGCGTAGAGGATGAGTGGGCCCTGGACAGGATTTCCAGTACTTCCAGGAGCAACAAGACCTCTGTGAAAGTCTGAGAAAACGAGTGAGGAAAGGTCTTGTGATCTAAGAGCTTAGTGGGGTCCCCTCTGAGTTTGCGGAGGGGCTGAGTGACGAGAGGAAAGCTGGAAGGACCTTGTTATACATCGGAGGGAGAGGAGTCCCTCAGCAGGTGGCAGGCACCAGGCCCGGGGGGATGGGAAGGACAACCTGACTGAGAGCATGGAGATCCTGTATCAGCCTGTGAGAACCATCTGCCTTTTGCACCAGGAGAATGGGAACACTGTAAGGGGAGTCGAAGGGGTTTGAAGACCATGTTGCAGTAAGTGAGAATTAGTGGGCTGTGGTCCCCGTAAGCCCAGGAGAAGGGTGAGATCCTGCAGCTGGGCAGGGTAGGAGTGGTTAGGCCTGTGAAGGATGGTAAGTGGCTGTTGGGGTGAAGCTAGGGATGGGGCGGGAATGTCCCCACCTAGGGGAACATTGGCAGCCATGGTGGAGCACAGGGACAGCGTCATTAGGGCAGCTGTGAGCATTGTAGCATCCTGGTGACGGTCGGAGTAGGTGACGACTCGGTTATGGTGTCTCATCCAAAAAGGGAGAGGGACAGACAGGGGCAACTCAAAGCAAGTGTGGGAAGAGGTGCTGACCCCCTGGGCACCAGACTGGGGAGAATTTATTGTCAATGCTCAAGGAGGCCAAGGAGGTTGGAAGGAAGGCAAGGTGGAGCAGCAGTGCTTGTATGGATCAAAAATGGGATGGACTTGCCCTCCTCTGTGAATTACCCAGAGTTTGCCTCTGAGATGTCCTGGGGCCTCCAGAGTCCCTGGGCAGCTTCCGTCCTCAGCAGCTAAGCTAACAAGGTCTGGGAAGGAGCCAGGGTTAACATAAGTTAGAACTATTTTGAGCTGTGACAGTCATGTTTGAAGAAGGAAGCATTAGTAGCAAGGCTAATAATCAAGAGATCTAGGTCATTGTTTACAATTGTTTTTTGGTACCAGTGATTGGACTCATGGCCTTGTGTCTGCCAGGCAGGCACTTATGCCATTGAGCTATATTCCTGCTGTTTTTTAATTTTTTGAGAGACAGTGAGAAAGTATCAAAAAGCCAACTGGAAATAGTTGGCGCACTTTTTACCTTGTGAAGGAGATTTTCTCTAGAGATATCATCCTTTTTCTGTTTTTCAAACACCTCTACAGGTAGAAGGAAGCAAATAAATGGTTCAAAGGAATTCTGCTCTGGTGGAGAAACCTCCAGGACATCTGTGTTATCTGTCTAATCATCCAGGAACTCATTTAGCAGCATGACAAGGCTGTGTTTTGTTTAAAGTACAATCCAAAATTTCTATGTCTCTGACGCTCACAGGTTAAACTTATACTTGTTACCTAGCAAGCATGGTTAAAAGCACATTGCTATGGTTTGTGTCTGGATGCCCCCAAAGCCCCAGGTGGTCATGGGACAGGCTTTTTGGAGGCAGCTGAACCTAGAATTTGTGATTGGCTCATCATGTAGTGCTGGGATTGAAGAGGTGAGTGCCACACCTGCCCTTGGCCTGCAAGCAGTATAAGGGAGGAAAAGAGGCTGCTCTCCTTCTTGTTCTTGCTGCTTCTGCTGCCTCAGATGCCATGAACTGTTGCCCCTCTTCCATGCCAACCTGCCTTGGAGCCAGGTGATTATGACCTGAAACCTCCACAAACAGTGAGCTAAATACACCTTTCCTCCTTTAACTTTGGATGTCAGGTATTTTATCTCAGCAATGAGAGAAAAATAAGACACACATCCATCATGCAAAGAAGAGAAAGGCTGAAATGACAGAAGGGGTCCTATATTTATTAATATGTATTTTTTTTGTGGTGCCAGGGATTGAACTCACAATCTCAAGCTTGCCAGGCAGGGGCTTATGCCCAGCCTCCGTATGTATATTTTCTAAATATAGACTAGATTTAGGGGCCAGGGATATAGCTCAGGGGCACAGCAGCTGCCTGGAAAATGCAAGGTCCTGAGTTCAATTCCTATTACCAAAAAATAAAAAGGTATTAAAAGTTTAATTGATATTGGAGGGGTAAGCAGCCTCTCTGAGAGTCACTGTGCGGACACTGGAATACAGCATTGTGAGGAAGACAAGAAGGAAGGAAGTGGGTCCCCTGGAATCCAGGAAGAGTCTGAAGGATGAATTGAAGCCCATGGAGAGAGTGAAGAAACTCCAACAAAGAGGGTTGGTAGCAGGTGACACCTTCTCCCTAAGAGGAGTAGTTCAAGCCTGCAGAGCCAAGGTAACAGTCACAGCCAGTGACCCCAGCAGCCTCTGAAGAGACACACAGCAGTGGAGGGGAGCAGCAGAGCTGAGGGACTGCACTGGCTAGTGGTGAGTGCAGAGGACTTAGTTCCCCTGAGGGAAAAAGCAATTAGCTAGGAGCCATTCTGGAGATGAGTCAGCTGAACTTGGAACCCAGAACTGCAGCCGGCTCCATCTAGCAGATCCAGGCTGGGCTCAGGCCCCTGGAAATTGCTTGGAAGGTGGAGAGCCCAGTGTTCTGGTCTCAGGGTTGCCTGCTGAGATTATTCACTACCCTGCCAAAAAACTGCTGCTGGCCTGCTGGGAGAGATTGGCACAGGTCAGGACTCTGGCTCCATAGCTGTCTACTAGTGAGTCAGGAGAGTGGACTTTTTTTCTTTACTTTTCACTTGTTTTCTCTTTCTCCTTCATTTTTATAGAGTGTGGAAGTGGTTCCTAACCTCTCTGTGGGTGTGGTTCTGTTCTGCTCTGTTCCGTTTCTGTCTTCCATTTCTCTTTTCCTTCAGGCTTCTGCACCAGTTTCCCAAAGCTGGTGCAATCCCCCTTTGTCCTCTGACCTCGCTTCTAACGTCTTCCTCTTCTTCCACATCTCCTTGATCTATTTTAAATTCTAACATTTGAGGGCAAAATTGACTTGTATACTGTGTATAATTTTCTGGTTTGTTTTAGATTTTGTTGTATAATCACAAACCTAGTTCATATGGTTGAAAGTGGCAAATTAAGGGTCAGCTCAGTTTGTCATTCACTAGGCTGTGTTTGATGCTATCAGTACTGCTACAGGCAAAAGTCACATAATTGTGCTAAGGAGCTGCTGGTTCCGGTGTTCCATGACCAAGACTGACTAAGGGTCACAGAAAATACCGTGGCATAGTGCCAGAGAACCAGGGACCGGACCAAACAACTCCTCATCTCTAACTGAGGAGGTGAGATCTTCCAACAGACTCAGCCCAAAAAACAGCTACACCTGGAAGGTACCTCAGAGAAGAAGTCATCACTTAAGGGTCCTAAATACTAGCAATAAAAGTAAACCACCAAAGGCATTTTACAAACATTACTACAGGAATTAAACTAAAAACAAGAAAGGAAAAATGAAAAGACACAAGTCATCAAGCAGTGTAGCTGGATACAAAGTTAACACTTGAAAATCAATAGCCGCCTTATACACGAATAATAAATTCACTGAGAGAAATCAGGGAAACAACCTTTCACAACAGCATCAAAAAAAAAAAAAAAAGAAAAAAGAAAAAAAAAAAAGAAAGAAAAAGAAAAGAAATACCTAGGAATCAATCTAATGAAGGATGCAAAAGACCTCTACTACTATAGTACACTGAAAAAGGAGACTGAAGAGGATATTAGAAAATGGAGATAGGGGGCTGGGGATTTAGCTCAGTGGCATAAGCACCTGCCTTGCAAGCAGGCGGTCATGAGTTTGATCCCTGGTACCAATAAAAATGAAAAAGACCAAAAAAAAAAAAAAAAAAAAAAAAAAAAGAAAATGGAGATAGGCTGTGCTCTTGAGTAGGAAGAACCAATATAGAGAAAATGGCCATACTTCCAAAAGTGTTACACAGATTCAATGCAATCCTAATCAAAATTCTAATAGCACGTATCACAGAATTAGAGAAAACAATCCTAAAATTCATCTGGAATCAGAAGAGATCTAGAATAGCAAAGGTGATCCTGGGCAACAAAGACAAGACAGGGGGCATCACAATCCCTGACTCGAAATGTATAATTGTACATGTATAAAATGTATACAGCTCCTGTGATAAAAAGTTAGGTAGTAGTAAAAACAAAAAACCAGACCTAAAGATCAATGGGACAGATTAGTAGATGTAAAAATGACTCCAGATACACTAAGCCACCTTATCTTTTTTTTTTTTTGTCTTTTTCATTTTTATCAGTACCAGGGATCGAACTCACGACCGCCTGCTTGCAAGGCAGGTGCTTATGCCACTGAGCTAAATCCCCAGCCCCAAGCCACCTTATCTTTGACAAAGGTGCCAAACACATTCACTGGAAGAAAGACAGCCTCTTTAATAAATAGTGCTGGAAAAACTGGCTCTTCATATGTCGAAGATTAAAACTGGACCCATGTCTTTCACCATGCACTAAGCTAAAATTATTAGCTTAATTAATATTAAGATTAAAGATCTTAATATTAAAACAGAAACAAATCTGCTGGAAGGCAGAGTAGGTAAAACTCTTGAAGACATTGGTATAGGCAAAGGCTTTATGAACAAAACCCTGATTGCATAGGAACTATCACAAAGAATCAACAACTGGGATCGCATCCTACTGAAAAGCTTTTAATCAGCAAGAGAAAACACCAACAGAGTGAAGAGACAACCCACAATGTGGGAGAAAATGTTTGTAGCTGCTCCTCAGACAAAGGATTGCTTTCAAGAACATATAAAGAATTGAAAAAACTCAGATCCTCAAATTCAAAGACCTAGTACAAAAATGGGCCACTGGGATAAATACATGCTTCTCAGGTGAAGAAATACAAACAGCAAATAAATATGTGAAAAAATGTTCAACACAGCTGATCATTTCAGAGATGCAAATTAAAACAACACCGAGATCCCACCTCATCCCAGAAAGAATGGCTGTTATCAAGAAATCAACCAGTAACAAATGCTGGAGGGGCTGTAGGGAAAAAGGACACCTTCTTCACTGTGGGGAGTGTAGACTGGTACAACCACTGTGGAAATCAGTGTGGAAATTCCTCAAAAAACTAGAATTGGAGGTCCCATTTGACCCAGCTCTTCTCCTTCTAGGTATCTTCCCGGAAGAATTAAAACATCATACCACAGTGACATATGTGCACCCATGTTTGTAGCAGCAGAGTTTGTAATAGCCAGATCCTAGAAACAACCTAAAAGCCCATCAACTGAGAAATGGATAAAGAAGATGTGGTATTTTTATACAATAGAGTATTACTCAGCCATAAATAAGGGTAAAACTGGAGACTTTTATAGGTAAATGGATGTAACTTGAGACTGTACTCAGAAGTGAAATAAATCAGACACACGTGTGAACATCATATTGTCTCACTAGTGTGTGACACTGAAACAACATATGTATATGTGTATGTATACATATGTGTATGTGTATGCATATAAAAAAGATAAGACAGTTATACTACTGATTTTGCTGCATTCACTAAAAAGGATTTGTGCTGGATTGTTTGGAAAAAAAATTCACATTATGGAAAAAGCTGCTTTTCATAGAGAGCTGCTGCAAAGCATAAAAATCAGCTCAGCTGGGGAAAACCCAGTTCCTGTTATATTGGGGGTTAAAGAGGGGTGGCCTCTGGAGAGAAGGCTACTGGGTTAAAATTCCACCCAAGAGGAAGAGGGACCTCACTTTTCTCATCTTTGGAAGGAGCCTGCTCCTCCTCTTCCAGCTTTCAGGGATGAGTGACAGGGAATCATGCTGAATTTCCTGTAAAAGTTTGGCTGGTAGCACGAACATTTCAGAAACTTCTATACCTGATCCAAGGATCCAGGGGTCCCCTCTACTGCCCGAGGATGCTGCTACTGGAGGGGAAACAGAGCCAGGAGGGCGTTTGAAGTGAGGTGGAAGGAGGGGAATCCCAAGGCAGGATGGAACAACCCCCAGAGCCCCCTGGAAGGAAAAGTGTAGCTCACAGGACCCCCGCTAACAGAGTGTTTTCCAAAATTGAAGACACACGGGACACCAGGCCCCAGATGACTCCAGGTTCGGGGCTGTCCTCTGGGTCTTGTCCAGTTCTCTGTTCAGGACTCCAGGTTAAGGAACGGTGCCCCGGGCCAAATCCAATCCCTGCCCTGCCAGCTGCATCCCCGTCCCCTGAGCTGAGTGTGCTGTTTGATTTGGGCCAAGAGGACACAGGCTGATGTGACTATACAAAGTCCAGGTCCCACCCCTAACCCTCCTCCTACACTCAGCTGACCCAAGCCTCTAGCCATACCATCCCCCATTGACCGTGTCCCTGACCCTGCTTCCTCCTGCCAGGCAGCCAGAAACTGGGACCCTGCGAGGTGGAGTATCCTGTGCCTGGTCCCGGCAGAGCCAAGCACCTCTGCCTTCTGTGCCGCAGTTGGAAGCCACCCAGCTTTAGCTATGGCTCTGCTCACGATTTTGCCCCTGTGGAGTATTCTGCTGACAGCGCTGGATGAAGGTGGGGCCTGGAGTGACAGAAACACCCATGGGGGATGTGATCAGGGCCTGGCACCCTTGTGCCCATCAACTGTGCACCCTGCCTGGCCCCACACACACTTAGGTCCTGGCCAGCTCTTTGCAGACCTGAGCCCAGAGGAGCTAGAGGCCATGATGGGCTTCTGATGCCAAGACTGGGCCCAGGCCTAGTGGATGCAGCCCAGGCGCAGCCCTCAGACACCTGCATCTACTCAGTGGAGCTGCAGCTGCCCCCCAAGGTGGCAGCCCTGGCTCACTGGAGGGACGGGGTCCCCCTCCCACCCTCGAGGCGCTGGCCATCCTGTTCTTCGGGGCCCAAACCCAGCCCAACGTGAGCAAGCTGCTGGTGGGGCCTGCTACCTGGCTGTCCTACCTGCGGGATGTCACCATGCAGTGCTATGGCAGCCCCCTGCCCTACCACCAGTGCTCTGTGCTGACCAGAGAGTACCAGGACATCAACCACATGATCTTCAAGCAAGAGCTGCCCAAGGTCGCAGGGCTTCTCTACCACTGCTGCTCCTATACACCCCAGGGAGGCCGCTTGGTGACAGTGACCACGGCACCCCGTGGCCTGCAGTCAGGAGACCGGGCCACCTGGTTTGGTCTCTACTACAACATCTCAGGCACTGGCATCTTCCTGCACCCCGTGGGGCTGGAGCTTCTGGTAGACCATGGGGCTCTGGACCCAGCCCGCTGGACTGTCCAGAAGGTATTCTTCCAGGGCCACTACTATGACAGCCTGGCCCAGCTGGAGGACAAATTTGTGGCTGGCCAGGTGAAGCCGGTGCAGGTCCCTGACAAAGGCACAGGTGGGGCCTGGTCCCTGAAGTCGCCGGTGCCCCCGGGCCCAGCTCCCCCTCTGCAGTTCCACCCTGAGGGCCCCCGCTTCAGCGTTCAGGGCAGTTGTGTGACTTCCTCTCTGTGGACTTTCTCCCTTGGCCTAGGAACCTTCAGTGGCCCGAGGGTCTTTGACATTCACTTTCAGGGTGAGAGGGTAGCCTATGAGGTCAGTGTCCAGGAGGCCCTGGCCGTCTATGGGGGAAATTCCCCTGCTGCTTTACGTGGCCAGTCCCTAGACAGTGGCTTTGGCTTGGGTCACTTCTCCACACCCCTGACCCGCGGAGTGGACTGCCCCTACTTGGCCATCTATGTGGACTGGCACTTCCTGGTGGAGTCGCAGGGTCCAAGGACTGTCCGTGATGTGTATTTGAACGGAACCAGGGCCTGCCTGCGGCGACACCACTCTGATCTGTACTCCCATTATTATGGGGGTGTCGTGGACACGGTTCTGGTATTCCGGTCCCTGGCCACCTTGCTCAACTATGACTATGTGTGGGACATGATCTTCCACCCCAATGGGGCCATCGAGGTCAAGGTCCACGCCACGGGCTACATCAGCTCCTTCCTCTTCAGGGCTGCCCGGTTGTATGGGAACCGAGTTGAGGAGCACACGTTGGGAACAGTCCACACCCACAGCGTCCACATCGAGGTGGACCTGGATGTAGCAGGTGAGACGTCCCCCTGGGGGCAAATGTGGGGGAGTGGTCTGAGGGTTCAGTGCCCAGCTCAAAGAGTTTGCTTTGAATAGTTAACAATGCAGAAAGTGAAGACACTGTGAAAGTCACATGAAGGCTTTTCCTGTTAGCAGGTTGGGTGTCCTCCCGAGCTTAAACAGAATTCCTCCTTTAAACGCTGCCTCCATCGTCTAGCATGGACCACACTGTGTCCTGTGGAGCAGCAGGACTTGCTGGTGTCTATGAGTCCGCACGACGTTGACGCATTCTCTCCTCCACATCTCAGGACAGGACTGCGGTGCACATTCGTTCAGCCATTTCTGTTTTTCCCATGACAGCATCATTGGAGTGGCGACCCCTGTTTCTGTTTGGTCTTCTTGGTGGGAAGGAGAAAACAGAAGGGGTGGGGGAAGGCCTTTCCCGAGGGCAAGGGTGGGCTGCTGAAGAGTTGCAGGCTCCCTCTGGAAGCTTCAGGAAAAACTGTGGCTTTATTTGGAATTTGACAGGGGTGGAGGTAAATAGGGCGGTGAAATGACGTAGTGACAGCTGATTGGAGGAGCATTGGTGCATGCGCAAAAAAGCAAAGCGGGTGGTTTGACCTCTGGATCCAGGGAGGCAGGGAGGTGGAGTCCAGAGCCAAAAGGAACCTGCACTTGGGGGAAAACCTGTGCCCAGTGCCCCACTACACACCCCAACTTGAACAGCACATCTGCTGGTTGGGGAGCACAATGAGCTCCTGGAGAGTTCCTGGAGATGACAGAATAGTGCCTTCCGCATAGGATTGCTGTGGGGGAGAATAACTCTCTTGAAAACTGTTTTCTTTTGAAATCATTGTATGTATGTATGTATGTATGTATGTATGTATGTATTTTGTCTTTTTGAGACAGGTTCTCTCTCTGCAGTTCAGGCTTGAGCTCACTGTGTACCCCAGGCTGGTCTTGAACTCGCAATGACCCTTCTGTCTTAGCCTTCTGAGTGCTAGGATGACAGGTGTGCACCACTGTGCCCGGCTTGAAACCATTTAAACGGTGCAGATAATAGCCAAGCCCTGTTACTGTTTGCCCCCACCCCACTGTCCCACGATGACTGTCTCACCTAACCGCAGGCAGCCATGAACAGAGCAGAGGAAGGGATCAGACTGTGCTAATCACCACGGCTGCTGGGATTTTGTGACTCATGCTCCTCACCCTCCTCTCATGTGCCCCTGAAGGCCTGGAGGCCACCGTGCATTTCAAGGGTGCACCTCCCTTGAGCCCCTCAGCAGGGATGGCTCTTGGGCTTTTTGTGATGTCGGTTGCGGAGCACTGGTCACTGATTTTGTGGAACACCCCTCAGCTTGGGTTTCTCTGATGCTTTGCCTTGATTGCCCTGAGATGATTCCTTGGGGCAGAGCCAGGAAAATCATGAAAATGGGGCCCTTGGCTCAGCACGTACCATGCAGGTGCCTGACGTGGATAAGCCCTCTCTTCAGGCACACAAGGGTCCTGTGTTCAGGTTTGTCCATCCTAAAAGCCAATTATTTCACTCTTGCAACTCAAATGGTTGGGGGAAAATAATTTGATGCTATGCAAATGTCCTACCTTTTTTTTCCTCAAACTTTTGCCCATTTTTTTAAGCATCTCTTGGTGGATTTTTCCTGCAACAGGTATTACTACAGTCTTTCCCAGCAGTCATTAAACTTTGCTCCTTTGTGGAAGATTTTCTTAGCCAGGGGTGGTGGTCCCTGCCTGCAATGTCTGTGCTCTAGGAGGATCCCCAATAATAATAAAAATGGGAAAAGGGCTAGGGATGTGGCTTAGTGTAAATGTCCTGGGTTCCACCCCTATTATCAAAGAATATATATATATATATATATATATATATATATAAACATAAAAACCAGGACTTTAAAATTGACAAATACAAATGTATATATTGATCATAAACACCATTCTATTTTATTTTTTGAGACAGGGTCTCACTATATAGTTCAAGCTGGCCTTGAACTCACCTATATAGCCTTGTCTGGCCTTGAACTCATAAGAGTTTGTCTTGCCTCAGCCTCCTGAGTGCTGGGATTACAGGCTTGCACTGCCACACCCACCATGCTGTTTTGAAATACCAGGCATTGTAGAATGGCTCAGTGGAACTCATTAACACAGGTGTACTGTCAGGTGCTATCATTATTTTGGGGGGAGAACCCTTAACATCTCCTCTCTCAGCAATCTTCAGGAGTCTAATATGGCATTACGCTCTTATAGGATGGAGATTTTATACCCTCTGACCAATAGGTCCCTAATATCTGGCCCTCCACCCAGCTCCACAGCCACCTTCTCTGCTGCTTTTGCGACTATGCATGGCTGAGATCCTGCAACCTGTGCCTCCTCATGGCATCCTCTAGGTCTACCCGTGTGGCTGTAAACAAGAGGACTTCCTTCCTCTTAAGGGCTGAATAGTATTTCATTGTGTGCATGTATCCGAGTGTCTATCCCCATTCATTTTTCCTTCTTCCTTAAATATGTTAGAATTCCCCGTAAGGTAGAATTATCCCTCCTTTTTCATTTGCTTATGCATTTGTGTTAGTTATTTTCTCTGTTACTGGGACAGAGTGCCAACATCTACTGTGTAACAGAGGAGGGGCTTGCTTGGTTTTCATTTTGTAGAGGTTTCAGTCCATGGTCCCCTGGCTCCAAAATGGAACCATGGCACAGGGGTTTGGTGGAGGAGAGCTGCTCAAGGTGGGACAACAGGAAGCAGAGAGAGCTGGGAGGAGCCCAACTCTTCGAGGCCACACTCCCAGGGACCGCCCCTCCTCAAGGCTCCACCCCCTGCCAGCAAGGCTGCTGTGAACCTCTGAATTCCATCTGTGCCCAATAGCGCTGTCCAGGAGCACATGAGCTCTTGGGGGGGGGGGGTCATCCTGAGAAAGACCACGAGGATATTTGGGCGGCGGGGGGGGGGGGCTCAAATCTTGCTAGGCAAGTGATCCACCCCTGAGCCATGGCCCAGCTTTACCTTGGCCAAGGGGGTGGAGGGACAGCGCACCCAGTTCGGGACAGTCCAGAGCGCTGACCCAGGCGAGGATCCCAGCAACCTTCACCCACCTCAGGGCCCTGGAGGGAGGAGGCTGGTGGGGCACGACGTGGGCAGAGGGTGGGCGTACTTGACTACCATTGGCCCCGCTGCTCTGTGGCCCCCACTCTGATGCAGGGGTGGGCACAGTCCAGAGGGCCCCAGACATTGACTGACCAGCCCCTCACACCCCATAGGAGCTGAGAACTGGGCCTGGGCCGAGGACCTGGCCTTTGTCCCTGAGACCCTGCCCTGGCACCCTGAGCAGCAGATCCAGAGGCTGTAGGTGACCCGCAAGCTGCTGGAGACAGAGGAGCAGGCCGCCTTCCCCCTGGGTGGGGCCACCCTGTGCTACCTGTACCTGGCCAGCTACCACAGCAGCAAGTGGGGGCACTTGTGGGGCTACCAGGTGCAGCCTCTGGGCTCCCTGGGGAAGCTGCTGCCCGAGAATAGCTCCATGAGGGTGCCTTCAGCTAGGGGTGGTGAGTGGGTCAATGAGGGGGTAAATGGAGGCCCCTGGACTCGTTTCCTGGGTGCATGGCATGGCACACACCCTCCCCTTTGCATGGGTGGATGGTGAAGGGCAGCTGCCACATCTGGACACAGATGTAATAGGACACCAATGGCAGCCTCTAGTGCAAGGGCCCATGGGGTTTTTACCAGAGAGTCTTCCAGCTCGTCTGTGTTTTTTTTTTTTTTTTTTTTTTGTCTTTCGGAGACAGGGTCTCACTATACAGTTCAGGCTGTCCTTGGGCTCACTTTGTAGCTCAGGCTGGTCTGGAACTTGCAATGGTCCTCCTGCCTCAGCCTGGTGAGTGCTGCGATTTTAGGAGTATGCCACCATGCCCCGCTCTTCTCCTATACTTTTGAATTTTGAGACAGCATCTTGCTGCCTAGCCCAGGCCAGCCTCAACCTCCTGGCGACCCTCCTGCCTCTGTTTTCAGGGTGCTGGGCTGACAGCTGGGTGCCACCATGTGTGGCCTTCTCTGTACTTTTTTTTTTTTTTTTTTTTTTTAAGGCTAGTCAAGTGAAACAGTGGGAGTGGAGAAGAAACAAAGAAATCTGTAACTGGTTGTGATCAATTAGTTGTAAACACCACTGCACTCGGATTAGCCTTCTCTGTACTCTTAAAATGTTCACAGTAAAGGGTAAAAGCAAAGAAACAAAGGATAAAAGGGAGATAGATGGGGCGGGGTCACTGTGTAGACAATGAGGTTCTGAGTGTGGCCTGGGACAGGGATCGGGCTGCACTTTGGCTTGGACCTGGGGGGAGGAAGATGTATGACAGTCTGTTCTCACTCCTGCACCACTTGGGGCAGGGAGACCCTGGACGATGTTGTCACTGTCATCAACATTGCTGCAGGTACCAGGTGGCTGTGACCCAGTGGGAGGAGGAGGAGCCCAGCAGCTCCAGCATCTACAACTTGAATGACCCCTGGATACCAGCTGTGGACTTCAGTGACTTCATCAACAATGAGACCATCACGGGGCACCTGGCTCTCCCCACCACATCCTTGAGGGACCTTTAGAGCCCATGAAGAAAAGTGGGGTGGGCAGGGCTTGCTAAGCAGACTAGACTAGTCTTGATTCTCCTGTCTCAGCCTCCCAAGTTCTGGGATTACCTGTATGGGCCATCACTCCTGGTTTGGAAAAATACTTTATGATTTCCTTTTTCCTGAGAAATTGAGTGCTTCATCCAGCACAGGAAAGCTGTCCCCAAAGGCCACTGTGGGAGGCAGGCGTGCCCCTGAAGCAAAGCCAGGCTTTAGGGTCGCCTTTCCTGTCCCCTGCCAGGATCTGGTGGCCTGGATGATGGCTGAATTTCTGCACATCCCACACTCAGAGGACGTCCCCAACACGGTGACAGTGGGCAATGGCGTGGGCTTCTTCCTGCAGCCTTATAACTTCTTTGACAAGGACCCCTCCTTTCGCTCTGCAGACTCCATGTACTTCCAGGGGGAGCAGGACGCCAGCACTTGAGAGCTGAACCCCCAGGCCTGCCTGCCCCAGGTCGCCACCTGCAGCCCCACGTTCCTGCCTTCTCCCACAGGGGCTTCTCGCACCACTAGTGGCAGGTGAGGGATGGGCCAGCCTGGCTCCCCGAGTCCTACCTCAGCCCTGCTGGCCCCTGCACAACCCTCCTCCCGCTGTCTCTGCGCCCATCTCCTTCTGGGGGCTTCTGAGCTTGGGGTACCTGTTGGAGGGCCACAGGTCCCACCAGGCAGGAGGGGGCGGCCCGGCCAGAGCCCAGTGGTGGCCAAGCTGCTCCCAGATGATGCCTTCTCCTGGGTTCTCCCTTGTTTTCACAAATGAGACTTAGCTCACTACTGAAAGTGCCTCGGTGATAATTTTCCATCCAGGCTCAAAGTGATACAAGCAGAGCCAGTTATTCCAGAACATTCTCATGGCCACAGAGAGAAACCTCGTTGCCATCAGCCATCATACTACTCCTCCGAGTCTTTCCCCAGGTCTGGGCACCATTGAATCTCCTTCCTGTCGCCGAGGACCTGAACATTTTGTAGAAATACCTGCAACTGATACAGTCTCCCTTCTGACTGGTGCCTTCTCTGAGGAGGCTCTAGAGTATTAACAATCAGTGCTTCCTTGCTCTCTGCACAGTAATATTCCAGTACATGATGTTAGACTTTGGATCGTATTTGTTTTGTTGTTGCTTGTTTGAAAGTGAACGCTTGTCCTCAGGAGTCAGTTGTCGCCTGCCTGGCCCCTAACTGCTGAGCACACAGGTGGTGGAGCTGGGATTTGTCCATCTCATGTCTGCCTTGTCTCCTCCTTCGGGTGACACCTGGGGCATGTGTGTCCCCCGCAGCCACACCCAGCTCAGGAGCTGCTGGAAATGGGGGTAGAGCTGGTGTGACCCGGTCAGGACCTGCCAGCTCCTCCACGTCACTGCTTTAGCCCTTTTTAGGGCATAAAATACACATTGAAATCCTGGTTTCAGACATATTTCAGTGGCTTCAGTGCACTTGGAAGCTTGCATGGTCCTGACCTGGGTTTACAATAGTAAGATGGGGCTCAGGACCTGCTGTGGCCAGGCTGCAGGGCTTGGGCCCCACAGGGCTGCTATGTCATCTTGCGTCTGGGGAAGGTGTCTGCGTTCTGCCCAACATACTCTGCCTGCAAAGCCAGTCTGCACTGTCTCCGTTTGGTCCTGGGGAGTCCCTGTGCTGTGGGTCTTGCAGTCCCTCCCTCCAGCAGCAGCAGCAGCTGCAGCTCTGGGCACCCTGTTGTGGGCAGCTGAAAGCTCCTGGGTCCCCAGGCCTGGGGGCCGCAACCCAGGTGACACGTGTGGCCCATTGCTCAGGCCCTGGCGCAGGGATGGCTTGGCAGGGCAGGGCAGGTGTGGAGGTGAGGGGAGCAGAGAAGCAGCAGGGCGCTCACCTGGGACGTGGCTCACAGGACGGGGCTTGCTTCGGGTCCCTTCGGAACACGCTGTGCAGCCGGCATCAGTGCCCCAGAGCTGGCTCAGTGCCACAGGGGGGCCTGGGACACAGAGCCAGGCGCTCAGCTTGTGACTGGAAGATGTTTGCAGCGTGGGGCTCAGGCCGCGCGCTGGACCCTAGCTCACTCGGGAGCCCTGACTCAGGGACCTCTGGGGCGGGGACGGTGCTCCATGGATGGGGTAGGGCAGGCAGAGCTGTCCACTGGGTTACTGGATCTTCCCATCTTTGCTCTTTTTTTTTTTTTTTTTTTTGAGAAAGGGTCTCCCTGTCTGTCCCAGGCTGGCCTTGAACTCGTGATCCTCCTGCCTTAGCCTCCTGAGTGCTGGAATGAGAGATGGCTCTTTTCATCTTGCTTAAGTGATTCAGCTTCTCTTTACTCTCTCAGCCCAGAAAAATCATTTTTTTTTCTTGTTTAAAGAAATTTGGGCCATGATGGCTAAAAATACTGTCTTGCTCCCAAAACAAATTCAGAAAGACACCACACCTACCTCCACCAGGGTAGACTTGGATGGGGACTCCCAGCTCCTGGCTGAGGTCTGGCCTGTATGGGGGTGTAGGACAGGGCATCCAGGGGCCTCAGCCACACACACATATGCACACGCGCACACACACATGTGTACACAGAACCAGCTTCCTCTGCAGAGGCTCTGCAGGTGCTCTGGTCCATGCTCCACCCCCCCACCCCCATGCTGCTGGAGGGACCCCCTCCCCTCCTTGTCCCTGACACAGGCTTCCCGCTCCTCCACAGCAACTGTCACCGTGGTCTGTGACTTTGCTCCCTCCTGATGTCACCACCACACAGGGAGTGAAGCTGTCTGGGTATAAGGTTGGGGGGGTAGCAATGGGGACTGTCCCAATGTCATGCATTCACTCATCAAACACTTTTTAGATGTGTTTTGAACCCCAGACTCACACTAATGTATGACAGAGGGGAACCCCATCATCCTGTCCCTCAGTAAGCTTGAAGCAGGGTGTAAACAAAATGTAGGGATCAGAACCGAGACTGGCACCCCTAAATCAGGGCTCCGTGACAAACTGCAGGGCGGGGTTGGGGGCTTCCCAGCGGAGGTGAAGGTTGTGTGTGTGTTGTGTTCGCTCATGTATTTGAGTGAAACACACGGGAAAATCTTCAAAAGCACAAACGGCTACCCCTGCAGTGAGGGTCAGGCAAGCTGAGTGCAGCGAAGCCCGCTGAGTGCTTTGCTACAAACGGCCTGGCCGTGGGAAGGCAACGTAAGCCTCAAGAAAGCGGCACCCACTGGACTCCAGCTCCGCCACCCTGGCTTTGCTCTGAGTTTCCACTCTGTCCCTTGTCCTGGTGGTGATGTTTCAAAGCCATGGAGGAGTTGAGTACAGTCCCAGAGTGTGCTGGGAGAAGAGAACCAGCCCCAGTGAGGGGGCCAGGCAGAGCAGTGTGTGTGAGTGCCAGCTGTCACTGGGTACAGAGGTGGTGTGGAGGCCCTGGGTTCCATTCTCAGTACCAGGTAAGAGATGGAAGGCTGGGTGTGGTATAATGTACCTGTCATCCCAGCACTGGAAAGGCTGAGGCAGGAGGATTCCCTTGAGTCCCAGCCTGGACTACATGACGAGACCCTATCTCAAAAAACCAACAACAATAGAACAAAATAGGAGACAGAGGACCAGACATGTGTCCACAGGATGCTGGCATTGGTGGACGGCTTTAGATGATGGCATCATGTGGCAGATATCCACATGCCCAGGCTCTGCGCTGCCATCACCCAGGTCCCTCCCCGAGCCCAACATGAGCCCCCACCCACCAGGGCCCCTCCTCAGTACCAAGTGATTGCACATCAGAATCACTCCAAAGCTTTTGAGGTGTCTGGGTTTTTTTTTTTTTTTCTGGCACCAGGAGTCCTTCCCTATGCCATATTGGGTGTTTTTGCTTTTGTCATTTTGAGACAAGATCTTGCTATGCAGTTCAGGCTGCCTGTGAGCTCATTTTGTAGCCCAGGCTGGTCTCGAACTTGCAGTGATCCTCCTGCCTCAGCCTCCCAAGTTGCTGGGATGACAGACGTGTGCCACCACACCTAGCTCCCTGTCCCATATTTGAAGACAGTGAGGTCCAACAGGGTTCTTCTGGTGTTCTGGCAGACAGAAGTAGCTGCTGCACCCTCTTGTTCTCCTCGGTCACAAGCACAGGGGTTCCGGGGCAAGCAGACTCTGGAGCCCTGGGGAGATGGCCAGCCTGTCTCAGGGATGTGGAGGCTGCATTCCCATCCCTGACACAGCAGGCCCCATGTTAGGTGCTGGGGACAAGGGAGGCCAGCAGTCACTGCCTGGCTGTAGGACTGCTGCTTTGCCCAACTGTTCAAACTGTTCTCAGCCTCCTGTGGCTGCCAGAGACTGCACTGAGCAGAAAGCCTGCAATACACCAAGAAGGCACTGACCTGAAGTCTCAGAGAAGAACACTGCAGAGCCTGCTCGGGAGGAACCACGAAGGTATGCATCCCAGGAGCAGGAGACCTGCCTGAGGCCTGGCCTGCCCAGCCCTGCAGGCACCCGAGGTAGGGGACAGGAGGACTGGCCCCGCGGAGCCCGCTGTGGGACCAACTGCTGCTTCTGACTGCTGCTCAACAAGCCAGTCGCTCCCCCAGCATCCCTCCAGTCTCCGTCACTGTCCTTGTCATTGGGTGGAGAGGTTTCATTGCAGCGCAGGTTTCAGAAGTTTCAGTCCTTGCGTGGTTGCAGTGCGCTTGAAGGGTCCTGCGGAGGAGAGGGGCTGAGAGCATGGGGAACCTTAAGCAGTGAGAGAAGGGAGGAGCCGGGGAGGGAGGGGCTACGGGCCACGCCCCCAGTGGACGGTCCTTCCCACCGACCCTGCCTCCTCACAGCTAGTCAGCTGTGGACCCACATTCACCTGCTTTCCAAGGCCTCTTCTGAGCTCAGGGTGCTATGAGGTCAGGGAGACCCCCTTCTGGGAAGGAGACACACCGGTCACTCAGCTCCGGATGCAGAAGAACCCAGCTATGTCCTGCTGGTAACCGCTGGGTGTTGACACTCTGTTGTGGTCGGGTTGTGCAGAGAACATTCAGAATCAAGACACAGAATTTATGATGTGACTTTATGATGGTCACCCAGAGTTAAACACAAGAAAGTGCAGGAAATCTATCCACAACACCAAAGACCCAGAACATTCAGCCAAGGACTGGATCCTACAACCGTGTCCTGCATGAGTCCAGATGAAGGCCTGAACCCACGACAATGCTTCCCTCGAGTCCAACTGGAGGTCTAGAGCCCACGACAAGGATTCACCCCAGTCTCTTTTACAGATCTGCACTGGGAAGGCCCAAAGATCAGCAATGGAAGCTAGAAAGTCTATGCCAGCAGGGTGAAGGAGCTGTGCCAGCGCGTTGAGAATTCTATCCTGGCGCCAAGAAGTGATCCTCAAAATAAGGACCAGGGCTGCCCTGAAAAGCACTACAGCCATCCTTAGCAACACGGAGCTTCTGAGCCCCTCTGATGATAAGAACAGTCAAGTACGTGCAAGGAAGCCAGTGTGACAGGCTTCTTCTGGAGAGTAAATGGCACACGTCTTCTCCTCTGGAGCCAGGAATCGATGCTCAGGGTAAGGCCCAGTGCTCCCCCACAGTGAACCACAGCCACTCTCACCATCAAGGTCCCCAGCTCCTTCGATCACAATGGTCAAACTCACACTGGGGAAGCCAGCATGACGAGCTCCTCCAGGAGAACCAATGGCTCAAACAGCAACACTTAGGAAAACCCACAATGTCTTCCTCTCCTTCTCCATGTCTCCCCTTATGCTGCCAACTTTCCTCAGCTGGGCCATCTACACTCAGCACCTTGCTGATTTAATCCAGCTGGTGTTAAACTGACCACCAGTTTTTAATCCATAACAGGCTCCTGCCGGAGTACAAATGTCCCTGTCCTCCTCTCTTCCTGTTGTCTTCCCTTGGCCCTCAGACTTCGGAGCTCCAGTGCTCTGTGGTGTGCATGCGGGAACCACAGACCCCACCATCCGAGGCTCCTGGCCAGACCGCTGGACCATGTGGCCGTGTGCCTCCCACACCCACTGACGCCTCATCAATGCCCAAAACCCCCTCATGGGGACGAAGAGTTGTATTGGTCTGCCTGGAACCCAGGGCGGGGCTGACCCGGAGCTCCCTAGAGTGGCAGGCCCCTTGTCCAGGTGGCCCTGTGTCCAGTATGGCATGCTGCCCTTTGTGGGCCTTAAACATGTCTTTGTTGCCATTTAATAAACAATAATTGTTACATTCCAATTATTTCTTGCCTTTTTGAAAGCCATGTCAGAAGTGAGCACAACAGCACCTGCCTAAAACCCCAGCTGTGTGGGGTGCTATGGCAGGAGGGGCCCTTGAGCCCAGGAGTTTGGTTGGGGCCAGCCTGGGCAACATAGCTCAACCTTGTCTAAACAGAAATAATAAAATCCACCTCACATTCATCTTCTCCTTGGATTATCTCAAAAGGAAAGATAGAAGGAAGTCCAAAAATTCAAGTCAAACAAACAGTCCCGTGCTGTCCAGATCGGGCTGGGACATAAGGCCAAAGGGTGTCACTGACACAGAGGCCCCGGCATTTCCTTCCTGGACTGTGATACTGAGAAGGCTGCAGGAGGAGGGGACCAGGTCAGCGGTTCTAAGGGGTGGACGTGGGCAGGGCAACAGTCGGGTCCAGGTAGGAATGAGTTCAGAGGGATGCGCAGACCGTATGAGGTCGGCGCGGTTTATTGTAGGAGCGAAGGCAGAGCGACCTTTGGGTGCGGGGTCCCCCTGGGGTCTGGGAACTGGGGTAATTGTGATGCTGCCAGTGTTTTGCTTAGCAGTTGCTTAGAGACTGTGTGACATTAGTGTTCCCTCAGGCAGGAGCAGGGGAAGGGAGGGGGCTCCAATCATGGGCTGGGCAGGTGGGTGGGGCTTCCGTAGCTGGGCCTTGAGACAGGTTGGAACCTGGATGTTTGGGCACGGGGACCACGGGATGCCAGGTGGAGAGATGCTGAGTTAGGGAAACTGAGGCTTTGGAAATTCGAGCTCATCCAGGATGTGGGGTGTGGGGTCACAGAGGGACCCCACAGACAGGAAGGCACAGACAGGAAGGGTAGCTGAGGCTGCCTGGGTGGATGGGGCCCAAACTCATGTGCAGGTGGCTGGGAGGCGCTGCATGTACTTCCAGGGACAAGGACCGCATCGCTGGCTGGGTGCGGCGGCGCAGGGGCCTGAAATCCCAACACCCTGGGAGGCTGAGGCAGGAGGACCGGGAGTTTGAGCTCAGCTGGGGTATTTTCACTCAGCCAGTTGCGGTTTCAAAATTTAAAAGAATAAGAAGCCTTGGGGATGTAGCTCATGGTGGTGACCCAAGGGTGGCTGCCCATGGTCTGAGGTCCCTTGTCTAAGGAGGACGGAAAAGGGCAGGAGCGGCAACTCCTATGATATGGGCAATGAGGCCGGCAGACATGACTGGGTGCCTGGGGAACAAGAGGCCGAGCGAAGGCCCAGCAGAGCACCCAGGGTGATGAGCCCAGGGTGGTGTCCCCGCAGTAGAGGCAGCTGCAGTCGTGGGAGCTGAGGTGACAGAGGTGACCCAGGTGGTGGAGGCCCTGGCTGGGCGGGACAGGACGGGCTGCACACGCTCTGATGTGGAAAACATAGGAGCCCCTGCTGGCCCTGTGCCCACTCAGGCAAGATCAGGCGGGAAATGAGCTTGCTGTTGACTTCCTAGCAGAGCCCTGCGGGCTTTCCACATCGCACAATAGTCACACACACGTGCACATACACACTGCATTGCGCTTTCTCCTCACTCTAGCCTGGTTTCCCTCCCACGGGGGGGAGGGGGTGCGGGGCGGCTGTAGCCCAACCCCCTCTCCTGCAGCTCCCCTGACCGTTGCTCTTGGCTGGAGGGCCTGGAGGACATCCAGGCATTCCAGAGGTCGAAGGTCCCAAAGGACAGAGCTGGGGAGCCAGGAGCAGAGGCAGAGGGACTCTGCCTGGGAGCAACTTCTGCCAGCCCCTGGTTCCTCAGCCTGTGGCGGAGCCCTGGGTGGGAGGGGGAGAAGGCCTCCACTGAGGACTCTTTTGAAGCCTGTTTAAAAAAAATCATGTAAATGTATTTCTTTTTTTTCCCCTCAGTTTATTATGGATTAAAAGTAAATGTATTTCTTTTGGGACATTTTTCTTTTTCTCCTTAAGAAACTGGGGCTCACTATGTTGTCCAAACTGACCTTGAACCCCTGGGCTCAAAGGATCCTCCTGACTCAGCCTCTTGGGAGCTGGGATTACAGGCTTGTGCCACCACGCCCAGCAGACCCCAGTTTTGCATGCTGCCTTGCTCACCTCTGCTACTGTGGGCCGAGTGTCGCCGGCAGTGGGAAGGGGCTGCCTGTTGGCTGAGAGCTCAGGCGCTAGGAGGGAGAAGAATCCACCACCTGCCTGCCCGGCAGGAACCAGTGATGTGGAAACCAGACTTTCTGGCCCAAGGACACTTTCTGCTTCCCGGGAACTAGGGAAGGGGTTGGGTTCCCATGGAGGCCTGGAGCTCTGCTGGCTTTTGGTGGAGGAAGGGACACCTGATCCAGCGTGTGGCCACGGCCTTCAGGGCCTTTCCTGTGGACACGATGGGCCTTCAGGGCCTTTCCTGTGGACACGATGTCCCCCTGCCTGACACCAGGCTCCTGCCACCTGGTCAACAGATGCACAGGTCAAGGTCCTCGAGCTGAACTTTCTCACTGTGCCAGTGATAACTCAGCCATTTTCCCGGCTGACAATCATTAACCTTCCCGTCTGTTTTTCTGGCAGATGAAGGGTCACTCACAGCGTGGATGACAGTGCTGGGTTTCTTCTTCTTTCATTGCTCAGCTGGAGGAATACAGCACCTAAACACCGCAAAGAACAAAAAAAGTTTTTTGGAGACTGGGTTTTGTTATGCAGCTCAGGTTGGCCTCAAACTCACAGCGATCCTCCCGCCTCAGCCTCCTGAATGCTGGGATTACAGGTGTGCACTACCACGCCCAGCAGAAAAAACTAAATAAATCAGGCTGTACATCTTTTTATCTAATTTTGTTTTATTTGTTTTTAAATTTTGATTTGATGTGGCCACTCTTTCAGTAGACGATGATCACCTTTCTCACGGGGAGCTGGGACACGAGATGGGCATCACATGCCCTCAGTGTTCCCCCTTCCCCAGCTGCTGGGGCTGCAGCCTGGAGGACCATCTGCTGCTCATACAAAGCTGGGCTTGAAGCCGGATTTGGGTCCCGAGCTCCTGTAGAGACAGACTCCTTCCTAGTGGTGCTAACGGTAAAAGTGAAGCTAGCAACTCCCTGCACAGAATCCAGAGCACCTGCAGGGACAGAGGAAGCCAGGTTTTCTTTGGGTAGTAAGTGCAACTTTTGGCTGGGTGTGGTGATGCCTACCTGTACTTCCTCACTCAGGAGGCTGAGGCAGGAGGACTGCTGTGAGTTCAAGGCCAGCCTGGGCTCTGAAGCCAGCCTGCAAACAAAAACAGTGTTTTAAATTAAATCTTTGGATGCTGGAATGGTGCCGCTGGCTCTGTCCCCTCCTTGCTTTCCACTGCAACAGAGTTGGGTCACTTTGTCCTGGCAGGAGAAGCCAGCCTGGTGCTGGCCATTGTCAGGCTTTCTCGTCCTGGGCCAGGCTGTACTTTCTGTCTCTGCCCCTTCATGTTTCCCCTAGACCTCCGGATTTCTGTTTTTGGCGAAAATGCCTGGGAAGTGCTTTGCAAGGGTCCCAACCTCGAGGAGCCCTAATTTCCCACTACTCCCTGGCTTCATGAGCATCTCCCTGGGGTGCTAAGAAGGAGGAGCTCGGTGATCTATGACCGAGATTCAGTTCTTCCCCTTCACCTCCCGGAGTCCCTGGACTGCTGAAATCCCAAGGGCAACCAGAGTTTACCCCATTGGAGGGAGACTGGAGGCCCCGTTGGGGAAAGGGTGGGGCCTCCTGCCTGGAAATAGTTCTTTTGTTTTGTGTTCTGCATGGGGAGGGAACCGGGCTTCACACAGGACAGGACAGAGCTTTAGCACTATGTCACACGCCAGCCCACCATAGCTCCACAAATGGGTAGGTTCTTAGCAGAGCAGAATTGCAGGAACTCATGTGTTTCCTCCTCTGGAGCCGGGCTCAGTGGCACGTGTCTGCAATCTCAGCACTCCGAAAGCTGAGGCAGGAGGGTTGCTGTGAGTTCAAGGCCATCCTGGGCCACATAGGGAGCCCTTGTTTCCAAAAAAAAAAAAAAAAAAAAAAAAAAAGAAAAGAAAAGCTTCATATGTTTTCATCTGCAGTCTGCATCACCTGAAGCCTTTAAAGTCAAGTTTTCTCTCTGGTCAGTGCTCCATGGCCTCAGGGTGCCCCTCCTTCTGCACATGATAAAAATCTGCTGCAGGAAGAGAGAAGGACTGAAGGGTCAGAAGATGGAGGCCCTGCATATGTCACTGAGTAACCACAGAGGTTCTGAGCAACGGGGTCCCAGAGTTGCCCACTCAGCAGAGGCTCCTCCTGCCTCTGCCTCTCAGGATGGATCTTTAGCCCAAGAAGACACCTGGGTGATGCAGGCCCCCAGGGCTTTCAGATTTCTCCTGGGCTCCCCAAGTCCTCCCACTCTACTGAGCACAGGACTGACCCTGCGCTGGCCTTCAGGGACCCCAAAGGGTGACCTTGGATGTAGTGTGACAGCACCTGTCTGCCCCGTTCACCCTGAGTTTCCCTCCAACCATGAACATTCTGGGTCCAGGCATCGCCACCGTGGTTGCTCAATGCTGTCTGGCAGACTTCCTGGTGGAGGAGGCAGTTGCCTCTCCTGGTGAGGCCACCAACTTAGTCAGTGTACACCAAGGTGTACACCACCTGTGTCACCACGGTGTACAGCACACAAGTCCATGCCCCAAGCACCGATTTCTCCACCGGTGACCCCCACCTCCCCGGCCAGCCAGCTGGCACAGAAGGATATGTGGCCTGGTAGAGACTGAGCTTGAGGACAACTGGGGTCTGTGGGCTGCAGTGGTGGGGACCTGGGTGGGGGTGAGGGCCTGGTCACAGTTCCTGGATGAGGTTGAAGTCATTTCCAGCAGAAGACGACATCCGTCTTTGCTACCTGAGCTCTGGGTTTCTTTTGGCTGTCCCCAGTCCACCCCTTACTGGCCACTACAGGCTTCCTGATGGGACAGTCAGGCCCGATCCTTGAAAATGTGTGACCTGGTCACCCACACACTCCCCTGCTCCCTTTTGGGTCCTCTGGGAGTTCTGGGCTCTCTCGGGCTGCTTCTGTAAAGGAACCCACAAGTGCGTGCACCGTGCTGAAGCCCATCGTCCTGAGAGGCCCCAGGACTCCTCACTTTTTCTCCAGAGTCCCCAGTTACCAATTTGCTGGTGTCCTTCGGTGTGAAGGCACGTTACTAACTCCACTGCTTACCATATGCACACAGAACGCCTAACGTGAAGGCTATGAGCGAGTTCATCACATTCATGTGTTCACTGAGGTCACAAATTCCATGTCCTGTGAGACACGGAGCAATCAGTGGGAAGAGGGTTGATCCCCCAAACTGGACAGAAGTCACTCCAGCTCCCAGAGAAGGGAGGCAGGCCCAGAAAAGGACAGGGCCCGGGACAGTCACCATGCATTCTAAGAGGAGTGAAACCCCAGTGGCGGCCCGGCCACAGCTTTCCTTGGCCCCAGGTAGCAGGGCTGCAGACTGAGACCAGGAGCCTGACCTGGGGTGGAACTCAACTCTGCCCTGTGGCCCGGGCTGCTGCAGGAACCAGAAGGGCAGCCCCTTGCCCCCTAAGCAGCATGCCCAGGTTAATGATTGGCCCTGCCAGGGCCCGACCAGGCTGTTTTCGTGTGTGGCTGTTTTGCCATTTTACGTAAATCACCTGAACACGTCTGCATCAGCCTCCTGATGGTGTACCTTTGATCAATAGAATTTAGACAAAAGTGGTTTTCAGGTCCAAAGATCAGGGCTGGGCTGGCCTGTGGACCAGCTGCAGGGCATATAAAACATGGGGCAAGGCGCAGGCTGATAGCAGAGCGCTTGCCTCACGGCCTGCAGGCCCTACAGCCCCGGCCTTTTCCGAGGAGCCTAGTGCGAGGATGGCGCTGGGGATGGATGCGCTGCACGACTTTGGCATCCAGTCTACGCACTACCTGCAGGTGAACTACAGAGACTCCCAGGACTGGTTCATCCTGGTGTCTGTGCTCGCCGACCTCAGGAACGCCTTCTACGTGCTCTTCCCCATCTGGTTCCACCTGCAGGAGGCCGTGGGCATCAGGCTGCTGTGGGTCGCTGTCATTGGAGACTGGCTCAACTTGGTCTTCAAGTGGTGAGTGGCTGCAGCAGGGATGGGGAGGAAGAAGCCAGGTTGGGGAGCGGGGTGTCCATAGCCCATCCCTGGCTGCCAGGGAGCCCTGCGCTGCTCCCCCTTGGGGGCCATGATAGAGACAGCATTGTCCACAGGGTGGCCGGTTTCACTGGAGAGCTGCAGCGGGGAGGTTGGTCACAGCCCTGTGCTGTTTCAGGCTTTACGCAAAAAATCACTCAGATGACCTGGAAAGAGAGTCAGGGTTGGGGTGCAGCTTGCCCAGCGTGATGAGGCCCTGGGTTCCATCCCCAGGACTGTGAAGGGAAAGAAAAGAGAGAACTGAGACCACGAAGGTAGATGACATATGGGGTGGCCGGGAACCCCGTTGCACTGGTAGGGACATGGGCTCTGTGCCCTCGCCTGCCCTTCTGCGGGAACCTTGCAGGGCCCTGCAGCTCTCTGAGCTCCTGCTTTGCAGTCTGTGGGCCCTGGTTACCTCCAGCACCTGGGTGATCACCATGAATGCATGTTAGACACGTGTCATGCTGGGTCATTCGCGGTTCCTATGGTATCTCAAGAGAGACCAAGGCCCCAGACTGACTGGGCTGGTGATGCCCCAGCCTCGGCACTTGGGCCACCCTGCCTGGCTTCATTAGCTACGGCCAGAGGGAACTGTCAGGACAAAAGCAGGTTTATTTTTTCTTATTTATGTTTGTGATACGGGGAATCCGGCCCTGTGCTGGCACACACTGAGCAACACCTCTGCCTCAAGCTCTGCCTCTGCCCTGGGAGAGTCCGAGGGCGATTTCAAGCCTGAGACTGGTGGTCATGCTTTTAATCTCAGCCTCTCAGGAGGCTGAGGCAGGAAGACCAAAACTTAGGCCAGCTTCGGCCATTCAGACTTTGTCTCAAGAAAGCAGAAACACAAACTCCCAGTTCTGATAGTGTCAGGCCGTACACACAATAAAAGTCCTCTAGGGTAAGGGAAAAGTGTGATCAGGCAAAGCTTAAGACTCTTGAAACCTTGGTTTAAAAGTTGTCAAAGTTTATCTTCCCCTACTCAGTGGCATGATCTAAAAAATAGGAAGACACAGGGTCGGCAGTCTCATGGAAGAGCCATGGATGATTCGGGGTGCGCAGAGATGGGGCTGGCGGCTGTCTCTGTGCTGACCATCAGCACCACCAGGCCTTTCAATGCCTGTCTTCACTGTGACGACTGGACCCAGCACTCTCGAGGCAGAAGGGGCATCTGAGAAGTTCAGCTTCAAGACAGAGGGGGCAGGAGGCTGCTGGCACATGTGCCACCCCAAAGGGACGATTCTGAAGGGGACAGAGGCCAGGCCTCCTGCGAGGTGCCCACGGGGCTGCCCATGTCCTCAGATGTCACAGGGAACACCCGATCCCCTGAGGCCTGGAGAAGACCGAGTCCGCTGTTATAAGCAGGCCCCCATGGGGAAATGCTTTTCTTGACGCATCTTTCCCAGACAAATTCTTCTGGGGGTTAAAAAAAATCACTTAGCTGCTACCGATATGAAATAGTCTATCTTGGTTTTTATTTTACTTGTTTATTTATTTATTCGTATTGAGAAATGGGATCTCGAGCCCGACTTGGTGGCACAGGGCAGTAACTTCAGCTACCTGGGAGGCTCAGGAGAACAAGTCTCCAAATGAGAAATACGGCACTGAGTGTGCAGCTCAGTGGTGGAGCAGGCACCCAGCACGTGTGAGCCCATGTTCAATTCCAGCACCCACCCCCATAAAATCGAGAAAAAGAGAAAAAGACGGGGTTTGCTGCGTTGCCCAGGATACCCCTAAACTCCTGAGCTCATGCAATCCTCCTGCCTCAGCCTCCTGAGTAGCTGGAACTCCAGGATGCACCACCATGCTTGACTCCTGATTTATTTAGGTTCAAATAGATAAAACACTTGACTTTCAAAAGTTACCTAAAGGCCATGTCATAAAAGTCTTCCCAAGCCCCTCCCCGGCCACCCAGTCCCTTGCCTGGAGCGGGTATGGGGTCCTCAAGCCCCCTTCTCCTCCCAGAAGTGCGGGCTCTGGGCAGATGTGTCTGCAGGACTGCTCCAGACAGACTCCTCTGCTCCTCCCAGGATTCTCTTTGGGCAGCGCCCGTACTGGTGGGTCCGGGACACGGATTACTACAGCAACACCTCTGCGCCGCTGATCAAGCAGTTCTCTGTCACCTGTGAGACGGGACCAGGTGAGTCCCAGCCCGAGGAGACAGCAGCAAGGGGCATGTGACACGCAAGAGGCATAATAAGTGACAGTGGAGGAGGAGGTGATGACGCTTATGCTAATATGAAGAAAGGGCAGTGGAGGTATCCACGGTGGCTCGGCCCACAGGGAGACTGGGTGGCCAGTGGAGATGTCCAGGGTGGCTTGGCTGACAGGGAGATGGGGCAGCCTTCATCATCGCCCTGTGGCCCCAGCACCTGGCCTTTATGGCCCGGTGCAGACCGGTTACTGGGTACAGGCTACCGGGAGGAAGAGGTGGCCTTGCTCAAGGTGGCCACCAGGCCTGGCAGTGCCCAGGGAAGCCAAGGGCCGTCTGCACCACAGCCTCAGCCCGGGGGTTCCGAGGAATGCAGGGCCCTGCATGGCTGTGGCAGAAGGATCAGCCACAGGAAGTGACTGTGGGGTTGAATGGGGTGGCCTGCGGGGACCCACTGCTAAGGAGGGATCTGCGCCAACACATGAAGGAACCAGGGACTTGGTTGAGGGACTCAGGGAAGAGCTATCTGGTCAGAGAGCACAGCAATGCCAAGGCCCTGGAGCGGGGTCCACCAGGCAAGCTTAAAGCAGAGCGAGGCAGCAGTGTGGCCAGAACAGGGAGCAAAGGGCAGGAGGAAAAAAGAAAGTCAGTGCCAGGCAGGGCCGCGCAAGAGTCACATCCAGCGTGCAATGTCCTGTGCAATCTCCAGGCTGGGCGTGACTGCAGCAGCCAGTGTCTTCTCAGGCCTGCTCCCTTCTGTGCCCCCAGAGCTTTGAGCAATGCTTGGCCCATAGTAGGAAAAGATATTTGTTAAACAAGTAAGCTAGGTATAAATGAATGGAAGTAGGGCAGGCAAATGGATGGGTAAATGGATGAATGAATGGGAGGATGGACAGTTGGATGGATGGATAGGAAGGTAGATTAATGGATGGTTGGATGGATGGGAGGGTGGATGGATGGATGGGAAGATGGGAGGGTGGATGGATGGATGGGAGGTTGATAGAATGCATGGGAGGACAGTGGTTGGGATAACAAATGGGGAGATAGATGGATAGATGAGAGAATAGATGGAGAAAAGGGAAGATGGATGATGGGCAGATGGGAGGATGGAAGGAGGGAGGATGGGAGGATAGTGGATGGATGAATGGGAGCATGGATGGATGGGAAGTTGCATGGATAGGAGATTGCACGAATGGAGGATGGATGGGAGGTTGATGGATGAATGAATGGTAGATGAACGGGTGAGTAGGAGGATGGATGAAGGGTAGATGAATGGATGGGAGGATGGACAGAAGGATGGATGGATGGGAAGTGGATAGATGGATGGGAGGATGGTGGATGGATAGATGGGAGAATGGATGGATGGGAGGTTGCATGGAGGATAGAGGGACGGATGGATGGATAGGAGGGTAGGTGGATGAGAGGGTGGATGTATGAGTGGGAGGATGGAAGGATGGGAGGTTGGATGCATGGGAGGTTGAATGGATGGGAGGTTGACTGGATAGAGAATGCATGGGAGGATGGATTAATAAATAGGAGCATGGTGGATGGGAGGATATTGGATGGATGAATGGGTGGGAGGATACATGGATGGGAGGAATCATGGATGAAGGATGGAAGGATGTGAGGATAGATGGGAGGATGGTGGATGGATAGATGAGTGGGAAGATAGATGAACAGATGGGAGGATGCATCATTGGGAAGATGAATGGATGGGTGGGGTGGGAAGATGGGAAGATGGTAGATGGATGGGAGGATGCATCCATGGAGGATGGATGGATGGGAAGATGGTACTGATGGGAGGATGGATAGAAGGATGAAAGGATGGGTAAGTGATGCCTTTGGTGGTCCCTCAGATGGAGAAATTCTCGTGTTCAGTCCATTCATCTTTCCTGCCCTTCAGGGAGCCCTTCTGGCCATGCTATGGGCACGGCAGGTGTATACTATGTAATGGTCACATCGATCCTCTCTATCTTTCGGGGGAAGAAAAAGCCAACATACAGATTTCGGTAAGAGCCCCCTGGGGTGGGGGTGGTGGCAGGAGGTGGCCCGGCTGACACTATGTGCTCTTTTCCACTTTGCTGGCCCCTTCCTGTGCTTGGGAGCTGGGGCACTTCTGCTGAGGGTGAACACTGAAGTCACAGAATGTCAGGGCTGGACGGGACCCGCTCGAGTGACCTTTGTCTTTCAGACAAGAGAATGGGGCCTGACACGGGGGGTGGGGGCTTCCAGGGCTCAGGGGCCAGCTCTGCCCTCTTGGCCTCTTCCTCTGCAGGTGCCTGAATGTCACTCTGTGGCTGGCATTCTGGGTCGTGCAGCTGAGCGTGTGTCTGTCCCGGATCTACCTTGCGGCGCACTTCCCGCACCAGGTTGTCGCTGGAGTCCTGTCAGGTACCTGACTCTCTCCTCCCTCTGAATCAGGATGAAACCCCTGCATTCCAGCCACGCTCTACACATCCTCCACACTGGTAGACTATAGGAGTTTCAAAATCAAGGGTGGAGAGGCTGAGGCAGGAGGATGGCAACTTGAAGCCCAACCTGGGCAACTCAGGGACTTAGGGAGACTCAAACAACAACAAAAAAAGGGAGGAGCTCAGTGGTCAGGCCTTGAGTTCAGTCTCCAGTATGCAGCCAGAAAAGAGAGAGACAGAGACAGAGTGAAGTTTGAATTACTCTCTAGAGCATCACTCAGTCCTATGCAATTAAATATGCTCCATAAAAGCAGTGCATTAGCATAGCCCAACCAAATTAGCTTGAACACGCCAGGATTTTCACAGGCTTTATTTCTTACTGATCTTCCACGGGAAGTGGGCCCTAACTGCATTTTCAGGGAACTACCAAATTTAAATGCACTCACATCATGTCTCAGGAAAGTTCTTAATATATTCTTCTGCTGGGTGTGGTGGCACACACCTGCAATCCCAGCACTTGGGAGGTTGAGGCAGGAGGATTCTTTTGAGTTTGAGACCAGCCTGGGCTACAAAGTAAGTTCAAGGCCAGTCAGAACTGAGATCCAAAACAAAACAAAACAAAACAAAACAAAACAAAACGCCAAAAACTGAGATCCTGTCTCAAAAAAAAAAATATATATATATATAATCTGCAGATGCCTAGTATCTGCAGATGCCCTGCTGTAGGCTCAAAGTTTTGCATACCTGCATTCCCTGAGATCTGATTAATAAAGGGGCTAAAAGATTTTAAGGTAAGCATAGAGCAGAATTTCTCAACTTTGTGCAAGCTTCCTGAGTATCAGATTTTAAGGAATTTTGTCCCTGGAGTTCCCAGAGCAGAACATAGCAGCCACCCCAGAAGGGCACAGAGAACAAGGGAGAAGGCGGCTTCCTGGTAACCATGGAAGTGACTTCCAGGTTGCACTGGGGGGCAGGAAGGCAACAGGAAGCTTAGGTGCAGTGGGAGGCTGGAGCCTGTGACGGTCACCATCGCTCCCGTCCACCAGCCTTGAGATCTCGGGTCTTCCCCAAGCCTCACACCGCTATCCCGCCCCACGCCCAGGCATTGCTGTTGCAGAAACTTCCTACCACGTTCGGGGCATTTACAATGCCAGCCTCAGGAAGTACATCCTGGTCACCGGCTTCCTGTTTGGCTTCGCTGTGGGCTTCTACCTGCTGCTCAGGGTGCTGGGCGTGGACCTCCTGTGGACGCTGGAGAAAGCCAGGCGGTGGTGTGAGCGACCTGAGTGGGTACATATCGACACCACGCCCTTCGCCAGCCTCCTCAAGAACCTGGGGACCCTGCTGGGCCTGGGGCTGGCCCTGCACTCGGGCATGTACCGCCAGAGCTGTGGTAGCCGGCTCCATGGACTCCCCTTCCGCCTGGGCTGCATCGGGGCCTCGCTCGTGCTCCTGCACCTCTTGGACACCTGGAAGCCTCCAGCCCAGGTCGAGCTAGTCTTCTACATCCTGTCCTTCTGCAAGAGCGCCGCGGTGCCCTTGGCATCTGTCAGCCTCATCCCTTACTGCCTGGCCCAGCTCCTAGGCCGGCCGCATGGGAAGGTGCTGTGAGGTGCACGGGGGCTGCGCATCCAAGCCAGTGACTTGCAAAGACCAGAGGACCAGGGCCTCCTGCTGGGCCTTTTGGGTCAGAGGTATGAGGCCGGCTGCTGAGAGCCTCTGCCGCTCCATGGTCCCCATCATGATGCGCGATGGTTTTAAGAAGCCGATGAGCCCGGCGTTGGAAGCCTGGTCTGTCAGAAGCTGTGACTTTCTTGATGTCCTGAGAATTTTTCTTATTCTCCTGTCCAGGGGACACAGCCAGACCTCTGGGTGGAGCTCATGAGCCCAGGACAGAGTTCACAGCCGAGATTCCCTGCTGTGTAGTCCTCACCTCCAAAGGAGAAAGGCGAGGTAGATATGCTAGGGAAAGGAGGTTAGGCCAAAGAGGGACTTTTGTATCTGGCACATAGTTTTTAGATGCCAAGCAGGGTCTAAATGGTTTCAATGACATTTGAAGCCTTAGCTGTGGTGCTCTCAATAATGCTAGACCAGCTGGGTGTGGTGGCACATCCCTGCACTTGAGAGGCTGAGGCAGAAGGATTGCAAGTTTGAATTGAACCTAGGCAACTTAATAACCTAAGAGAGACCTTGTCTCAAAATAAAAAAAAATAACTAGGAGAGGGCTAGGGGTGTAGCTCAGTATGAAGGGCCTGGATTCAATCCCTGTTGCTATGCATTAAAGAACAAAATTCTGCCTCCGGTATTTTTCTACTCTCCTTGCGTGGCCATCGTGTCGATTTCCCAATGGTTGCAGTGCCTAAGATACTGGGTCAGGTCTGCACATTCGGGCATGTGTGGGCACTGACTTCTCTTGTGTCTCCTGAATCTTCCTTTCTGTTAGTCCAGCCCTGCCGTTCCCAGAATCATCCTGTCCCTGCATCTGCCCCGCTAGAGCCTGGTGGGTGATTCTTTGGTGGTGCTTTGTTGGCTTTGGTTAAGCTGTGGGCCCCTGGCAGGTGGCCAGGGCTCCTCTGAGGAAGGTCACTCCAGTGTCACTCTCGACCCCTGCAGGGTGCACACAACTCCTTTCTCTACCCCAAGCCACCCTGGCCACCACTGCAGACGAACAGCCATTCCTCATGCCAGTTTACAGAATATACCTCGACACCAAAGGTGCCACAGCCTGTCACCTAAGAGTCTGTGTTTGTGACAATGCTGAATGTCATGCACTGTCATTCACCCAACTGAGCTGCACTTCATACCCTGGGAGAAAAGCTCATGTGCTGTCTTCTATTAAAGCATTTTATTTAAAGATAAAGTCTTGAGTATTACTGTGCTTTACACAAAATGTGATTGGAAGGTTCCACTGTATTTTTGTTTGGTTTTTTTTTTTTTGGTACCGGAAATTGAACTCATAACCTTGTGCTTGCTGGGCAGGTATGCTGCTGTTATATCCCTCGTCCCAGGTTCAACTCCTGAGCCAGCTAAATTTCTAGATCTTTCTCTGTTTCCTTACATAACTTGGCTCCTCAGCGCCTTCCTTTTTCCTGGGGGATGGGAAGGGGGCTCAGTCCTGGTTACCCAGGGTTCCCACAGAAGTGCTGAGCACATTGGCAGGGGACAGCACAGGTACAGCGCTGGTGTCACGTGTGGACCGGTCAGCTTGCCATCCTGTGGGAGGTGGTTGGGGGAGGCCAGGGTGGTGGCAGAGAATGAACAGGGCTGCAATCTGCCAGCTGGTGAGAGGTGGCAGCCGAGGGCCCTTCCTGGAGCTGACCTGGGGCAGATCACCTCGTCATAAGGTGCTTTTCTCTTTTCATTTTTGGAGACAGGGTCTTGCTAAGCAGTTCAGGCTGCCCTTGAACTCACTTTGAAACCCAGGCTGGCCTCAAACATGAAGTATGCGATCCTCCTGCCTCAGCCTCCCTGAATGCTGGGATGAGAGGTGCGTATAGCTGTCTGGCTGGTGTTGAGACCCTTTTCATTCTGTAGACCTCGAGAGCCTCGAATCCTCTTCTTGTTGCCAATTAGTTGCCACTTGCAGTTCCTGGACATCACAGGGTGGTGGGCTGGAGGGGGGCTCCCGTGGCCCAGCGATCACCACAGTCACGGTGAGGAGAGGAAACACCTGCTCTGACAGCCATGGACAGAGGCAGGGAGGCTGCAGTGTCAGCTGAGACTGGACCAGAGGTCACCTCCACTCCCTAAGGCTCAGACTGCAACGGGCAGATGCGAGGGCATCCCTCCTGGCAGAGACCCGGCACAGAGCAAGCCAAGCCCTAGAGTCCAGTGAGCTGGGGCAAGCGAGGCCTGGGGTCACAGGTCAAGGAAGTTCGTGTAGGTTTTCTGCAGAGCAGGTGCCTTCCTCCCGGGTGCAGGGTTCCCCACCAAAGGCCTTGACTGTGGCCAGCCCCCCAGGTCAGCTGCCAGGGCTACTAATCTACCTCGGAACTCCGGAAAAGGGGGTCCTTCCACTAGATTCTGGCTCCCTGGCAGTCGGGATGAAGTGCCTCTGACAAAGGACATGATCTCCATCTGTCTGAACTCATCCCTGGAGCTAGGTCTGGCCCCATCCTTCAAGTTCCATTTGTTCCCAGGGACCAAATTCAGGTTCCTTGCAAGAGGATTCTTGAGCCAGGTATGGTGGCACATTCTTGTGAGCCCAGTACTTGGGAGGCTGAGGCAGGAGAGTTGCTGCTAGTTTGAGGTCAGTCTGGGCTACATAGTGAATTCAAGACCTGGACTATATAGTGAGACCCTGTCTCAAAAAATGAAACTGAACAACAAATAAACAAAAAGAGGCCTCTGGCAGTTTGCAAGGCTAAGGACATGCGATGACAGATAAAGGGTGCCAAATGCTGACTGTACTCCAGCATTAAAGGAAGATAAAACAGGGCTGGGGATTTAGTGCAGCGGCACAAGCACCCGCTTTGCAAGGACACTGTTGTGAGTTCCATCCCAGGTACAAAAGAAACCCAAACAAACTATAAGCACTTGGTTCTCTCAAAGTCTGCAAGGCAGCTCCGATCATCTGTCCCTGTATTACTCCTGAGCAGGCGCCAAGGTGAGCCCCCTAACCGGGGATGCGAGGCTGGTTTAAGAACCATTGTTGTGTCATGTCTCTTTTCTGTCTTCTCAGCTTGTAGGCGTTGTCTTCACAGTAGCTCAGCCCAATCCCAACTTTCTTTTCCTTTTCTCTACTGTTTGGTTTGGCTTGGCTTTGTTTTGTTGAGACTGAGTCTCACTAGGCTACCCTGGCTGGCCTTGAACTTGCAGAGGTCCTCCTGCCTCACTCTCCTGAGCGGTGGGATGACAGGTGTGCGTCAGCACTCCCAGGATTCTTGCCTGGGTCATGTCTTCAAGCTGCTAAGCTCATCCTTGGTGGACTGTAATGTGACTGCCACGGCTCTGTCTCTCCAAGATGCCCCGCACTGCAGCCTCCAATGGGCTCCACAGTGCAGGTGGCTGGTGTCCCAGGTCACAGTGGCCTTGGAAAGAGCTGGTCCAACAGCGGCCTCCCCTGAGCTGCTCGTGGCTCTGGGTGTTTTGCAGAACCTGGTGGCCACAGCTGTGGATGTCGTTACTGACAGGATGTGGTGTGGCTGGTGGCTAGAAGCCCAGAGCCGGGTGGGAGGGACGGGTAAACTCCCCCTCAGTGACCCGCTGTTCGGAAACCAAGGGCAACACAAAGTGTGGCTAAGACAAAGCTCCAGACCTGGTGCTCAGCACCTGGGTTCTGCTTTTCTTGGTGCCCAGGAGATGAAATAGCTATATTCTTTTCCTGCTGGAAATTAAACCCAGGACCTCGCACACACTAGCAAAGAGCTCCCTCGCTGAGCTACACCCCAGCCTGAGACATGTGTCTCTGATGTCACATTACTACCAGACTCAACATCTACCACTAGCCAGGTGTAGGGTGATACATGTCATCCCAGCACTCTGGGAGGCTGGGATGACAAATTCAAACCCAGCCTGTGTAACTGTGATTTAGCAAGATACTGTCTTAAAATTTAATGTGAAAAAGGACTGAAATGTAGCTCAGTGAGAAGGCCCTGGGTTTAATCCCCAGAACAAAAACAAAACAAAACTCATTATTGTTGGTATAATTTTCTGTTAGGCACTAATGAAAACCCACAACTTAATTGTTATGAGAAAAAGAAAGAAAGAAGGAAAGAAAGAAAGAAAATTTCAGGCTAGATAGCCTTCTGATGTTTTAAAGTAGTAAGTCACAAGAGAAGTGGATTTAAATGCTATGCAAATTTTAAATAATCATCCTTCACTCTAGTGAACACATCCCTGCTTCCTAGTTGTTAAATATTAACTCATATTCACTAACCGTAATGTTTAAATCTTCCAACAAGTATTTATCTATTTCTCCCGTGTTTATTTCTTTATTTCCTGGCAGCATCTGGGATCGAACCCAGGGCCTCTGCATTGAGGTACATGTCCAACTCTTCTTTATTCTGAGACAGGGTCTAAGTCACTAAGCTGCCCAAGGTAGGTGCAAACTTGTCATCCTCCTGCCTCAGCCTTCCAGAGTGCCAGAATGACAGGGATGGGCCACCAGGCCTGGCTCTGTTTTTGTTTGTTTTCTCCGGAATAGAGATGGAACCTGGGGCCCTGCCTGTGGTAGGCAAGCGCTGTGTCAAGAGCTATGTCCCCAGCCTACTTAAGTTGCTGGATCTGACTGTCTCTAGCTTCCTACTGTCAAGCAAGCATTTGTGCCACTGAGCGGTACCCCCTCTTCCTCGGCTTCCTACTGGGAACCACTGTGTCAACTGTTTTTCTTTTTTTAAAAGAAGTGCCTCTCTGCTGGGAGCCTGAGACCAGAACCACAAGGAAAGAGCCTGTATTAGCTTTTTGGAAAAGTTTGTTTGGCACCTCTGATTTATTTTTGCCTTCTGAAATCAAATTTGCTTCTATTTTGTCACTTAAAAAAACAAGTCCTTGCCCCTTGGCTGGCTGTCACCAGCCCTTGGCCTGGGCCGGCACTGATCCCCCAGAGCATGGAGGTCTGGCTTCTTGGAGGCTCCTCTACCAGCCTGCCCCGAGCTCCTGGATTCTGTAGCGAATGCATCTCCTTTATTTTCTTTTTTTTCTTGCAGTGCTGGGGAGCAAGGCCTCGCATAGGCGGGCTGAGCTGAACACTGTGCTGTACCCCCAGCCCCAGGGCGGAGTTCAGACATGGGTGCCCTCTTGGCTGGCTTGGGCGGTAATGATGTTGAGGTTTTTGTTACGAGACTGCACACATCTACGTGTGTGTTGTGGATGTCAGCTGGGCTGGGGCAGCCGTAGGTCGCAGACTGAGACCTTGCAGCAAGAGCTGGAGACTCGGCGGACACCAGCTCCGCACTTCCTTTTCCCTTCTTCACACCTGTCTCAGAACGTTTCACAGAACACACGTTTTACACAGCTCTGGCTTTTCCTTTTGGAAAGATGGCTTAAAATAATCGAGTCTCCCAGAGCCTAACCCTAACCCTAACCCTTCCTTGGTGCAGCTCAGGCCGGCCCTTTCCCTTATTCGGCCTTTGGATTACTCCCAGTTCTCTGCTCTTATAAACAGCACATGGAAATCGTTGCATAAATTATATTTTTTTCCTTCTGAGTTATGATTTCCTTGGGGCAGAGTCCCACATTGGGATCACTGAGTCAAAGGTTCCAAAAGTTTCATAGCTCTTGGTTTGCTGCGCAGCCAGAGCACCCCCTAGGCAGCCCTGAGGCATCCTAGCAGCTCAAGCAGTATCTCATCAGCTGAGGATTTAGCTCAGAGGCATAAGTGCCTGCCTTGCAAGTGTGATCTCCAGTACCAAAAAAACCCAAAAACCAAAACCAAAACCAAAAACCCTACCTTCTCCTCCTGTCCTCTTCAGTAGGGGAAAGAGTTGCAAAAGTTTAAAACAAAACACAAGATGGCAATACACTCTTTCTGTAGCCGGGAGGGGCTCTCGCTGGTGGAGTCATGAGTAACTTGTCCCAGGCAGCTGTAGGCCTGCAGTCACCAGCAGAGGGAGCGAGGTCAGCAGCCTTTGTTTGAGAGCCAGCGGCACAGCCAGGAAAACGTAGCAAGAGCCCAGCTGCAAAGGAAAAGAAATAGCCAGGTATGAGATGCATGCCTGTCATCCCAACACTCGGGAGGCTAAGACAAGAGACTGTTGTGAGTTCCAGGCCAGCCTGGGCTGCTGTCTTGGTTACTTTTTACTTGTCGCTGAGACAAAATACCTGATGCCCAAGTTGGGAAAGGAAAGGTTTATTTTTTACAGTTTTTGGAGGTTTCAGTCCACACTCAGTTGGCTCCAAGGCAGGTAGGCATGGCTGGGCCGCTGTTCATGGCAGCTGCAAACAGCAAGCCGGAAGGGGCAAAGAGCAGGACACACCTTCTTCCTGCCATTACATCACATCCTGGCTCTACTCCTAGGTAGGTGGAGCACTGACACCATCAATCCAAGCATTAGACAATGAACCAATCACAAATACACAATGCAAACTCATGAGGCCTGGGGGACACAGACATAAACCATGACAGCTGCACAGCAAGACTCTCTCTCAAAAAACAAAGAAATAAAAGCTGTGCATAAATGCTTAGCTCTGGGTTCTGGCTCCAGCGGTGCGAACGAGTAAGTAAACAAAACCCCAAAGAATGCGCAGAGACTTCAGGCTCCTGAAGGAAACTGGCATAGCCAAGGTCTGGCGCCACCCCAGAGGTAGGGCGCTCAGAGGGGCTCTGGGCAGATGCTGGTCCTGTGGAATGGTCCTGTTGTTTGTGATGGGATCAGTTCTTTATTGCAAGGCTACCCATATGCCAATGTCCCTGCCTCCCCTCTTTTTCAGTGTCACTCAGCTGGGCCACACCAGGTGCTCTCAGCAGATTCTGAATCTGTTCAATTTAGACTTTCCAGAATCCTGAACCAAATAATCTTTGTTTGTTCGGTTAGGCTTGGTTTGGGTTTTTGAGACAGGGTTTCACTATGTAGCCCAGGCTGGTCTTGAACTCTTGGCAATCCTTCTGCCTCAGCCTCCCAAGTGCTAGGATTGCAGGTGGGAACACCACAACTGGATTTTAGGTTTTCTTTTAAAGTTCTGAATGTTTCAAATCACTTCTGTTTCCTGAATATTCATCTGCGCTGCGAAAGCCAGGTGTAGTGCAACACACCACTAATCCTAGCACGCACGAGGCTGAGATAGGAGGATCGCCAAAGGTTTGAGGTCAGATTGGACTACATAGTAAGATGAAGCTCAGCCAGGACTATACAGTGAAACCCTGTCGATAAATAAATAAATAGAAACATCTTATACAAACATATCTAATTAAATTGCAAAAACTATCTTTATATTATCCACTAAAATGTATATATGCTTCAGGAAACAAAAAACTTATATAAATATTTTAATACTAAATTTACTGAGACATCATGAGATTAATACAAGTTAGTTTTGGCCCCTGTAATTACAAGAGGAGCTCAAAGTGGGGACCATGAGCTTCCAGAAGTTCATTAGCACAGGGAACTATGCTTGGGTAACCTGGGTCGTGGAGACTGCTGCCCATGTATTTCCAATTTCTTCTCTAAAGGGTCAGCAGTGTTGTGGGTTTTCTGCAATACATGACATCTTCTAGGGTCCCACATACAAGGGCAACTCCATCTGTTGAAAGCATGTCACATACTGTTTTTGTTTTCCTGAAGCATGTATACATTTTTGTGTGTAGACATATTTGACCCTGTCTCTATGACTTCAAGTGAATGAGACTGATGTCCACATCAACTGTCCCTGGGTGGAGGAATCATGGCTATTTTTGGGTCTTTGCATGTTTCTCTTTTGTCTCAATTATTCTGTACTAAGCACATATAACGCTCGCTCTCTTCCTTGAGTACCTGGGCTCAAACCCCAGGCTAAGCCAGTGCTCTGCCACTGAGCTTTGTCTCCAGCCCATTTCATTTCATTTTATTATTTCATTATATTTTATTTTTTTATGACAGGGCCTCAATAAGATGTCCAGGTTGGCCTTGAACCTACTATCATCCTCAGAGTGCTGGGATCACAGGTGTGCATCACCAGTCCAATTTGCAAAGGACATTCTGTGTTTTCGTGCTAGTTGTGCTTGAAATCAATTGCCCATTTTACCTGGAGTGATGGCCCTCAGCATGAAAATCTTTGCACTAGACACCTCCGCTAGTTGGCATTGGCCATGTGTTTCCTGGGACGCCTCTGTAGGATGACTAGGCCAGGAAAAGAGAAGTACCTTCCACGTGCCACACATCCTCCATCCAGGACAAGCTGACTGTTCACCCAGCTCCTCACCTGTGCAGTGCCACCCCTCACTCTCCACCTCCACCCTGTGCCCCAGTCTGGATCAGCCATGAGGCTGTGCCTCACATGCACGACCAGGTCTCTGAGCAGGTTCAGGTTGTTCTGGAATGGAGCGGACAGAACAGGTAGCCATCTTCCCACCCTCACTGTTCTTTCCTGACCCCCTGGAAAACTGAACATCTGTTTAGGCCAAAGTGGAGAACATCCACTCTAGGTGGGGCAGGTCCTCTCCGCACCCATGGACCAGTCACCTTCTGCAGGAGCTTCACAGAGCTCTGGAGCTTGGTCACTGCTTGCATGTGGTTCTCGGCCCCACACCTGTGGGAGGGGAAGAAGGTGCCTGCTGCCTGGCCTAGGGTTCTGGGAGCAGGTCCAGGAGGGCCGGGTGGGGGACACAGAAGGAACTCTGGGTGGGCCTCACCTACATCCGTCTTCCTGCGGATGCTCACCCTGCAGGGCCAGAGCTAAGGGCCTATGCTGGGGCACTGACTGAGCCAAAAACAGGGCCACAGACAGGACAGGGACTGGAAAGATGTCCTTGAGCAGCTCAGTCAGAACCTTTCCACTTGAGTGGCTCTGCTCCACCCACTTCAGCATGCAGCTGCCTGGCCAAGAAGAGCAGGTTGGTCGTTCTTTTTTCCCTTCTCCGTGCTCAGGGTCTTTAAGACTACAGGAGTACACAGACTTGGGCAATACGCATAGCCCACCTTCGGCCCTGGACCTTGTCCTCAGCTCTGGAAGCAGGAAAGGGGAGTCTGACTGTCTCCTGCATTCCCTCTGACACCCTGAAGTCTCGGCACACCTGCAGGTTGTGCCTGAGGCACCCTGAGGTTGCTCACGTGGGTCCAACCAGTGACATCAACACGCACACAGCGGCGTGATCCTCCTGCAGGCAGCGGGCATCTTCCGGCTTCAACCCAGAGCCTTGTGGTGCAGTGCCCCAGCCGCACGCACCTGCTGCCCTGGAAACTTTTGGCTCCTCAGGGCTCAGCTCGCACCTGCGCACGGAAAGCTTCATAAGCTTAAATGCATTCCTGGCCCATTGGTGCGGGGGATTTGCAGTCGGGCTCAGGAAGGCCGGTGCCACAGGTGCTCACCACTGATCCTGCTCTCTGGCCATGCTTGAACCTCTGGACACACTTCCCAAGGAAGGGCGGCTTCAGAGTCCCCTCCCGCGTCCTCCCCTGCGATGCCCGCTGCCGGCTGCTCCAGTCTGCTCGGAGCGGAGGAGAAAGCTGGCTGCTATACAGCGTCTGTGCCTTCCATCCCGTGGGGCGCCTTTAGAACTCAACCCTAAAAACAGGCCTGGATGGAAGCATGCAGCTGGTGGACGCTGGGGCAGAGTGGCTGTAGTACAGGCACAGAGACATGGACTGGTGCGACGGGGCTGCCTCGCATCGCCTGCCCCACCCCATCGAGTCCAGTTCCGGCATGGATTGCTTACATGCTGCCTTTTTGTTTGTTTTTTGAGACAGTGTTATTCAGGGTGGCCTGGAACTCACAGCACTCTTCATGCCTCAACCTTTCCAGCATTGGGCCCACAGACCTGTGCTACCGTGCCTGGCCTCACGTTCTTCCTTTCTAAAATGGCGGGCCTGATCAGCGCAGGTGCACTATGGCATGAGTCGCAGCTGCGCAGGCACAGTACTATGGAACTCAACTGCGCAGGCGCAGTACTGCTTGCACTCAGCTGCGCAAGTGCAGTACTGCATGAAACACAGCTGCGCAGGTGCAGTACTGCCAAAAGTTAGACAGTGGTGCATGATAGTGGCTGGTCATCCTTGTGGTTGCCACTGCAGAGGCAAAACCTTAACTGAGAGTTAATCGCCCCTGGGCCCTTCAGTTGAGCCAAAACTAGGAGAGTTAAGGAAGAGGACGCTCCTCCTGAGAGGATCATGGACTCCTGCCTCAGCGCCTCTGCTCAAGGACTTGGCCTCCTGGGGACCAGCAGGACTGCCCGGTGCTGGCGTCCCTTCCTCAGACATCTCCTGGGGGTGGAGTGCGTTTTAAAATCACTCGCGCACACTGTTCAATGAAGAACAAGGCACAGCTTGGATCTTAGTGTCCGAAGGGGAATGTCAGGTAAGAGGCGGAAGTTGGGGTGCGTTTCTGAATCTGTTCCCAGGACGGGATGTGGGTAGCAAACCCGGATCAGCAACCGTTCCTTGCTGACACCGGGCTCTGACGCCGGGCATCGGAATGCAAGTGGGGCTGCCAACGCCGAGGCAGATGTGTTGGCACTGATGCATTCGAGAAGATGTTGCATTCAGCTTGCCCTGGGCCTCGATGCCCTCATGATGGGGCGGCAGTATCCAGCTGCTTCAGCTCCCCTGGACCTATGATACCTGAGCTTCCTGCTGCTCAGTGAGCAGCATCAACAAGCGTCCAGCAGATGAGCTCTGGCACAGGCCGGGGGCGTCTGAGGCTTCTTTTGTTGCTGAGACAAAATACCCCAACACCTGAGGTTACGGGTGGAAAGCATTTGTAGCTCACAGTTTGTAGAGGTTTCATTTCGTAGTTGGCTGGCACCAAGGCAGGGTGGCACAGCAGAGGAGGCACCAAAGCAGAGACACAGCAAGCAGCAGGTGGCCACAGCAGCCATCTTTGTATCCCTTATACTCTGTCCAGGATACCTGTTCTTAGGGTAACTTTCCCATTATCCACTTCCAGAACTATGCCAAGCCAGTCAGTGGATTAATTTAGAAACTATATATCCTGGATCCCAGCATTAGACACTCTGGATCCAGCTGTCTCCAAAAAGCCCCACCTCCTGAGGCTTTGGAGGGATATCTAGAC